GGGGGGGGGGGGGAAGGCAGAGAGAGAGAGAAAGAGAGAGAGAGAGAGAGAGAGAGAATCCCAAGCAGGCTCCGTGCTGTCAACACAGAGCCTGATGTCGGGCTCAAACTCACAAAACCATGAGATCATGACCTGAGCCGAAATCAATAGCAGGAATCTTAACTGACTGAGCCCCCCAGGGACCCCAAGATCACCGCATTTATTTCTAAAGATCACCTAAATCATAGCAACCACTGCCGTCGCTGTCAGAAGCTGCAAAGGGCCTCCTATGCACCAGCACTGTTCTAGAAGCTTCTGTGTATTAGACACACCCTGAAATTCATTCAACCTCATGACTCAGCCGGACAGTGCTACATACCGAATCTGTTGTCAGAACTAGGAAAATCAAAGGGGAGCACTCTGGCCGGTTAATATTTTCTGTTCTGCAACCTGCCTGCATGTCAGGGCATCCGGATGGACCGCTCTAGAAAGGCTGCACGGAAGTACATCACTGGGCCCCACCAGAGTCGCTTTAACAACTCCCGAATGATGGGCCAAAGGTCCGGGCACTGCTCACTTTTCTCCATCACCCGCGGGGCTGCAGGGCACTCGTCGTCCGGCTGTGGGCTCACTCCCTCAGGCGCAGCGTCCCTGGGTCACGCACTGAACCCATCGCCGGAGGGCTGTGCACAAAGCTGTCGTGGCCTCCGCCTCCCCGAGACCCCCCCTCGCTCCGGCCACTAGCCATCTCCTGCCCTTCAGGTCCCTGAGCTTTGGGAACCGGAGTGGGCGGGGGGGGGGAGGGTTATGCCCCGCGCCATCCAGCCCTGCCCGGGCCCCTCACCCGCAGTAGAAGACAGCCTTCTGCCAGGAGCGCAGCCGGTCCACCTTCTCCGCCACCGTGTTGGCAAAGTCGATGAACTGGCAGCAGAAGGGCGCCTCGCAGAGCAGCAGGATGAAGGCGTTCATGCTGGAGGGCAGGGAGAGAGGGCGGCGGGCTGACCGGCTGGGGGTGGGGGACCCCAATGCCCACCGGAGTGCTGCTGCCCCTCCCCCGCCATCTCCCTCTTGGCGCCTCTGCTCAACCCGCCCCCCACCCGAAGACCAGGCTGTTCCCTTCACCCCTTCTGTCTCAGAAGGAAGAAGGCAGCCCCCCTGCCCCGCAGCTGGAAGCATTTAGGAGGAGTTCCTCCTCACTGGGCGCTTTGCAGAGAGCCGGCGGCCACTCGGCCACCAGCTGAACCGCCACCGTCACCGACATCGCTGTCAGCGCTGGGCAAGCTGTGTCCCCAGCAGCGGCTCCACTGTCAGGACAGGACGGCCAGGAGGGGGTCAGTGGGTCCACAACAGTCACTGAGGGCTGAGCTCTGGGGCGCCCCACAGGGAGAGGGGAGCTGAGCAGGCCCCTCTGTGTAGTACCCTGCCCCTCCTTCCCGCTGGGGACAGCTAAGCCACGGGGACAGGCTGAGGGGGTCTGCTCCAGTCTTTGCTCTCTGCGGCTGGGTCACAGTCACAGACACCGGGCCCTCAAAGAAAGCCTGCGTCCACCCCAAGCCTCAGAAGAGAGTGCCCTCATTACCCACTCGTGACAAAAACCCAGGCTGAGGTGCCCCACGAGCCCAGAGCAGGGACTCTGCACAACTCAAGTACCCTGGACCCCCACCCTTCCAACAGGATCAGTCCCCTCTTCCCGCCCCCACTTCCAACAGGATCAGCCCCTCCCCCAACAGCAGGCACGCAGGGAGCTCATCTGGGGCCTTCCGCCCCCTGGTCCCGCACCAGCTCTAACCTGCCCTGTCTGTGGCTTGCCCACCTCCGGCCTGGGGCCCCTGAGCCCAGCACCCGCCTCTGATCCCACCAGACGCTAAGCCTCCAACTTGGTCTTTGAGCAGCCCTGATGGCCCCCAAGCTCCCACAGGCCAGGCCCGTGGCAGTGGACACAGCGCCTGCAGGGTCTCACTCAGCGGACACGCAGGAGACATTTGTGACCGCGGCCCTAAACCTACTAAAGTCCTGGGTGAGCGTCCCCCTGGCCCGGCCCTGCTGAGAATCAGGACGAGCAAACACGGCAGGGTGTGAGGGAGGTGACGACCTGCGTGGCGACCAGAAGTCACGGGGCTACTCACATCATCCACACGCCAGCCGCGATGTTCAGGGGGTGGATGGTGACGCAGTTGAAGAGGCCAGAGATGGCACAGGCTTGAAAGCAGACAAGGGCAGGAATTAGCAGGGAGACGGGACAGACCCCTTCTGCCGCCCAGCACTCACCTCCCCCCACAGCACTCTGCCGTCTGACACACGCGAGGCCACTGTCAGTGCCCCACGTCGTGGGTGAAGACCAGACTGGGAGAGGTGAGGCGGCGAGGCAAGGGTGCAGCTGGCTGTGAGGACCCCTCGCCCTCTCTCCAGTCCAGGGCTCGGAGGGCCGGCCTCCGCACCCCAGCTGTACTGAGACCCACCGCAAGGTATCGGGCATGAAAAGAGAGGAGGTTCTCAAGGGCTCGGGCCCAGGCAGGCGCCACCACTCACAGGGCCGCCCACGCAAGGCCTCTGTCGCCAAGAACGTGGCTTGGGTTTCGGCTGGGACAAGGGCGGCCCCTCTTGGAACAGAAATGCGCACCGGGAAGACCTGGGTCACGATCCCAGCTGCGATGTGCACACCAGCCGAGGAGGCCTGGGGGGTTCTTGTCACTTTTTTAGACCTGTTTTGTCCCCTGCACACAGGCAAATGCCACAGCCCGGCCCGGCCACCTCTGAAACACCAGGCCCTGGAAGTGGCTTCTCCGTGACTGTGGAGCCTCGCCCAGCTCCCGGCTGCCCCCAAGTGCAAGGTGCGCCACCCTCCCCTCCGCTTCTCCCTACAGCTGGCAGCCGGGCTTCCCCCAGCCATTGGCCAGGCACTGGCTCCCAGCTGGCAGCGAGCCCCTGCCCAGGGCCACAGCTGGGGTGGGGCGGGAAGCTGGGCCCTCAGGCAACTTAGCAACAGGTTCATTAAACTTGCAGCAGCTCGAAGGCACCTGATCCCGACTGGGCCTGGAATTCTGCTGTTTTCCCAGGTAACCCTATGCAGGCCGCAGGGGGTGGCACAGGACGCAGCCAGATGAAGTGAGCCCAGACCGCAGGGGGACTGCCCTGGCTTGGCCTCAAGGTCTCCTAGAGCGACAGAGCTACTTTCTATCTACTGGCGGCACTCAGCCTGGACACGTCACATAAGCCTCCAGGCAGCAAGGTTCCCTGGAGCCACAGACCACAGATGTGAGTGCGTGCCAGCCGACAATACTGCTCCTGCCTGGCTCTCAGCTGTGCCTCGTCTCCCCCAGCAGCCTGCCCGCCGCCCCTGCCGGGTCAGTATTTCTCCTCCAGCTCTGGAGGTGGTGGGCTCCAATAGCCCACCTTAGGGGAGGACCAGGTTTCAACCCAGAAAGAAGGCTCCAGCCAGGAGTCCTTTCACCATCAGCCTGGAGGGTGGCTCACCCCTTGGAGCTCCCGATGTTCTTGCTAAAGTGACCAGCCGGAAACACAGCCCTTATTTAAATTCCTGTTTCATCCCTAAAAGTTTTTTAAAGATTTTATTTTTACGTAATCTCTACACCCAAAGTGGGGCTTGAACTCACAACTCTGAGATCAAGAGTCGCACACTCTGCTGACTAAGCCAGCTAGGCTCCCCTCATCCCTAAAACTCTTGTGTGCCTTGCACCTCGCCCTGCGATATCCTATTTGGCATCTGCAAACAATCACCTCATCTCCCTCCCAGTATCCAGGTGAAACCCACATTTCAGGGCGAGGAAACAAGTTTCTCCTGACATTTCTTCTGTAGTAGCCCCAACACCGTGAACTCCTGGGGCGGCCCAGTTACCCTACTTTGAGGAGGACGGGAGACCAGGGTTAACCAGGGAGTCAGCAGGGCTGCTGAATCCAAGACAGAGGGAGGGTGGGGGCCCAGAAGCCACAGACAGAACCTTTCCTTTCTCCACCGCTGAGCCCGTCACTCCCTACAGGACCCCCACTCTGGTCTGCAAGGAAAACAGCTAACCACACTTGAGAGGATCCCATCTGAGGCCTGACCTCGAGCCACCCGTCTCTCCTACAAAGTCAAAAAGCATGCTTTGCTCTGATGGCAGTGGCAGGGATTCAGGGGCCTTTTTGGGGTCTGTGGAAGGGCCTGTCCCATCGTCACCTCTGGATAAGGGCGTGCCCTGTCTGAACAGTACACCTCTAACCCTGCGCCCCTGACCTTCCTCCCAGCATCCAGCCACCTGGAACGGCTGTGGGACAGGAAGGGGACCCTGAGCACTGTTCCCTCCAGCAGTCTTGATCAGGGTCTGCCGAGCCCCAGCCCTCTGTGCCAGGCGGGCACTGTCCAAACCCACTCCAGCGATTCCCAAAGTCGAGGACCAGACGCGGATTTGCCTTTGGAAGACCTGCCACATGAGCTTCATTTCACTCCTGCAAGAGGGCTACCTTCCTAGCCATGTGGGGGGGGGGGGGGGGGGGGGGGTGCTAAAAGAGCCTGGCTTCCGTGCGACTTGAGGTCAAGATGCAGGTCTAGGGTGGCGCTGGGTGGGGGCGGGGGGGACCCGAGGAGGGGAGACGAGCGGTGGCCGGGGCAGAGCTGGCAGTAGAGGGAACGCACTGGCCTCCGAATGGACAGTGAGGACCCAGATGCTCGCTGCCCGGCCCTCCCTCGGAGACTACTGGTGCCCGGGCACCACCCGCCCCACGTTTAAACAGTCTTGGCCCAAAGGTTAAGAAGACCTCCGCCCCCCTCTACGTCAACAGATGAGGCTGCCTCCGGGACGGGCCGTGCGGGAACTCTCTCGGCAGCCCGGGGGCAGTGACTCACGTTCCCTCCAGGAACGTCCCCAGCGCCGCCAGCCCAGCCGCGGGCCGCGGGGCCGGTAACCATAGCAACCGCCAGGGCGTCCGCTCCGCGCGCGCCCCGCAGACCCCCGCCCCACCACCCCTCCCCGCGGGGGCGCGCCGGAGGGGGCGGGGCCGGACACGCATGCGCGGTGGGCGGCGGGGCCGACCCCTCCCCCGGGCCGGGTACTCACAGACGGCCCCCAGCACTCCCGACAGGCGACACAGCCAGCGGTACCACCACGTCATGCCCTCCTCCTGCGCGGGCGGCGCGGAGCTGACGGACGCTGTCGACGTCCCGCCCGAGCCGCTCATGGTGCCGCTGTCTGGCGCAGCCCGCCGCCCTCACAAAGGGCTCCGGAGCCGGCCGCGTCGGCCCGGCGCGCTGCCTTGTGGGAGAGGCGGCCGCTCATTAGCATAGGGGGCGGGGCTCGCAGGACGGTGGAGTGGTGCGCCGAGGGTCTCGCGCTGATTAGCATAGGGGGCGGGGCCTGGCGGCCCCGGCCCTCCCCCGGCGGTCAGATCCTCCCACGTGGACTAGCACAGGGGCGGGGCCCGGCAGAGAATTAACAGGCGCGCCAGCGTGGGGGCTCCTTCTTGACCCCTCGCTCCCTCCCTCGTCCCTCTTCCCTGGGCGGAGAAGAGGAAGACCACCCGGGGTGGCGTGGGGCTTGCTCAGCTCAGGACTGGGCCTAGAGCCCTACCGCTGCCAGGGAATCCCGGCAATGCCGTGCGGTGGGTTTCCAAGCCAGACTGGACAGGTGTGTGAAGAAAAACGCTACTCAGCCTGCACATTCCGTTTATTGGTACGGGGGGACTGGAGACTGCCTTTCGAGAAAGTTCAGAACCTGCCTCCCACTGCCTAGCCTTTTGCATGTTGGAGGAGGCCCTAAAGGAGATACTTGTGATTGGACGGAATTCAAATTGGAAAGCACTTAGAGACCAGAATCAACCCTCTGGGGCTCGCCAGGCGCCTAACAGGTGCTCATGAATGTCAAATTCCTTCCTTTCCCTTCCAGGACCTGGAAGAGGCATCCCACTGTGCGCACAGGTCACTGGAGGTTTGTGCTTGGAGAGGAAGCTAGGGTACGGCCCAGCCAGGCTCCTGCACTCTAGATCGGAGGGTCCAGTACAGGCCCCTCAGGCTCGCGCCCGCCTCCATGAAGCCCTGGCTAAACTCCATCTCAGCCTGGCTTCCCTCGGACTCCCAGTAGAGTGCCTGCTGCCCACGGAATGTCATCCTCTTCAGGCTGTGGATGTCCCGGATCTGAGGGGAAAGAGGCAGCCCCAGAGGGCCGGCCAAAAATGGTAGCTAGCATTTATGGTGCCTTTAATATACAAGGGATCATACACTCAGGGTCACACACTTAATCCTCACACAACAAGCCTGTCAGGAAGACACTACTATTCTACCCAGGAAACAGGTTCAGAGAAGTTGTACTACTTCCCAAGGACACACAGAGTGTGAGAGATGGGTTCAGAGCCCAGGTCTGTCTGATTCCAGAAGCCATCCCCAGGGACAGCTGTCTAGACTCATAGCAAAAGTCAGCCCATTCCTGTCACCATCATGGTAGCCTTACCAAGATGTAGCTGGCATCAGTTCCTGTGCCCATGCTGGTGGCCAGGGCATGGATGGCAATCCGGGCCCATGGAGCCACATTGATGAAGATGCGGCAGCCCCCCAGGTTCCTCCCATCTGGACTCATCGAGGGGCTCACGATTTCACCCCAGGGTCCAAAGAGCTGCGTGTCACACTCTGCAGAGGGGAGCAGGTGGATGGGCTGGGTGTGGACAGCAGCCCCTGGAAAGTCCACTAACGCCAAAGGCCAGGGCAGCTCACAGCCGGGGAGCAGTGAAGGGGGGGGGGCAATATGGCGTTGTGGTCACGCCCAGGTCTCCACCAGAGGAACCCTCACCGAACACCACCTCTACCACTGTCTGCTGTGTGACCCTAAGTGAAGGCTTTAAGTGCACTGAGCTTCAGCTCCTTCCTCTGCAAAGTGAAAGTAACAATAGCACATGCTGCCAGAACAGTTTGTAGGAGGATTTGTAGGAGGCACACGTGCAAAAAGCTTAACACTGAACCTGTCGCAAAAGCCATTGCCATTAGGAGCCCATGGGACCCTGCGTGCCTGGGCCCCTGGTGAGGCAAGAGCCCATGTGCAGGAGGCCAGGAAGAATGGAGCCTGAGAAGGGGCAGTCAGCCCTTGAGCACTCAATGCCTGTGCTCAGGCACCAGCAAGCTACTCACTGAGGGGCGGGAGGCGGGGGAAATCTCTGTAGAGGTGAAGCCTGGGGGGCCAGAAGCCTCTGGAGCTGGCTAGGGAAGCCACCTTCAGCCAGCTTGGGCTATTGGGAGAGTGCAAGTCCCCTGAGGCCTCCAGGAGGGCTACTGGAAGACACTAATGGGGCCATGGGATGCTATCCTTTACCTGTGTGTGTGCGCGCGCGCGCACTCACACGTGCGAGCACGCGTGCACACACCAGCTCTGTGGGGGCCGCGCAGAGTACGCTGCACGGGAACAGGGCTGGGGGAAAGCTCTCACAGAGGACCTTGAAGGGTCTTGAAGGACATGAGTGCCGGGGCAGGGGGCCAAGGTGGCGACCCACACCCACCCATTGTCGCCGCAGGGGCCCAGCGAGGAAGGGATGCAGCACACATCTCAGGACCTCGTCCTGGCGCGGGAAGCTGGTGGTGCCCCCCTCCATGTCAGTCAGCAGCCCCATCGGCAGCAGAGACCGCCCAGCCACCCCACAGGGGTGCAGGGGGAGGCTCTGCCATACCTCTGTGGGAGGTCCCCAGGGCAGGCTGGCTCCAGTACCGCAGTGAAACGCCACCTTCCAGCCGCACGCGGCGCTGCCTCACCACAAGTGTGTTGGTTTTGGGGCTGAAAGTCATGCCCGCCAGTTTCCCGCACATCTTCCTCCATGTGAGCCTGCCCCAAAGCAGCAACATGTCCCCTAGGAAGTGGCAGTGCGGTGAGGGTCCAGCAACCCCTGCTCCGGGTGGGCAGCACAGCAGCCCTGGCATAGACTGAGCTGAGGTCGGGTCCCAACCCTCCCACTTGTGGCTCTGTGGCTCTAAGTCACTGGACACAGCCTCCGTTTCCTCATCTGTAGAAGGGGGACAATCCCACAGCACTCTCGAGGTGGCCATGATGATTATTGGGGGCGGGGGGATGCATGTGGCACGTCCTACCGGGAACCAGGCAGGCTGGAGTCCTGCTCACCAGTGCCCAGAGGACCCACGCCAAGACCAGAGGTGCACACGGCCCTAGACGTACCAGCACTGCAGTTGAGGGAACTCTCGAGGACTTGAAGGGTCACCACCTCACCCAGGGGCCGCCCGATGGCCACTGCACAGTCAGCCTGCCCTGCGCCTCGCATGTCAATGGTTCCCGTTGGCTCAAGGAGCTGCTGGCCACAGATGCCTGGAAAGGAGGCGGGAGCACAGGAGAACAGAGCTTCAGGGCGGGGGGTTCCCCGCAGGCGGCCCTGGGGGGCTTTCCATGCTGGGTAGGAGCCTGGGAGGCGGGGTGGCTGACATCCTCTTAGGCCCAGCTGGAAGCATTCTTAGATCAGGGACGCGGCTGCATGGATCCAGTCGTCACCATCCAGGGCACAGAGCCACTTCCTCCCATGGGAGGGAGGCGGTGTGGACAGTAGCACATGGCCTTGGGTCCCACAGACCTGGGCCCGATTCTGGGAAACTTCATGTTCATGATAACGCAAGTGAGCTTGTGCTCAGCGGGCAGAAGCAAAGCGGAAGGGAGAGGGCCAGCCTGGGGCCCCACCTCCCAAGCCCACGCTTTCAGCCCCGCGGCACCCAAGTGCTGCTTTGCAGGACAATCCCCGGAGGTCCCCACAAGGAACCAGTCCCAGCTCTCGCAGGTGGAGATGCCTCTGCCCACCCCTCCCGCAGCCAGCCAGATAGATGCCCAGACAGGAAGGTTCAAGAACATAACTGGACTCAGCGGTGCTTTCCTGGGGCCCAGGTAGAAGCCCCTGAAGCGGGGGCGCTGGGGAGGGGAGGTGGGCCTGGGGCTGGGGCTGCTCCGGAGAAGCACCAGCAGTGACTTCCTCGTGGGGCGCAGGGCTGGGGGTCCCCTGCCCAGCACAGGGCCCGGCCCAGCAGCCACGCACCGTGGCTGGCTTGGGCAAGTGCTGGCAGAAGCTGGCTGGCACCGGCGCCTGGGCCCAGGGTCCAAGGCAGGTGTCATGCCGGCGCTGGGTGCCATCCCCACAGGAGACAGAGCACTGCCAGGAGACAAGAGAGAGGTTGAGGCTGACCTTGCCAGAGGGCGTCGAGGGCAGTGGTGACCACTGGCCAGGCACAATCTGATCTCATCTTTGCACAGCCCAGACGGCGAGCCCATGCCTCCATTCCACAGGTGAGGAGACTGAGGCTCAGAGAGGTTACCTTGCTCGGTCACTGCACCAGCACCCACCCTGCCCTCCCGGCCTGCACTGCCCTCGTCTGAGCTCTCATTTCCACCGGGAGCCGATGCGCAGAGTCCTCGTGGCCAATGCAGGCGGTGGCTGTCTGCCTTGCCTCCACTCCCCGTCCCCACCATGAGCTGGCTCCTCCAGCGGGACACCTAGGCCTATTTACTGATGCCTTTCCACTACCTTGCGAGGTGATGGTACGAGAAAGGCAAAAATGAAGAACTGAGTTACTTTCCGCTTCGTGTCCTGGTGTCTCCAGGACTCGGTCCAGACCTGCCCCTCAGGTCTCCAGGCCTTGCTATGTCTTCTTTCTCTTCGTGCCCCAACTACTTCCTCCCACCCACTCGCCCCCTTCCTTTCAGGGGATCACAATGAATCAAAGCCCGCAGGGTCCCCGTGTGTGAGGACCCCAGCCAATGCATGCCCCAGGGCCCGCTGCCCCGCTCACCTCTGTCCAGGTGCTGACATGCCACCGGTAGGTGCAGTCGGCAGTGACGCAGGGAATGCTGGTCTGTGGCCGCACCAAAGCCGCACAGGCTGCCCCGTCCACCTCGAGGTCCTGGCCTTGGTTGAACTGCACGCAGACCACGGAGCGCGTGGCAGTGCCAAGGCCACAGCTGGCTGAGCACGGGCCAAGGGACACGATTTTCCACCTGCAAGAACAAAAGACCCCAGGGTGCGGCTCTGAGCCCGGGGAGGGTGGGGCCTTCCCAGTGAAGGGCTCAAGGATCCTCAGTTATCCAAGTAATGGGGACCATGGTGGAAAGATGCCCCCAGATAAGGGAGAACAAATCTCAACATTGGTCGGTCCTGCCCGTGTTGATCTGTAATTACCCTCAGCACCGCCTTGGCACCACTGACATTTGGGGCCGACGGTTCTGTCGGATGCAGCGTAGGAAGTTCAACAGCACCCCGGACTCCACCTACTCACTAGATGCCAGTAGCAACCCCCTTCCCTAGTCATGGCACTGAAAATGTGTCTAGACATCTGATTCGAAGGGGCACGTGCACCCCAATGTTTACAGCAGCGCTATCAACAATAGCCCAAGTATGGAAAGAGCCCAAGTATCTGTCGACAGATGAATAGATAAAGAAGATGTGGTTAATATACACAATGGAGTATTACTCGTCGATGACAAAGAATGAAATCTTGCCATTTGCAACAACATGAATGGAGCTGGAGTGTATTACGCTAAGCGAAATAAGTCAGACGGAAAAAGACAAATATCATAGGACTCCACTCATCTGTGGAATTTGAGAAACTTAACAGATGAACTTAGGGGAAGGGAAGCAAAAATAAGATAGAAACAGAGAAGGAGGCAAACCATAAGAGACTCTTAAATACAGCGAACAAACTGAGGGTTGATGGGGGTGGGAGACTGGGGATGTGGGGAAAATGGGTGATGGCCATTGAGGAGGCCACTTGTTGGGATGAGCACTGGGTGTGGAATGTAAGAAATGAATCACGGGAACTTACTCTGGACTACACTGTATGTTAGCTAGCTTGAGAATAAAAAAAAAAAAAAAAAAAAAGAACCAAGGCAGGGCTCCTGGGGGCTCAGCTGGTTAAGCGTCTGACTCTTGGTCTCTGCTCAAGTCAAGTTTTCACGGCTCATGAGTTCGTTTGAGCCCCTTGTCAGGCTCCAAGATGACTGCACAGGGCCTGCTTGGAATTCTCTCTCTCCCTCTCTCTCTCTGCCCCTCCCCTGCTTGTGCTCTTTCTCTCTCTCTCTCTCTCTCTGTCAAAATAAGTAAAGAAAAGCTTAAAAAGAAAGAAATAGAATGAAAATAAAATGTCTCTAGACATTACCATATGCCCATTGGGAGGCGGAATCACCCCTGGTTGAGAAACAGACAGAGAAACAGAAAAATAAAGTGCTAGGGAGCAGCACTTGTATAAAGAAGCAGCACATTCTATAAAGAAGAATGAGGCAGAGCCGAGAGTCATGGGGTGGGCTGGGTGTGCCACTCTGAAGTGGTGCTCAGGGAGGACTCCCGCCCCTCTGCTGCGGTGCTTTGAGCAGAGCCTGGACGAAAGGATATCCAGAGGAGACCCGTGCTGGCGGCGGGAAGGGGCCCCAGCAGCCCTGAGGAGCACCTGTTCTAGGATATCAAGGAGGATGTGGCTCCAGCGACAGCTGGGGAACAGCCAGTGCTCGCGGGTGTGTGAAATGGCCATGGAAGTCCCAGATAGGTTCCCACACAAATGACGGGGCTGCTCAGCCAAGGGATTTTAGCTCCAGCCAAGAGACACCGGTGTGGGGGGTAAATGGACCTTAAGGCTACAGTACTTAAAACAATCTGATGCGGGATCGCAAAGATTAGAAGCTGGTAGAAAGCCCCATGGATCCCATCACGCACAAGGGTCTAGAACGTGATAAAGATGCCGCCCGGGGGAAATCCAGGGGGTGATTCGGAGAAATAAAGTGTGCTCCCGACTTTGCAACAGACCCCAAAGAAATCGCAGGTGAGCTAAGGGTTAAGTGAAATCATTCTTATCTGTAACGGCGGGCGTATTTCTTTAAAGCCAAGGAGACGGACAGGAAGGAAACAGGGCTATAGAGCGCATCTGTTAGATCAGTGGGACACGGCGTCTGTTCTGGGCGACACAGGAAAGCAGTTCACTAGTAAAAACGCAAAGCTACAAAGAAGCAGAGGTGCAAGCAGGGCGAACAAACAAGGTCACTGTCGTACCTTCCCCGTCAGGCTCCGACCCCACCTCCGACCCCACCTCCGGACCTCGCTGGCCGGGGCTACTCCGGCCCGTGCCCTGCCAGGACCAGCCTCGGACTCCGCTTCAACGCTGCCCCCTCCCGGAGAAGCCCCCCACCCTCCCCACACCCACGCCCCACGGGCACGCCGCTTGCGTTTTGTGGGACCACCGCCTCGGACGCCTAGTGCAGCCTGCCGGCCGGCCTGCCTCCCAAGCACCGTCTCCTGCGCCAGAGCCGCCCTTTGAGCCCCACGCGACCGGCCCCGCGTCCACACACTCCGGGACCTCGGGCGGCTTGCTGGACACCTTGGGGCCGCTGACCTGGGCGGGCAGGGCTCCGGATTGCACGTCTCCTGCTGCTCCGGGCGAGGCAGCCCCTGGCACTGGGTATCCGGCAAGATCTCCTCGTCCTGGTCCTCCCCGTGGGCCCGTGCGCAATACGGGATCCTCCGCACAACCCCTCCTCCACAGCTCACGCTGCAGGCTGCCAGCCTGTACCGCCACCTGGGGCAAACGGGAGTCAGAGGGGACCCAGAGAAGCAGGCCCCACTTCCCCAGACCGGGAAGGGCCTGGCGAGGTCCCTTCTCCGAGGGTCACCTTTACACCTCCACCCAGAGGCTGGGCCCAGTGGACAGAAAACAGGCAGAAGAGCCCATTTTACAGAATGGAAAGCAAAGGGCAAACCGATGTGTTCAAAGGACAGTGGGGGAGAGGCAGGGCACCCAAGGGGGCCCGCAAAGATGTCTGTCTCCAGCAGGAATCCCAGCACTGCCAATCTCCCTTCCCGCTGCGTGTGCCGCATCACACCAGCACCACCTGTCAAACTCTGTCTCCCATCCCCCAACCCCCGCCCCCGGTGTCCCTTCCAGGAAGGCAGGGATGCTTCTCTGTCCTGCTCCCTGCTGGGCCCCTGCCCCCAGAGCAGCACCTGAGCACAGCAGGTGCTCAGTAAAGAACAAGCGATGACAAATGAGCCGTCAGCCATGTTCACGGCATCCCAGATCCCGTGCGACACCACGAGCTCCAAACCCCCCAGCCTTCCGGGACCCCAGTGTGACCCGCTCCTGCGGGTGAGGACACCCAGGCTCAGGAGCTTACTGGAAGGCGATGACACCACGTCTCCTTGAGAAGTGGCCCACCTGGCAGGGCAGGGCTCCGGACTGCAGACCTCGACGGGGCGGGGCCTGGGCAGCGGCCAGCATTTGGAGTGAGGCAGGGGGACTAGGCGGCCACGGTCCAGCCTCACGCAGCGAACAGCCAATGGCAGCCGCCCCCCTCCGCACGTCACCGGGCACGGCGCCAGGGCTCGGGTCTCCCACCTGCAGTAAGAGGCCAGCGCTCCGTAGGAGGCTAAGGCTAAGGTTCCTTCCTCCCTGGGGGACCCCGGCTGCTGCCCCCACGCCCTCCACCCCACATGGTCTCCACCCCCACTCACCAAGCCGGGCATGGGGCAGCCTGGCAGACCTCCTGTCGGCTCCCAGGCTTGCTTCCCAGATCACACAGCTCTTCCCGGACAGGGGTCCCCAGGACAGAGTCCACGCACACGAAATGCAGCTCCTTCAGGCCTGCAGGGAGGAAGCAGGGGCCGAGCCCCCAGAGGGGGATTCGACAAGAACTCCGGGTGCCCAGCCCTCTGGAGACTCAAGCAGACAAGGCCTACGTGGTGCCAGTCTTGACTCTGCCACTTACCAGCCGGTCAAGTCACTTGTCCACGTAACTTAACCTCTCTGAGCCTCGGGCTTTTCATCTGCCTAACAAGCAGGGGTATTTATAAAAATTCTTACATTTAAAAAACATTTTGTTAATGTCTTAACCGTTTCTGAGGGAGAGAGAGAGAAGTGTGAGCAGGGGAGGGTCAGAGAGAGAAGGAGACACAGAATCTGAAACGGGCTCCAGGCTCTGAGCTGCCAGCACAGAGCCCGACGCAGGGCTCAAACCCACGGACTGTGAGATTATGACCTGAGCCGAAGTCGGACACCCAACTGACTGAGCCACCCAGGCAACCCTATAAAAAAATTTTTTAACGTTTATTTTTTTGAAGGAAAGAGAGAGACAGAGCATGAGCGGAGAGGGGGGCAGAGAGAGAGAGGGAGACAGAATCTGAAGCAGGCTCCAGGCTCTGAGCTGCTAGCACAGAGCCTCACCCCCCTCCCCCGCCATATGGGGCTCGAACTCATGAGATCATGACCTGAGCTGAAATCAAGAGTAGGACACTGAACTGACTGCACCACCCAGGCACCCTGCTGAAGATTTTTAAAGTGGAGACACAAAGTGCCTGGCATGTGGTAGGTACAGAATTGCTAAATGAGAATCTCTTGTGTTTCTGATTAATGATGTTATTAGGGCTGTTTCCTTGAATCGCCCCTGTAGGAGTATCAGTAAAAGAAATCTCTGCGGGCACCTGGGTGGCTCAGTCGGTTAAGCGTCCAACTTCAGCTCAGGTCATGATCTCACAGTCTGTGGGTTCAAGCCCTGCGTTGGGCTCTGTGCTGATAGCTCGGAGCCTGGAGCTGCTTCAGATTCTGTGTGTCTCTCTCTACTCCTCCCCTACTCATATTCTCTCTGCCTCTCAAAAATAAACAGACATTAAAAAAAAAAGAAAAGAAATCTCTGGCTTTGGGGGTTTTTTTTAACTTTAAAAAAATATTTATTTTTGGTAGACAGAGAAAACACAAGCAGGAGAGAAGAGAGAGAGAGAGGGAGACACAGAATCAGAAGCAGGCTCCAGGCTCCGAGCTGTCAGCACAGAGCCTGACGTGGGGCTCGAACCCACAGACCATGAGATCATGACCTGAGCTGAAGTCAGAGGCTTAACTGACTGAGCCACCCAGGTGCCCCTCTGGTCTTGGTTCTAAAGGTGCTCAAGTTTCACGGAGCAAGTGGTTAGGGTTTTGGTTTAAGAACACAGCATATCTTGGGGCACCTGGGTGGCTTAGTCGGTTGAGCGTTCGACTTTCGCTTAGGTCATGATCTCGCGGTTCGTGGGTTCGAGCCCCGCGTCGGGCTCTGTGCTGACTGCCAGCTCAGAGCCCGGAGCTTGTTTCAGTCTGTGACTCCCTCTCTCTCTGACCCTCCCCTGCTCACACTGTCTCTCTCTCTCTCTCTCTCCTAGAAATAAATAAAAACATTAAAAAAAAATTTTTTTAAGTATACAACAAATTAACTTCTGATTAGAACAAAAGACCTTANATCTCGCGGTTCGTGGGTTCGAGCCCCGCGTCGGGCTCTGTGCTGACTGCCAGCTCAGAGCCTGGAGCCTATTTCAGAGTCTGTGTCTCCCTCTCTCTCTGACCCTCCCCTGCTCACGCTGTCTCTCTCTCTCTCTCCTGGAAATAGATTTAAAAAAAAAAAAAAGAACACAGCATATCTTAGAATTTTGTTCCTCTGGCTTAGCTGCCAGGAAGCTCAGAGCTAAGTTTGGGGCCCTTCTCTCGTTGCTTTTCCAGACCTTCAGAAATATAGTTGGGTGCCAGCGTTGCTGGGTTTTATCATCTTTTCCTATCTTTGAGCCAATCAATGAACACGTTTAAATGGCTAGCTGCACTTTGTCCCAGTCTCCTTGTGTATTACGTCATGTTTTCCTGTAGTCTGGATTCTCCGTAAGCCACCCAAATGCTTTTAGAACTAGGCAAAATGCAGGGGCGCCTGGCTGGCTCCGTTGGTTAAGCATACGACTTCGGCTCAGATCATGGTCTCATGGTTCGTAGGTTCAAGCCCCACGTCGGGCTCTGTGCTGACAGCTCGGAGCCTGGAGCTGCTTCAGATTCTGTGTCTCCCTCTCTCTCTACCCCTCCCCTGCTCACACTCTGTCTCTGTCTCTGTCTCAAAAAACATTAAAAAAAAAAAAAAAAAAAAAGAACTAGGCAAAATGAAGGCAGGTAAGAGTTAGCTAATAAGCCCTGGGGCCTCACCTCGACTGCAGGAGACAGAGCACGGCCCCGCCACGGGAGTCCACACGTGTGCGGCTTGGGCCCCCGGCCTGGCACGGCCCGTAGTGGGTGTGGGCTCCTCCCCCGGAGACTGGGGGTCTGGCTGCAGAGGACAGATGACGAGCTGCTGGGTCTGGGTTTCACCCCTCTTGATCCCTGGGTCCCTGGGCTCCAGCCACGCCAGTCTCTTCAGGAGCGAGCCTCTCCCTGCCGCCCCTTTCCGGGGAGACTTGCTCAGGGCTGTCAGGGCTGCCAGAGGCTGCCTTCAGCCCACTACCCGCCTCGGGCTCTGCACCAGTGTGAGCAGTCGCCAGATGGCAGGGCTGGGCCGGGGGCTTGGGAGCCAGGTTTGCGGGTGCCCTTGACCCTGCAGCCCCCACCGGTCTGGAGGGGACAGGCCTGGCCAGTACCCTTGTCTGAAAGCAACGCCCCTCAGCCAGGGCCCCTGGATGCAGGCAGGAGTGTTTCTTTGGGCCACAGGGACCTGGCAGCTTTCTAACAGGGTCTGGGGCTTCAGTGGGCATCCCAGCTGCAGGGGGGGCATCCCAGCACCCCCCAGCACCCCCCAAGCTTGCCCTCTGTCCTGCGCACAGCAGGGCTGCGGAGGGACAATCACACTGGCCAGGGGGCCGATGGTCACTGGTGCTCCCCGTTCTCTGGCCAGACAAGCACGGTCGTGCCCGGGACACTCACGGGGCCCTGTGGCGGAGGACATGTCGCAGCCACACACGGCCCGAGGGTGGGCGGCTTCTCGTCTGTGGAGCAGGGCCTGGCTGCGGCCTGCGCCTCCGGGCCACCTGCCCCGAGCCCACACGTCCCATTCTGCAGAGCCAGGTCTCCTGCACACGCTGACGAGCACGCGTCTGACACCTGGTGTCTGAGGAGGGGGCAGGACACACATCAGCCCCTGCCCGCGCCACTGGGCAGTAGGTACGGCCCAGCCCCTGGGGCAGGAGGCAGTGACCCCGCACCCCAGGATCTAAGAGCTCAGAGAGGCGCCCTGCAACGAAGCAAACCCCGGAGGCCTCTCCCCGACTGTGGGCGTCGGCAGTGACACAGGCCCTGGGCCTCTGCCTTCCAGAGAGGACCGTGGGCCTCCGTGCCCCTAACAGTATCACTGCCGCCACAGTCGCATCCCCCGGGGCGGGGATGGCCGCTGCGTTCCGCGTGTGCGCGGACCCTGACAGGTGGCGTCTGCCCGCAGCGCCGTGTTGAGGAGGATTCGGAGGCAGGAGGAGGCCTCATGGGACAGGGAGGGGATGCCTCTGTCTGCCGTGGATGGGAGGGGGAAAGGAGCCCAAGCCACACGTGGGCCACCAGTGACCTCGGCCGACAAGTAACAAACTGGGGCCCAGAGAGGGAAGGGGCCTGCCCTGGTCACCCAGACAGCGTTCGGCACATCAGAATAAGCCACTGTCAGGGGCGCCCGGGTGGCTCAGTCGGTTAAGCGTCCAGACTTCGGCTCAGGTCATGACCTCACGGTTCGTGGGTTCAAGCCCCACGTCGGGCTCTGTGCTGACAGCTCGGAGCCTGGAGCCTGCCTCAGATTCTGTGTCTCCCTCTCTCTCTGCCCCTCCCCCACACATACTCTGTCTCTCAAGAATGAATAAACGTTAAAAAAAAGAAAAAGAAGAAACCACTGTCGGCTTGGACGCTGAAGGGATGGGGGAGGGGCAGCGTGGAGACAATGATAACAGTGACAAAGTGACACCTATCGCTTTACATTTGTGGCTTCATCACTTGGTCCTCACAGCCCCTCCATGGGCAGGGACCTAGGGGTCCAGAGAGGGAAATGACCAGCCCAGGGTCTCTGGGATAGTGGTTCTGAAGCTGGCCACTCCGGGCCTCCCCTGCCTCTGCCTCTGTCTCTGCCTCAGGAGGGTGGGGCCCAGCCAGAGTCCTGGGGAAGAGGGGGCTCCGGGAGGGTAGGCTCAGCTCAGGGACAGGCCCTGCCAGGCACACTGCGCCCCCGCCTCCCCGCCTCCCCTGCGGGGCAAGGCTGGGAGCCACAGCTGTGCAGCACTGCCTGCTGAGCGCCGGGCGGGGGCAACGTCCTCAGGGGGCTGCCCTGGGCCCCCATGCCCTGCCCCCCACCCCCCCCCCCGGCCTCCCCTGCAGGAGGCACAGCACGCGCAGAAGTCTCCAGCCGCCCAGCTCAGGAGGGGAGGACCAGGAGAGACAGACAAGGCAGATCTGTCCACCCACCTCGCCTCCCTGCTCTGGGCCGGGCCCCAGGTCCCTGCGGACGCCTGGGTTCCTCCTAGGTGCAGCCAGCCCAGCCTGCCGGCCCTCCAGATGTCCCGGACCCGCACCCGGGCCTCAGGACACCAGCCTGGCACCCAACAGGGACAGCCTGGTCACTGATGTCATGCTCCTGCCAACTGCGCATGCCAGGTACTTCCCACCATACCCCCGGAACCCCACCCCCTCCCTCCCAGGGAGGACGCCCACCTCCACCTTGCAGTGAGCTTGACGCGGGCGCACGCTGCCCCCAGACGATGTGCCGTGGTATGGGTCACCCACAGGTTGACACTGTCACCCGCATTTGCCCAAATCTCAGTGTCCTCACCTGCAGAATGGGGGCATCGACACACCTCCCAGGGCCGTAAAGGGACTGAACAAGAACACGCCTGGCAGTGGCCTCACCGAGCCCGTGCTACGGGGCCCCTGTGGCAAGAGCCCAGAGGCCACAGCTGAGCACAGACAGCACTCACTGTGGGGGGCAGGGCCTGAGGGCGCAGGACTCTGGCCACGCTGCCGGCCGCTGGCTCCCTTCGCACCGGGCGGCCTCCACCCACTCATTCCTGGCCTGGTCCAGACAGCCGTAGGTCACCCAGCGCCGCCCTGGCAGGGAAGGGAGAGGCTGGGCCACCTCACTGCAGGGGGCGAACCATGTTTCAGGGGGGCCCTGCCCCAGGCCTCACCTGTCCCACAGCTCACCGAGCAGGAGCCCCGCGTGGCGGCCCATGCCCAGACCTGTGGCTGCTTCGGCTGGAAGTAGGTGAAGGTGATGTCTGGGTGCACGAGGTCACCATACTCCTCCCCGTAGCGCCTGTAAACCTGCGTGAGACAGACAGGGGCCAGGCTGGAGGGCAGAGCCTGGCGGCCCCCGAGGGTCTAGCGCCTGTCCCCACAATGCCTCATCTGGCCACACAGCACCGGCCTCTTGTCTGTTAAAATGGGGAATCCCTGGGCCCCCCCTGGCGAGTCCTGATTTGGCGGCTCTCAGAGGAGCCCAGGAATCTATTTTTACACCCACCGCAAAGGATGCAGACAGGGCTGCTGGGCTGCCGGCATCTGGAACCACATTCCTGGGGGTAAGGCGGGGGGTAAACCGGGCTGCACGAGGAGGCAGGGAAGGAGTGAACTGCTTACCAGGCGGCTCCCTCCAGCCTGGCTTGGACTCTGGGGGAGCTCCTGCTGTATCCCCCAGCTTTGGGGGCAGAGGTGGGGCTGCTAAACCAAACTCAAGGGCCCCCAAGGCTTGGACCCCTTCCCGAGGGTTCTCGGGGCAATTTCAACATATGTTAGTTTCTATCCACCCCTCCAAGCGCCTTCCTGAGCAAGGCACACAGGGGGCCCTGTGCAGAGGGGGATGAGCCCAAAGCCCATGCCCCCATGTACCCTCTGTCCCCAGAAATGATGAGGGCCAACATCCACTCAGTACCAGCGACTGCCACCCATGCTGCCGGAAACATACATCCCCTAACCCTGGGAGGCAGGATGGCAGCCTCCTGCCCATTCTACAGAAGACTTAGGCACAGAGCAGTGGCATACACAGCCGTTTGAGGCAGAGCCAGGACGAGAAACTAGCATCCTCTGTGGAGGATGGCGTGGTTTGGGGGAACATTCAGCTTGTCCCACAACTTCTGGGGGGCCTCACTTTCCCTCGATCGGGATGAGGCATGCCCATCTGGCACTTTCAAGATTCAAGCCGGCAAGCCCTTCCGTGGCAATGGCCACCCTTCAGGACATATGCATGGGCACCAGGCGCTCTGCTACACGCTTAGTGCACCTTCTCTTTAAAAAATGAATCTTCACCAAACTTCATAACATAGGTATGCTTAGCCCCATTTTATGGATGGGGAAACTGAGGCTCAGAGAAGTTAATCCCTTTGCCCAAGCTCTTGGAGAGGCGGGATTCAAACTCTAGTCTGCCAGAGTTCCTGGGCCTGGACCCTTGACCTCTGGGTCACCTCATTTTCAGCTCCTGGGCTGACACTGCTCCGCGAGGGACAATCCCACAGTGGGTCTCTAGTCAGGGAATCGCCAACTGTCTTGCTCCCCATGCCCTCCTTGGGTCACGTCCGACACAGGCCAGATCCCCACTGCACTCTGCACAGAGCCCCCTCTGCACCCTCCCTCCCCACCCTCCAAGTGCCGGCGGCGGGGGGGAGCCCCCACTCCTCTCATGGCCAGCGAGGCCCCTGGAGATCTGTCCTGCCTCCTTGCCTGGGGGGGGGTCCCCTTCCCTCATCCCTCCTAATTACCCTTTGTTACTCCCTGCCTGGCCCGGCAGCGCCAGCTCATCTCTGACCTCAGCAGCACAGCCCGCTCCTGGGGAAGCCCCCGACCCCTGCACGCCCACTCTCAGACCGCCAGGGACCCTGTGGGCCGACTGCTGAGACAGCAGGAGGAAGTCCCGCTGACCCCCCCCCCATCACCTGGATCTCCATGTCTTCCTGGGTGGGTCCCTGGATGCGGACCTCCTCCAGGTGAGGCAGCCGGTCCTTCGTGAGGCTCACTCTGTACTCGACCCGGCTGTCCTCCAGGAGGGAGGGGTAGGTGGTGCTGGGAGAGATGGTCGAGTTCCCGGCCACGACGTAGCGCCCTCGGATCCGCACCGCTGGGGGGGAGGGGGTCAGGCTGTCAGCAGGGGGAGTGCCACCCCACCCCTGTGGTAGGTGGGCGCCAGCCCTCACAGAAGAGGTCCTGGTGTAAGGAATGGGGTGGTGGCGACCACGGGACGTGATCTCCGCTGCCACATCTGTAGCCCTCCTCCCCAGGGCCCCTGCCTTCCCTGGGGAGCCCCTCTGCCTGGCGCCGCGGTGGGTCAGGCGGTCTCTGGAGCCAGCAAGGCGCCGCCCCCCAAGTGTGCACAGGCATCTCACCACAGACGGTGTCCCCACGGGGCGCCTGGGGGGCTCAGCTGGTTGAGTATCCAGCTCTTGACTTCGGCTCAGGTCAGGATCTCACAGTTGGTGAATTGGAGCCGAGTCAGGCTCTGTGCTGACAGCTCAGAGCCCGGAGCCTGCCTGGGATTCTCTCTCTCTCCCCCGCCTCCCCCCCAATCTCCCACCAAGTGTGCTCACATGAGGTCTACAGGCAGCTTCAGGGGCCCTAGGACCCCAAAGCGCCCCCTCTCCACATTCAAAGGACAGGTGTAGACGCCCTCGAAACCAAGAACCACTGCGGCATATTGAGTAGTAACGCGATTGGCCCGAAGACAGGTGTGGCTTTGCCCTGGGCCTCGAGGAAGGAGCTTGCGTCACACCTGATAGCAGGACCCTGTTTAAGGTGCCTTAAACAGAGCCCTTCCAGAGTCCGCCCTAGGCATCCCTCGCTCTGGCTTATTGTCTCCTTCCCCTGTGATAAGCGGTAACCGTGGGTATAAAAGCTCTCAAAGTCCTAGGGGTCCTCATAGCGGCATATCCACCATGGTGGCGGTTAGGGAACCCCCTGAGCTTGTAGCCAGCGTCCAAAGTGAGGGCATCCGGGGGTCTGTGCCTCGCCGTCGGCAGCCTGGCTCACTCTGGATGGCTGCCCCCCCGCCCAGCTCACCCAAGTGTGTGAAGAGAGGTCTCCGGTTGGTGATGTATATGCTGGTCAGGTTGCGGGTAACTGTCAAGAACGTGACGTATTCTAGAAGGAAGCAGGGGGGCGTGGGGGGGTCCCCAGGTCACTTACAGCGCAATCAAAGGGAGGAAATTCGAGATATGCAGGAAAAAGAGCCTCAGCACCAAAAGCTGCCAGTACAACGGGGCTGCCTCAGGCAGTAGAGAGCCCCCTGGCACTGGGGGGCCGATCAGAGCCCGGCTGGCCGGCCACCTTCCAGGGCGCTGCCCCGGCCAGGACTAGGGACTCAATCCAAGGTTCTGGGCCCGGCCACATGCCAAGGCCACAGGGAGGTGGGACCCAACTTCCCCGCTGACCCTCTAGGCGCCCACTTTGCAAACGACTTGACCTCTTTTATAAACAGATCACAGCCAAGGCTCCCAAGTATCACATCCCTTCTGATGGGAACCCTCCGACTGCCCGGTGTCCGGGTTTTATCTGCCTCACAGCTACCGTGAGCAATCGTTCCCCAAACGCCACTGCCTCCGGCGGCGGCCTCATCAAATTCCGAGCTGCCTGGGGAGGCTGGCGAAGGGGAGGGCGGGGGCTGAGGCCCGCAAGGAGGGGCCAGGGCTCACTGCCAAGGCTCTGAGTGGCAGGGGTCCCTTGCGGGCTGGGGGGAGGAGCCCGGCCACCCACCCCTGGGGAAGCCCGTACCTCTGGCCCTTCCGGCCGTGAAAGAGCCGTTGCGGGGGCTGCACGTGCTATTGTTCCCTCCACACACCTGGCACGCATCTCGCACCTGCTGGGAGTCCATCCTGCCGTCACAGCCGAACGTCTGTGCAAAGAGCAGGGGCACGTGACACCCATGACTGCCCACCAACCCCACTGCTCCGGGGCGCTGGGGGCCACACCACCAACCGGAGGCATTTTGCAGCCTCTGCCGTCCATGCAGGAAGCAGACACGAAGGGGTCCCCCACGGTCTCAGCGGAGCTCTGAACCCCCAGCTGACTCTGCAGTCAGCTCAGCGCCCTGGACCTGGCCCCACCCCAGCATCTGGCTTCTGGCCTGACTGGCCGCAGGGCCACGGCAGATGGGAGGGCACCTCCGCTGCCCGCACACACATACCCTGCAGCTGCCCGACACGCACAGGCTCAGGGTCCCGTCCTCCCGCCGGCCATGTGGCACACACCGGGTCCCATCCAGGAAACTGTCCCCACGCCTCACAATGAAGGTCTCGCCGATGGCTCGGCACATGTGTCTGCACAGAGCGTCCCCTGGGAAGGTGAAGGCACAGAGAACCCCCACGTGAGGGCAACCAGGAGTAGGGAAGGCAGCGACCCTGTAAAGCACAACCCGGGTGGGGCTGCCCTTGCCGGGGCCATCTCACTTCATCCTCTGGGTTTGGGGCCAGGGGCCCGGCTCCTGAGGCAGCCGTCATAACCACGACATAACAACTGTTACTGAACTGAGCCAGGGAGTGCCCTTGGTGCTCCCCAGTGTCGTCTCACTGAATCCTTCCAACACCTGAGCAGGGAGACCGGCTCTTATTTCCATTTTACAGATGGGAAAACCAAGGCTCAGCCCCTTAGGAAGGGGTGGAGCCAGGACGTGAGGCAGAGTCTGAGCCCGAGCTGTCAACAGCATCAGGGTGATGGGGGCCGGCCGCACCTTGACTGTACTGCTCGGCGGAGCCCCAGCGGTAGAAGGAGGCATTGCCTGGGGAGAGGTGGAGCGGTTTCCTGTCAGTCTGCGAGCACTGCTCGGACATGAACTCCAGCTGGGTCTTCTCACAGGCCTGGCCGGGAGGAGGCAGAGAACAGACACAGGAGGGGCCCTGGGGGCAGGGGATCTCAGACAGGAGCCTTTGCCACCGGGGACAGCAAGGGACCCCGCAGCACGAGGGCCACAATGCGGGTTTGAGCCCAGCTCCTGGCTGCACTGAGGTCGCCTTGCTCTATAAAGCAGGCCTATCTGGCCTACCGCCCAGCAGCAAAGAAATAAAGAGCACTGCTCGCCTGCTCCCCTCCCAGAGCCTGTGCTCCAGGTGAGGACTCCACCCTCCAGGTCCGCAGAGGCCCCGTGACAGCCTGCAGAAGGTGGGAGGGAAGCTCTCGCCTCGTGCAGATCTTGACGCAATGTCAAAGGAAGCGTATCCCAGCAATTCACACGCAGTGCACTGGCCGTGATCAAAAACATGGGCAAGAGGGGCGTCCAGGTGGCTCAGGCCGTGAAGTGTCTGATTCTGGATTTCGGTTCAGGTCATGACCTCGTGGTTTGTGAGTCTGAGCCCTCAACACGGGCAGTGTGCAGCCTGCTTGGGAATCCTCTCTCTCCCTCTCTCTGCCTCTCCCCAGGTCGCTCCTGGCTCGCTCGCTCTCTCTCTCAAAGTAAAAAACAAAAAAAGGGGCGCCTGGGTGGCTTAGTCGGTTAAGCGTCCGACTTTCGCTTAGGTCATGATCTCGCGGTTCGTGGGTTCGAGCCCCGCGTCCGGCTCTGTGCTGACTGCCAGCTCGGAGCTTGGAGCCTGTTTCAGTCTGTGACTCCCTCTCTCTCTGACCCTCCCCTGCTCATGCTGTCTCTCTCTCTCTCTGTCTCCTAGAAATAAATAAAACATTTAAAAAAAACAGCAAAAAACAAAAACAAAAAAACTTAAAAAACAAACACGGGCATCAGGGTGGAGAGGCGGAGATGGCGTGGAGAAAGCGGAGCCCATGCACACAGACGGTGGGAAAGCGAAGCAGGATGGTTTGGAGGCTCAAAGAATTAAACATAGAAATACCATGTGATGCAATGAGTCCACTTAAAAAAAATCTGTTTTTTGATGTTTATTCATTTTTAAGAGACAGCACGAGCAGGGGAGGGGCAGAGAGAGGGAGACGCAGAATGGGAGACAGGCTCCAGCCTCCCAGCTGCCAGCACAGAGCCCGACACAGGGCTCGAATTCAGGAACTGTGAGATGGTGACCTGAGCCGAAGTCAGACGCCTAACGGACCGCGCCCCCAGGCGCCCTGTCCAGGGGTTCCACCCTTAGGTGGAAACAAAACCTCGTGGAGCGCCTGGGTGGCTTCTGACTTCTGCTCAGTTCATGATCTCATGGTTTGTGAGTTCAAGCCCCGCCTGCGCTGGGCTCTGCACGGACACCGTAGACCCTGTCTCCCTCTCTCCCTGCCCCTCGCACGCGCATGCGCGCTCACTCTCAAAAATAAATATGAAAATAAAAATGAGAAATGGTGCTCAAGTCCACAAACACATGTGCTCACAGCAGCACCGTTCAGTCACCAAAAGGTGGAAATGGCCCAAATGTCCATCACCAGATGACAGATAACAGGCGCTCTATCCACATGACAGGATATTATTCAGCCACAAAAAGGACCGAACTTCTCACACCTGCTACACCCTAGATGACCCTCGAGGGCATGATGCTGAGTGACAGAAGCCAGTCACAGAAAGGCCACACTGTTGCTGTGATTCCATTTGTATGAAACATCCAAACAGACACATCCAGAGACAAAAGAGGTGGGTCGTTGCCAGGGGCCTGACGATGGGGGAGGGGAGTGACAGCTTAGTGGGTCTGGGGTCCTACTCTGGGGTGACAGAAGCTTTTTGGACTTGATTGAGGTGGTGGTCGCACAACATCGTGAATGTACTAAAAGCCACTGGATCCCACCTTTTATGTGCTTGATTTTATGTGATGTGAATTCAGCTGCACTTGGAAGGAAGGAACGGTTCTGGGGTGTGCTGCTGGGGGTGGGGCAGTGGCACGTGGGGTGGGGACACTGCAGGGACGTCCCGGAGTATGTTGGGACCACTGAGGTCCCAGTGGAGGCAGAGCAGCACCCCTCTCTCTCCAGAGCGTCCTGGTGTGAACCATGAATTACAGTCGCCCTGACCCTTCCGCGCTCCCAGGGCCTGGCGCCGCCGACCGGACCCTCTGGCCATGTCCGGGGAGGCAGGCCTACCTGGGTGTTGCACGTCTCCGCCTGGAGGTCAGCGCCCACACACGCACGCCCTCCATAGGCAGGCCTGAAAATGCCCACAGACACAGGGTGACGGGTGAGCTACCACCCCCAAGCCAGGGAATGCGGAGGGGGCCCTTCTCACCCATCCCCCAGCCCTGACCCGGAGAACAGCGCCTCCTCCATGCAGTACCTGGGGTTGCTGCACTGCCGCCTCCTGGTGACCACGCCTCCCCCGCAGGAGCGGGAGCAGGGACTGGGGGGACCCCAGCTAGACCAGTGCCCATGCACCACCCCCACGGGGCTCAGCTCCGCCAGGGAGCGGCAGTGACCTTTGGAGCACCACTGCAAGAGAAGGGCACACCGTCTCACACCCAGGACACCCCACACCCACAGGCACCCCACACCCACAGGGCACCCCGCATCCACAGGCACCCACAGGGCACTGCACACGCGAGGCAGCCACACAGGCGTGCTCATGTGCATGTGCCCCTCCCCCCATCCTGCTCAGGAACTGATGCTACATGGAAGAAGCCAACCCCCAGCCTGTAGGACAGAGGAGGGGTCTGGCCCTGTTCGAGCGGAGAGGAAGGGCAGGGGCACGGAGGTCTGCAGGGTAGCAGAAGGCCGAGCGCCCGGTACAGCCCACAAGCCAACACGCGCTGTCAGTCCCGCTCTGACCTTCTGCACCCCACACTCTGTCCCATCCAGGAGGGGGATCAAGAGGCGGCTACAGGTATTTTGGTCCAGGGGGTCCTTGTGGCAGGAGAGGGCCTGGCACATGTCCTAAACAGGGAGACGGGGGGCCCGCTGGAGGGTGCAGCCGTAACTGTCCCCCCGGAAGACCACAGGGCACGGTGACACTGCGCTGTGGACACTGGTGGCGGGGAGAATGTGCACAGCGCACCTGTCCGTGGGCACAGGGGCAGTGACCAGGACCCACGATCTTTTTAGGGACCCACAAAAATGTTTTCATTTCTTCTAAAATCAGAAGACAAAAAAATGATCCTTTAGGCCAAAGCAGATGCCCTCATAGGCAATATTAATATGATCGTCATAACAACACATAAAAATCTTTATATATTTTGTAAAAACACTGATAACAATTGTTGGGGGGCCGACATGTAAAAGGTGGGATCCAGTGGGCTTTAGTAAATTCACAATGTTGTGCAACCACCACCTCAATCAAGTTCCAAAACGCTTCCGTCACCCCAGAGGACCCCAGACCCACTAAGCTGTCACTCCCCCCCCCCCCCACTAAAGCAAAAGTGCCTGAGGCCCATGAAAGTCCAGGGGGGAAGTCTGTCTTTAGGCAACCGGCCCCCTTCATCTCCCCTTCCCCTGCTAGCTCACACTCCTGCTATAGGATTCAGTTTGGAGGTGACTTCCTCCAGGGAGCCCTCCAGGTTCCCACTGGATTGGGAGCCCTTGGTAACTGCGCATTTAAGTTCCCGGTCAATGGGCTCAGGGGCCTCCTAGGGTTGGCTCCAAAGGATTTGTGGGACCCAGTCAAAGCGAAAACAGGAGCGCCCTTGTTCAAAATGTACGGAATTTAAAAGCGGACTGGCAGCCTGGCACAGCAGCAGAGCTGGGCGCGGGGACAGGGAGCTGGGGTGGGCGGCGGCGAGGCGGGACTCACGAGGTGCTCCCTGGAGAAGGTGCAGGCCACCGCGGCGGGGCCGAAGGCGACGCGGCACTGCTCGTCGGCGCCGTAGTGGAGGCCGGGCTGCGCCGGGGGAGGGCTCCCCGCGGCCCCGGCCTGCGGCCCCGGCGGGTCCCACAGGCAGCGCGCCCGTCCTGCGCTGCGACAAGGCCCGGCTCAGACCCCGGGTGCACACCGGGGTGCAGGGGTGGGCGATGGCTGGCGGGGAGGGGAGTCTCAGCGCCGACCCCCCAGCGGGAGCTAGCCCTGAGCTGGGACCAGGCTCAGGTGGGGCGGAGGTGGGGCCCCAGCCGAGGCCTGGGGCGAGGGAGTGGGGAGGAAGGGGGTGAGGCAGGGGAGCGGCTGGGAGGGGTGGATGGAGGGAGGTGCCAAGGAGGATGGAGGAGAGTCCTGGGGTGGGGGACGGGTCGCGATGGGGCTTGAACAGAGGGCGTGGCTGGGGCCTGGAGCACAAGCTGGGGGGCCCCAAGTGGAGATGGGCGGGGGAGGGCTGGGGGGGGTGAGAGACGCAGCTACCTGAGCAGGCGCAGCAGTTGCTGACGGCTGCACGCGGACCACGAGAGGTCACCCCTAGCGGGCGCCCCGTCCTGCGACGCCATCACGTGGCCACTGGGCCCGCAGCCGCTCCCGGGCTCGCCGTCGTGTTCCAAGCCCAAGCTGTCGGGGCGGCAACGCTGAGGGCCCCCTCCCCCTGGCCGGGTAACCTCGAGTCCTACCCCCTCCACCTGCCTGTGGTCCAGGCCTGGCCGACGCCCTGGCTAGGTTGAAAGTATGTTGAGACCCCCCCCCCACCATCCTCCACCAGGGAGCCCTGCCTCAGTTTCCCCCAGAGGGAGCCCTCAACCAGCCAGATGGTTCTTGCCTCTTTGGGCTAATAAATATCAAAAGGCTTTCGCAGCCCCTGGGTGGCCCAGTGGGTTGAGGGACTGACTCTTGATTTCTACTCAGGTCATGATGTCAGTTTGTGAGATGGAGCCCCCCCACCCCCACCTGTCCGGGCTCTGTACTGACAGTGCAGAGCCTGCTTGGGATTCCTCCGCTCCCTCTCGCTCTGCCCTGCCCCTGCTCACATGCACACTCTCTCTCCAAAATAAATAAATACAACTTTTTTTTTAAATGCTTGGGGCGCCTGGGTGGCTCAGTCGGTTAAGTGTCCGACTTCCGCTCAGGTCATGATCTCACGGTTCATGGGTTCAAGCCCCACGTCAGGCTCTGTGCTGACAGCTCAGCCTGGAGCTGCTTCAGATTCTGTGTCTCCCTCTCTCTCTGACCCTCCCTTGTTCACGCTGTCTCTCTCAGAAATAAATAAAACATTAAAAAAAATTTTTTTAATGCCTTAGGAGTGCCTAGGTGGCTCAGTTGGTTAAATGTCCAACCTTGGCTCAGGTCATGATCCATGGGTCCATGGGTTTGAGCCCCATGTTGGGCTCTGCGCTGACAGCCCAGAGCCTAGAGCCTGCTTGAGGTTTTGCGTTTCCCTCTCTCTGCCCCTCCCCTACTTGCGAACTGTCTCTCTCTCTCTCTCTCAAAAATAAATAAACATTAAAAAAAAATTCTCTCTCTCTCTCAGTAGAATAAAAATAAGTATGTGTGTGTGTAAGACTTGACTACAATTACATACAAAAGGTGAACAGATGTTATCTCTACGGGCTGGGATTTGGGAAAATTTTTACAGCCTGCTTTTCCTTTACATGAATTTTCTAGAAAACATTTTCTAAGTTCAAAAAGCGGAAGTCTTGCTTTTTTGGGGGGTAAAAAAAAGTTTTAATCACCTGGTAATCAAGAAGTATCAGATTTCCCAGCCCTTGGCCTCCCCCAAGTGCACTGGGGTCAAGGTACAGGTTCCTTCCTGGAGACTCTCCCAGGGTGGCCCCCCAACCCCAGCGTCAGCCTCAACGTTCCCTTGTGGGAGCCCCCATCAGCTCCCACCTCAGCTGGGGGATAGCATGCCTACCTGTGCCCAATCTCGTGGGCAATGGTGACCCCCAGGTCAAAGCCGGTATCCTCAGTGATGAGGCAGCTCCAGGACGGGGAGCAGACACCCCCAAGCTGGGTGACCCCCCGAACCTGCCGGTTCCCGTCAGGCAGCTCCAGGTCAAATCTTGGGAAGAGAGAAGACACTTGGCTGGTGCTGAGCGGCCTGCCCGCTGCCAGGCCTCCTTTGCGGGAGGGGCAGCTCCCAGGCAGGCTGGCGAGCCCCGGGGGAGCGCGGCCACCTGGTGATGTAGAGGGCCAGGTCGGCATGGCCGGGGTCCGCAGCGTCCTCGGCGCGGAGGGTCCTGCTCCACTCGCAGACGCTCAGCAGTGAGGCCGTGAGGTTGGCTGTGATATTTGGAGCCTCCTGGGGGCCAGAGCCGGCGTTTATGGGGCCTGCACCACAGTGCCCACCACGACCCTGTCACTGTCCACGCCACAGACAGGGAGGGCGACCAGAAGAGGCAGAGAGGGCGGAATCGGGATTTCCAAGGACTCTGGGCTCCCAGCTTGGTGCCCACCTCGGGCTGGGTCAGGATGACCATCTTGACCAGATGCACTCGGAACTGAGCCCCCAGGGATGGGTCCCTCAGCAGCTCCGACCCCTGTGGAAGGGCAGGAGGGAGAGGTGACTGGTGGGTGGGCGGGGGCTGTGGGGGTGGGGCCTGGAGAGGCCACTCCCCCAGCAGGGGTGAAATGCTAGCCCCGGCTGGAGGCCCTCCGCAGACATGGGCAGATAGATGTGTCCTGGTCCATGGGATGCAAATAATTATCATTAGTCTAGAACGTTCCACGCCAACACTGCTTCTCTCTCACCAGATTCACCCTGTCCTTTCTCATGTCTGTCCATCCACCTGAAACACCTTTCTCCCCACCTCTGCTTGTTTCCCCTGCGCATCTCCAGGACGTTGCGCGCGGGCCTCCCCTCCCTCCATATACCCTTTCCTTGGGTACCCCGGAGAGAGGTTCCCCCCCTAACCAGGCTCCTGGCGCTCCCTCTCTCTATCTCTCGGCACATCTGTCAAGACGCCCATATCGTGGTTGACCTGTCTGTGGCTGTCTGCAGCAGCCTGTCCTCTGAATTAGACGAGGCCCCCCCGAGAGAGAACTCCGCTGTCACTGGCCTCGGCTAACCTGAGTCTGAATCCAAGCTCTGTCGCGTCCCACCCGTAGGCTCGGGGCCTGCTAACCAACCTGGGAAGCTCAGGTCTCTAATCTGTGAAGTGGAGGTAATGCCTTCCGTGGCTGTTGGTGGGCTCAGGAACGATGCCACGGGCACAGGGTGGGGGCCCGGCCACGAAAATGGCTGTTACCACCGCCAGCCACCATATGGGCACAAGGCAGGCTGGTATCTACACTGTCCCAGGTCCTCGTAAGACACATCAAATTAGCACAGGGAGTATGGCTCGATTACGAATTTCAGTGTATTCGAACTGGGAGGACACCCCCCCCCCAAAGATCGAAAACTAGAGATTTCAAGTGACTATAAGGAAATGTTTTTCCCCTCTGGGGCTGCAGGCAGAGACCTGTGCACTTGAGGCAGGTCTGCCAGGTACAGGACCACATGGGTGTGTCCCTGAGGCCCAGAGAACTGACAAGGGACAGACAGGGGTTTGATGGCCTGCCGCTCTGAACCTGCGGGGACTTGTCCTTTGGCCCAAAACAGGTGGGCATACCTGAGGCACAAAGTGGTGCAACGCACCACGCATTCTTGGAGGGCAGGCTCTGCCCACCCTCCATGGCCAACTTGCAGAGGCCGGCCGGCTCCTTGCCCCCCGCCCTGGCACTGGTATTCATCCCCTGATATGGAGGAAGCTTGCCTGGTGGCCCAGAGCAGTCACTCTGTGTGGGGGGGGTGCGGGGGGTGTCATACGCGTATTCTCAGGTGGCTGGGAATGGGTTTCCACGTGGTCTATTAGGTTACACGTGAGCATTGGGTTGTTGAAACGCCCGTTTCTTGGCTTACCCCGCCTCTCTGAGATGGCCATCAGTGGGGGTCATTCTTCCCATGCCACATTTACCCCTAGAAGCCAAGGGGAGGCGAGCAGAAATGGGGGTGCCCACAAGAAAGGGAACTGAGAGAGGCCAGTGTAGGGTACCCTGGCTGGTGCCAGGGCAGTGCTGGCCGAAGTTTCCCAAGGAGCAAATGGACTTCAGGACAGAGGCCAGATCTGAAGGTCCCCTGGAGAGAAGGGACCCAGTAGCAAGAGGCTGTGGGGGCCACTAGGGAGCCCAGAGGGGTTCCAGGACCTCACCCACCTCCACTCCGGGTGAGGGAGGGGTGGAGGAGGAGGAAGCAAAGGGCAGACCACACCCTTCCCCAAGGCCCTGGGCCCCAAGCATGACCCCAGCCTCACTTAGGTTTCTACCCAAGTTCAACCCAAGTTCAAACTACCAGATGAACCAGCCCCCTCCCATTCCACCCCAAGTCCCTGGTGTGGGGCACTGTGTCCAGAGGTTCCCAAGTGCCACCCCTTGTGGCTGACACTCACCATGTTGAGGTTCGTGAGCACATAGCGCTCAGTGTCCTCCTTGTGAGCCTGGTAGACGTCGGGGCCCACGGCCACCAGCAGCTCCAGGTGCAGGACCCTGTCGGCAGACCATCTCCGGAGGCGGCCAGGGGAAGGGGGACGGCCTGGGGAGGGAGGGGGCGGGGCTGAGGGTGAAGGTTCTGGAAAGCAGAGGACCCATAGCTTTGGTCGCCCACAGCCAGGTCTTTCTTGGACTCGGGAGACACAGCTGTGACCTGTCCCAGCCACTTATCCCGCCAGGGGGCCCAGTCCTCTGCTTTCTCCTGGGGAATGTGGGGAGCGCAGACTGAGAGCGCCTGTCTTGGACCCAGCCCCAACCCCCGCCCCTGCCTTGGGCCCTCGGGAGCTGGCCTCCAAGCTCCTCAGAAATCAGTGGTCTCAGAGGGTTGAGGGGCCCAAGCTGTTGAAAATCACTTTATGTCGTGACTGTCAGAAGCAGTGGCTGGCCCAAGACACTGCTGGGCCTTGGACTTCAGCCCACCCCCAAGGCCAGATCCCATCAGTGACTAGGCATTCCGGAGCATTTGAAAGGACCAGGCCGCAGGGCAGGGCCCAAGGAGGGAGCTATCTCGTGGCTTTTATGTCCTTGGTGTCTCCCCAGGGTCCCCGCGCTGGCTCTGTCCCCGTGCTGCCCCCCTCTGGGCACATGCTGGACAACAGGGTCATTCCAAGATGACCAGGAAGCCCGAGACAGCACCCTGCTGTCACCTAGGTGCAGCCGAGGGCCCGGATGAGCAGGCCTGAGCGGCAGCAGGGCCAACTCCAAACCTGGTCGCGCCCCTGGGCAGCCATGTAAGCCCGGAGCGGCCACCTTCTGTCTTTGGGCCTCCGTGTTCCCATCTGTAGCATGGAAAGTACTAGGATCAGACGTCCTGGCCGTGTCCCAGAGAAGGGAGACCCCAACTGCGCATGTCTGTGAACGATCTTTGTGATCTGTGCGAGGCTGTTCATTGGCTGGAGACCTGGCCGTCCACCTACAGGACAGCTGCGGGCATGGCCGGTGGCCACGTGTCCCCCCCACCGCCTGCCCATCCCCCAGCACCCTGAAGACCACGGCTCAGCTGGGCTTGTGCCATTCTGCACAGCCCCTGGGCGCTGGGGAGAGCTGGCCTTCCCCCAGGGCTGTCTCCCTCTCCCAGGAGCTGTACCTCGGATGACCTGGGGGGCCTCAGGGACTGTGGGGGCCTGGGGGACAGGCCTGTGGATCAGGTGGGGCCGCACACGAACCCAAGGAGGCAGCAGCGCCCAGTGCCGCCTCTGCACCGGCCGGACGTGAAACCTGTCCGCACCCACCAGGATGTCGCCCTCCTGGAGAAGAGAGAGCAGACAGGCACGTAGCCCACCCACCCCACCACAGGACAGGGCCTCTCTGGGACATGACGCTCACCAAGTGGCCCGAGCAATAGGTGACCCTGGCCACCGCGCCCAGGGGTAGGAGGGGGCGGCCTCCGGTGAAGCAGAGACGGGGCGGCCGCCTCAGGAGCCGGAGGGAGGCATTCAGCACGAGCTCACTGGTGAAGGAGGTGGCGAGGAGGCTCCGCTCCAGCGGGAAGGAGATGGCAAAGAGCTGTCCCAGGGCGCGTAGGGAGCAGCTGGGGGCCCTGCAGGGAGGCCCCGAGGGCCCCTCCTCACAGATGCAGGTGAGCGGGGCCACGTCGAATTGCGGCACTGTGGGAAAGAGGAGGCCGCCTTGCTCGCTCACCCCTGCTCAGTCCTCTGCGTCTTCTTGCCCCGGAGAGGGGGCCCCGATTCATTCCCTTTGGTGAGTGGGGAACAGGGCTGGCCTGGAGCCCGAGGGGCCTGGGTTCAGGTCCAGCTCCTCCCAAGCACACAGTGTGGTGGGCTGCAAGTTGCCTCTCCAACTGGGGCCTCACCCCGGGGCAGACCAGCACTCGGCACACTAGCCTCGCCCCAGAATAGGGCTTGAGGGGCGGTCTGAACCCCAACAGGCAGAGCAGGTACAATCACAGCTTCTCTGGCCCTTACAGAAGAGCAGACGCCCAAGGCCAGCCTCCCCACCCTTCCCCACGGATCTGCCTCACCCCAAAGTAGCCCCCAGGCCCCAGGAGGTCCCACCCCCTCAACCCCAGGCGGCCCCAAGCAGTGCTCTGTGTGCATGTGACCCAGGCCGCAGGGAATTCAGTCACAGATGGGACATCCCCTACTGATCTCCACCCTGACCACCAGCCCACCCTGCTTCTGGTCTCCAGCAGCTTTCACATCAATGGCCCGACTGGGAAAGGGGGCTAGGGCCCCAGGGAAGTCTGAAGGCGTGGCCGGGAGCGACAGGGGAGGCTCTGGCCAGAGCCCGGGCCAGCGCCTATCTTGTTTCTCACGGAAAGGATAAATATTTCCATGTCCATCCATGGCCAGAAATGCTCCTGCAGCACAGCCAGCCCAAGGGAGGCCCGGGGGCAAAAAGGACCAGCTAATTAGGAACCATTCCCTTGAGATACTGAGCAGAAGCCTGGGGTCAGAACCCCAGCTCGGCCCAGGACGCCTGGACCAGCTTTCACGGACTTGGCAGAAGCGTGGAGTTCATGAACAGGAATGACGGCAGCTTCACCTCCTCCCAGGACCTCCCCACCAAGCGGAGCCCTGCCTCAGCGCCGAGATGCCCCGCAGGCTCCGAGGACCTCCCTCTGCTGAGAAGACCCCAGACAGGTACCTTTTAAGGTAGCATCAGGGCCAAAATAAGAAGTCACTTCCTCTGGCTCCAAAGCTTGGAGAAATTGCTGCAGGACAGAAAAGACCAGGGAAAAGAGGGGCGGGGAAGGGGGCAGGAGAGGGGCAAGGCAAAGGAGGAGGGGAGCCAAGGTGGGGGTGGGGGACGCGCAGTACTGAGAAGCCCTTTCCTTTCTCTGTAAACACACTGTCCCCGAAACCCCAAGCTCAGACCGACCCCCCTCCCAGTGCAAACCTGGAAGATGAAAGGACACCCCCACTCTGCCCAAAGGCTGTCTGGGCAGCCCCGTCTCTCCCCCACCCCCTCCCGGGGCACCCTCCGTCAGCACCCAGAAGAGCTCAGATTGCCAGCCCCAGGGCACCCGAACACCTCGGCTCCTGCAGATTCGCCCACCTGCTGGAAACCGGACAGTCCCCGGCAGCCCAGGAGAAAGAAGGAAGTGAGCATTGTCCCCACGCATCTCCCCCAGGGGCGAGGCTCCCTCATCCTCAGGAGAACCCGCCTGGGGCAGAGGGAGAGAGCCTTGTGACTGGAAATCTGCCCAGCATGGGATGTGGCAGTCCCCAGGGGGCCGGAAGAGGAGGCTGTGTTTACTCTTGGGAGCTTCCTCCCAGGGCAGGGGCCACGGGGGGTGGGCAGCCTGAAGGAGGCTCTTGCACCAGGCTGGTCCTTGGTCTGCAGCGCAGGACCCTATACCCCGGAACGGGGCGGAGCCAAGCAGCGCAGTCTGGAGGAGGGAGCACTGGACCAGGAATCTTAACATGTGGACCCAGGCATGATTCTAGAACTGGGTCTGGGTTACTCTCCACGGGCTGATGACAGGCTGTACCAGAGACAGCAACATTGCAGCCTCAGCAACCTGCTCACGTCCACGTCCACAGACACCCCACGATCTGCCCTGCTCTCCTGTCCTCATTCCCCTTTGTCAACCTAAAATAGTCAGGAGGTGATTGATAATTACACAAGCACATTTACCTGGGATCGAAGAAGTGCAATTCGGGGCACATAGATTTGGGTCACAATCCAAATAGTGCCCCACTAGGAAGCAAAAGTCAGGGGCATCTACAGCAAAAACACACTGGCTGTGGGGCGCCTGGGTGGCTCAGTCGGTTGAGCGTCCGACTTCGGCTCAGGTCGTGATCTCACGGTTCATGGGTTCGAGCCCCGCGTCGGGCTCTGTGCTGACAGCTCAGAGCCTGGAGCCTGTTTCAGATTCTGTCCCTCTCCTGCTCATGCTGTCTCTCTCTCTCTCTTTCTCAGAAATAAATTAAACGCTAAACAAATTTTTTTTTAGAAAAAGAAATAGACTGGCTGTATACACTGCTTGCAGAGAACTTTGGACTGGTGCTGGTGGCAGAAAGGAGATCTGTGTAAGACAAATCTTGACTAACGCTGTCGCTGAGCAATCCTTTCACTCGCCAATCGCAAGGGTTCAGTCCTTGAAGCATGTGCACTTTGGCCCAGTTCAAAAGTTCATGGTTCCACTGGTGAGGATAGCGAGACGTGCATATGGCCCATCTCCTTATGGACTCCAGCTCCATTTTAAAACCCCATGACATAAGTGACCCTGTTGCGTTTCACCCTCCTTGCCCAGTGCAGATGCCGCCCCCCACTGAACCCACCCCTCACAAACACTCCTCTGCTTTCCCCTCACTCTCAGCCACTGCTGAGTTTGTGCCTGCCCCCCACCCCCCGCCCGTGGACGGTCACAGAACCACACCATATGTCCCAGACCACCTGGCAGCCCCCTCTACTTTCTGGAATGTTCTCAGCCATACTCTCCAAAGCACTGTTTCACACTCCCTGCCACCTCCAGGACACCACCCCCCCAACTCCCCTGACAGCTAGAGGGGCTTCTGAAGGTTTCTTGGCTTCTTGTCCTCTTTATTAGGGAGGCTGCACCAACTCCATTCTGGGCCGAGCTGCTCCCCATTCCCAGGCCGGATCGTTGGACAGCCCGAGGCTCTCTCTGTCCATCCTGCTTTTCTCCCTCTCCTTTCCCAGGTATGCCGCCCTAATTCACGCGGTGCGCTCCTGACTTTCTCTGTGATGTTCCCTGGAGACCCAGATGGCCACGGGCCCTAATCCAAACTGCCTCCCTGCTGGCCTGGTGTCTGTCATTGGCTCCCGCTGGCCTCCCTGCTTTCTCTCTCACGCCCTCCCCATCCCATTTCACTTAGAGTGGCAGTGATCCTTTAAGAACTCAAGTCAAATTGCAACACCACCACCACCACCCCCCCTCAGCTCTACAACAATTGATGGCTTCCCCTTGTCCTTAGAGTAAAACTAGCAAACCCTTCCCTCAGCCTCCGGGACTCGACTCTGTAATCGTAGAACAGACAGACTGCCGTCTCTCTGCCTGCATCTCTAAGCCTCTCCCCTCGGCACACAGAGACTCGGCCACACCAGCCTGCTTCTCCTTACTTAGATAGTGCTCTTCCCTCCAAGCCCTGGTTTCACATTCAAGTTTCAGCTCAAATGTCACCCGACGGAGGAGGACCTGATCTAAGTGACCTCCAGATAGAGTTGCCACATTTAGAAAATAAAAATCAGGACGCTCAGTTAACTTTGAATTTTGGATCAACAAGGAATACTTTTTGTTTGTTTTAGTAGACATATGCCCCAAATATTGCACCTGCTGCATCGGACACATTTGTACCAAGAACTATCCTTTGTCTGGAATTCCCATGCCCCTGGGCGTCCTTCGTTTTGTCCGGTTTCCCCAGCATCTCACTTTATCACCTTCGCGGTAGTTAGGAGCATCCAGAATTACCCGGTTGGTTTGTGATGTTTCCTCGAAAGCCCCCCACCCCCGCACGACACACACTCACGTGGAAGCTTTAGGGAAGCGGAGGCCTCAAGGGATCCCCAAGGTACCGAGGGCCCAGGCAAGGTGGACCAGTAATTTATCACCACGATGTGCCATAAACTAATACACAGCGTAGTTACCCTACTTTCTCATTGCCGCCGGCCGTGGCTCAAGTGCTCTGCAGCCCAGGGCGCACGTGCGGCTCTACCAGCACCCTGGGGTCGTCTTTCCGTCTGGCGGCCTCAGTTTCCCCACTCGGTGAGGAAGGGGCGGGGCTAGCGCCGCCCGGCTCGGGGGCGTGGCCCCGGCTGCGCGCCGTCCGCTCCGCCCCCCGCCCCCTCCCCGACTCCCCAACCTGGGCCCGTCCGCCCGGCGCCCCCTCGCGGCCGCCTGCGCCGCGACGGCCCTACACCGACAGCGGCCCCCCAGTTCCCTTCCGGCGCACGCGTCTCTCGTCCCCGGCCCGGCTCTCGGTAAGGCGCTGGGCCTACCCCAAGCCTAGCCTAAGTCCTGGACCCCGGACGCCGCTCGCTGGAGTGGTGGCCCTCCCCCCAGGCCGGAGAAGAGCCCCGCCCTGCTCCCGGCCGTGCGGAACCAGGAGCGGAGGCCCGGTTTCCAGCCGGCCCGGAGAGAAGAGCACTTCCGGAGACCGGGACGCGCGTGCCGGGACGCGCGCGGCGCCGCTTCCGGGGTCCCGGGGGCTGGTGTCTCTCGAGCCGGGGAGCTGGGGGCTGGCCTGGGCCTGCGCTCGGTGGGCAGAGCCCGGCTCCGGGCCCGAGGGACCCCGGCCGGGGGGCGGGATGGCCAAGGCGCTGACTCCTAGGCGCGCCCCGGGCGACCGCCTGGCTGAGCCGGGGCTTGGCAAGCAGCTAGCTCGGAAGAAAAGCAGGAAGAGGAGATTCTGGAAAAGCAGAGGGCGAGATGCAAGCAAGACCCCGGGCGGCGGCCCCGGCGACGTCGTGGTGCGACCTCCGAAGGCGCCGGAGGACTTTTCCCAGAACTGGAGGGCGCTGCAGCAGGTGGGATCTGAGGGGCCGCTGGGCAGGCACGTGGGAGTCCCAGACCTTTCGCGGGCGCACAGCCTGTGGAGGTGGACAGCGAACCCGCGGGAGCGTGACAGAACTGGGGTTTGTGAGTAGCTTTGATGGCAGCTGCCCCCGGGGTACTGATCTCTTCACATGTGCGGACTCTGGCGTGATCTACACGTGTGTTGTTTAACCCCCAGGCCAGCGCTGTGCGGGGGCCGCCTTTGTCAGCTCCTTTTACAGAGCGGAAGGGGGCCCGGAAAGGTTAGAGAAAATATCGGGGCAGAACCGGGTGTCCCACACCAAGAGCCACTGCTCAGAACCCCACGTGGTGTCCTACTGCCTTTCTCCTCACTGGTGGCCGGTGCCTTCGTGGAGGTTCCTTTTATGTTTGTTTATTTTTGAGACAGAGACAGACCGTTAGCAGGGGAGGGGCAGAGAGAGAGAGTGAATCCCAAGCAGGCTTGATGCAGGCCTCGATCCTATAACCCTTGGGTCCTGACCTGAGCCGAAATCAAGAGTCGGTCGCTTAACCGAGCCACCCAGGCCACCCACATGGAGGTTCCTTTCTGCCCAGTGCTGTTCCATGTAGTTCAGTCTACACCTTCCTTGAAGTTAAGCTGCTGTTGTCATCGCTGTTTTCCAAGCGAGGAAACTGAGGCACAGAGCTTGAGGAATTTGGCCCAGTGTCACAGAGCTGGTAAAAACGTGGCAGATCGGGGTGCAGATTCACACTTTCGAGGCAGAGTTTCTGTTCTTAGCTAGCAGTGACTTTCAGAGTCTTCCACAGTTTTGGGGGCTAGAGAAGAGCTTTGAGCCTCTTGACACGGCGAGTGCCTCTGGATGGGAGGTCCTGACCGCCTGTGTGGACGGACAGGACTGAGGAGGCTCCCTCGGGCAAACCCGGGCTTCTGGGTGATTTCTTGGGCCGTGGCTCCTCCTCCTCCTCTTTCTCTCAAGGAGGTAAAGCAAAATCGCGTCAGTGGAAAGGAGGTTCATTAGGGGGGAAACCTTGTGTTTCCTGTACATCGCACGAAAAAGTAAGTCCTTCTTTGGTTAAGTGCGGCAGGAACAAGTAAGTAGAAACCCACACCCCAGGGTCTTAACTGCGGTTAAGAGCAGTCGTGCTGGGGGCTGGAGCTCAAGGGGAAGCCCCGCACCAGCCCTTCCTGTCTGAGGCTCCTGGCAGCCCTTCACCGCCGTGGCCTTGACTAAAACTCTTCTGTTGAACACACAGCCCTTCCTGAGACCCTCGCAGCACACAGAGGGGTTCGTAAAGGAGGGCGTTCCAGGGCAGCAGCTCTTTGGCCTGGTCTGGGGAACGCGAGCCCTCAGTGAATGGAGACCAGCTTTCTCGTATCCCTCTGGCCAGGTGAAGAGGTCTGTGTTCAGGCATTCGGTAGGCACTGAAGATGTTGGACAGCAGTTTAAAATTTTGTAGGGGTGAGGCAGCAGGTATCAGATCGTGCCTTGTAATGAGATGAGCAGAGAAGACCGTCTCCCCACAAGTTACCAGGCGGGAAGGAGAAAGGACTTTTCCCAAACTGTCAGATGATGGATCTCACTGATCTGGTGGGAAGTGCCCGTAGACATGACTGACTCGTGGATATGCACACACGTAAGGTTTTTCAATCTCTCATGCGTGGTTTCCAAATTAAAACATGTTGTGTATTTTGTCTTGGGTCCTATTAGCTCCTGAAACAAAAAACACAGGCCCCGGAAAAGCCTCTGGTTATCTCTCAGACGGATTCCAAACAGCAGCCCGGAATTCTCCAACAGAACAGAAAAGCCACCCGAGATAAAGCAAAGAGAAGTGAGATGCGGACGGAAACGGCGGCCCCAGAGGCCGTGGGGGACTCTGGTCCCGGGTCGCCGCCTCCCACGAAGGTCAGCGGAGCAGAGCATGGGGAGAAGGCAGGCAAGAAAAGGACCAATAATGATATTTCTCCAGAAGGAGGAGACATCAAGCGCAGGAAGCCGAAAGCTAAGGAGGTGACTGTGGCCTTGACCCCAGTCCCGCCCACCGAGTGAGTACTGGTGGTGTGTGCCAGCCGATACCCCTTGGTGCGGCTGGCGGCCTCGGGGGAGGGCCCTCCGGGTGCTGTGTCGTCGTTTACTTGTCTCCCCCAGGATGGAGGCGTGATGAGGGCAGGGCCTGCTGGTAAGCGCTGTAACTTCAGGGCCTAGAGCACAGCGAGGCACTTAGGCCTCCGTGAAGACTTGTGGGGTAATGGACGCCAGAGCCAGAAAGACCCAAGTTTGAAACCGATTCCTGCGTCTTGCCAGTCGAGTGCCTTGATGCAGGTTCTTGCTGTCCCAAGCGTCAGTGTGGTCACCTGTGGGGGGGGGGCTTGTGAGATGGGAAGTGCTGACCCAGCGCCTGCTGGTGACTCAACAAACTGCGGAGGTCACTCCCACGGGGAGGAGCGGGGTCCAGGGGCCGCCTCCAAATGGCTCGGCGGAAGGCCGCGCGTACCTAAGTCAGGCTGGTGGCGAGTCACCTGCGGGTTGAGGGCACAGTTCCAGAAGGCTCCAAGGAGAGAGCGTTTTGAGTGCCGGCCACGTGTCACTGTGCTGGGTACACTTTCTGGAAACCGGCAGTCACCAAAGGGCCCACACCCCGAGCCTGACAGGCAGGCCGGAGAGGCGGCCAGACTGGAATTAGGCGGGTAATTCTGTGGGTGTGGGCAGGGTAAATCCGATGAGGGTGAAGTGCACGGGAGCCCATGGCCATGGAGCGTGTCGGCCCAGTGGTGTTGGGAAGTGGTTTCTAAGGAGGTGATGTTTGGCTGCGTCCAGAAGGCAGTTCACCAGGCAGGCGCATCTGTCCGGCCGTGGGCATCCGCCTTTGAGGGTTTGGCGTGAAGACACCAGGGGTAGGGGGCGTCTGTGATTCCATTTTGTAGTCGGTGCCTTTATGTGCATCTCCTAAAGGTCCGGTGACAAGCTTCCTGCTTTCTCAGTTGGGAAGAAAATGCCAGCGGCCGTTACACATGGCGCGCCTGTCTGTGCTCTGTGTGTTTCTCTGTGGCTCCTGGGTCAGGGTAGTGAGCGCGTCTCCCAGTTAAAAGTGGCAGAAGCGCCGCGCTGATCCAGCAGCGGGAGTGGCGGTGTGGGCCCGATCACGGGGGCCCCTCCACTGAGTGGCACCCGCAGCCCACTCCCTCTGCCTTCCAGGGAAGACATCTGGTTTGACGACGTCGACCCAGCGGACATAGAGGCGGCCCTGGGCCCAGAGGCGGCCCGGATAGCCAGGAAGCAGCTGGGGCAGAGCGATAGCAGCGTTGCGCTGGTGAAGGAACAGGCCTTCGGCGGGTACGCAGGGCGGCACCGGGCAGGGGAGGGGGAGGGTTTCGGGCAGGAGCTCCCCCGCGCCCCTAGTGGAGTCAGGCAGGTGCTGCCCCATCCTGTGAGGAGCCCTGAATGCCGAGCTGGTCTCCACGTGGTGGTGGGAGCCGGGAGCTTTAGGGGCCGCCTGTTGGTCCGTGGTGTTGAGTGGACGGGACTTTGTCTCCCTCAGGCTGACTAGAGCCGTAGCCATGGACTGTGAGATGGTGGGCGTGGGCCCCAAGGGGGAAGAGAGCATCGCCGCCCGCGTGTCCATCGTGAACCAGTACGGGAAGTGTGTTTATGACAAGTGCATCAAGCCCACCCAGCGGGTGACGGACTACAGGACGGCAGTCAGCGGGATCCGGCCGGAGAACCTCAAGCAGGGTGGGTCCGCGGGCCGGCGAGCGCAGGAGAGGCCGTGCCTGGCCCTTCTCTTCCTCTTTATGATTATTAAGTATATTCACTTGGAGAGAGAGAGTGTGAGCAGGGGAGGGCCTGAGAGGGGAAAGAATCTCAAACAGGCTCTGTGCTTTTAGCACACGGGGAGCCTCACACGGGGCTCGAACCCGCAAACCGTGAGATCACGACCTGAACTGAAACCCAAGAGTCAGACACTTAACCAACTGAGCCACCCAGGAGCCCCTTTTTTAAATTATTACCTCATTTTTTTGAGTAACGTTTCCATCCAAAGTGGGGCTTGAACTTACGACCCCTAGATGGAGAGTCACACGCTCCTCTGCCTGAGCCAGCCAGGCGCCCCCTTCTCTCCCTCTTGTCCCCTTTCTGATCTGGAGCATAGGCCACAGCAGGAGTCCCAACAGCCCTGTGTCTCCCAGGGTGACTGTTTTCAGATGGCTCTCAGATGCCTTTGTGTCTTCACCTGTGTGTCACTTGGCAGTAGAGGCCCAGGGAGTGTGCTGACGTGGGGGTGAGGAGGGAAGGTGGGGACAGATTGCAGGGTCCCGTGGATCTTCGTGGGGACGTCGGGAAGCCACGGGAAGGTCTGAGCAGTGACAGGCCTGGCTCAGGTGTCTGCAGGTTCTCTCTGGCTATAGGATTGAGAAGCGACTCGGGCCATGAGGATGGAAGCCAGATGAAAGGGCATGTGCTGCTGGTGACCTGGTTGTGGCCGGGGGGGGGGGGGGGGGGGGGGGGGGGGGGGGGGGGGGGGGGGGGGGGGGGGGGGGGGGGGGGGGGGGGGGGGGGGGGGGGGGGGGGGGGNGGGGGGGGGGGGGGGGGGGGGGGGGGGGGGGGGGGGGGGGGGGGGGGGGGGGGGGGGGGGGGGGGGGGGGGGGGGGGGGGGGGGGGGGGGGGGATGAGGGGCGCTGTGAGAGATGACAGGACGTGGCCCCACCCCAGGTGCACCCTGAAGGTGGAGTCTGGGGGGTGTGCTGGACAGGCCGTGTGGGAGGAGTCACACAGGTGGGGCGCTGTGAGAGATGACAGGACGTGGCCCCACCCCAGGTGCACCCTGAAGGTGGAGTCTGGGGGGTGTGCTGGACAGGCCGTGTGGGAGGAGTCACACAGGTGATTCCGAGGTTAGAGATGCGAGGCTACTGCCCTTCCCCTGTCCCTCTCAGGCTCCCTCTGCACAGTAACCAGCCAGGCGGGACCCCGGCCTGACCAGCCCCTTGGCTCCAGGCTCAGCAGGGACCTGCTCGGCATGGACTGTCCTGGACCTGATCCCTCCTGTCCAGGGCCGGGCGCAGTGGCTCCCAGCCTTCCCATGGCGGGAGACGGTGGGGACCCAGGGCATCCGCCAGAAGAGCAGGTGGGGCTGCCTCTGGAGGGGTGTCTGGGGGAGCACTCCTCGCTGTCTGCGGCCAACGACCCATCTTGTCTTTACCTGCAGTTGGAAAGTGTGAAATCTCAGTCCCGGTTCTCACTAGATTCAGCGGTAAAAATGACTGTCAGGTTGCCATGAGTGCTTCTGAAAGGCCACTGTGCCCCCTGCGCCCATCCTGGCCATGGAGGGCGTGATATGGGGCTCACCGGCGTGGCCCAAGGCGCTAAAATTCACTTCTTTGTTCTGGTCATCAGGAGAAAACCTGGAAGTCATTCAGAAGGAAGTGGCGGACATTCTCAAGGGCCGGATTCTAGTTGGACACGCACTGCATAACGACCTCAAGGTACCAGTGCCTCGTGCAGGCCATAGCCCCGCAGCGGGCCCCCTCCCACACCCTGCATCCCCGCCATGGTCCGCACTGCGTCCTGGAGGCACTTTCATTACTCGGACTTATGGCATCTCTGTTGGGAAGGCCCTGGAAACAGCACCCCATGCCAGTTGTCCGGTTCTTCCTGGGCCGAGCGTCGACCGTTTCCGGTTCTTTAAGAGGCGTTTGATGGTCCTGCTCTAACAGGGGGTCGACCTGAGGCTCTGTGAGTTGAGTGATCTGCCCACAGCGCCCCCGTGGCAGAGCTGGGTGCAAACCCAGACCTGGGGCCAGGCGCCCTTCCCCCAGCTCTCGCACCACAGCAGGTGGCACTCGAGCTCGAGGGTCCACCTCAGTGCCCTGGAGGCCATGTGCCCGGCCTCTGCTCCCGGAACGTCCTTGCCGTGGGTGGAATCGTCCCGGCCGATCTTCGGAGAGCCGCGGGACGGGCCAAGTGCGCGTGGGGCTCTTCACCCCATCGTGGAGCCCTGGAGCCCTCGGGGGTTTCAGGTGTCGCTGAGCATGGGTCTTTGTTGCCTTTTAAAATAACTCGGAAGCGCTGAACTCACGGCGGGCGCTTGGCCTGCTGCAGCTCAGGACTGGAAGTCTCAGTGCCGCCTCCCTGCTGGGCCGCGCCGTCTCCTCAGGCAGCACCGTCCCTGGGGACTCGGGCACGCTCGTGTCCGGCTCTCTGCTGAGGCCGTCCTGGGGTCGCAAGATGAGCTGGGAGCACACGTTCTCCAGAAGCCCCTGCTGGTGCGACACCCGCTCAGGACACAGGAGCGTAGTGGTTGCCGGGTAACCGACGGCTGTCGGTCTCCAGTTCTGGAGACTGTGTTTTTATTTATTTATTTTTTTAAAATTTTTTTGTTAAATGTTTTATTTATTTCTAGGAAAGAGAGAGAGACAGCGTGAGCAGGGGAGGGTCGGAGAAAGAGGGAGTCACAGACTGAAACAGGCTCCAGGCTCTGAGCTGGCAGTCAGCACAGAGCCCGACGCGGGGCCCGAACCCACGAACCGTGAGATCATGACCTGAGCGAAAGTAGGACGCTTAACTGACTAAGCCACCCGGGCGCCCCAGAGATTGTGTGTTTATTGACACAGTTCTTACCGTTAGGCATTGTCTTTAGTCCGCGTGAGAGCTTTCCTTCCCAAGTCCAAGTTCACATCAGTACCCGCTTCCCCGTGTGTGTTACACGCTAGGACTCCTCGTGGGAAGCTGCTGGGAGAAAGTGCCACCTCTGCACGCTGACAGCACCGTGACCGTCACCGGGTCCTCTTCTTCCAGGTACTGTTTCTCGATCACCCGAAGAAGAAGATTCGGGACACGCAGAAATACAAACCTTTCAGGAGTCAAGTGAAGGTACTTAACGCGAGCACGGCTGCGTACGTCGTAGTTCTGTGGGTTCGCATACTGTCGGTTCTGGGCCCTGGTGGCTTGCTGGTTAAAGGGGTTTGGTTAGGTTTTGGGGGGCCTTTTAGCTTTTGAAACTATAAAGAAATGTTAAAAAAACAAAAACCCCAGAGATTCAGTGAACGTTAACCTTTAAAAGTCAGTGCAACCAGGGGCCTGCTGTTCTGGTCTCTGTGGTGAGGTCCCCGGCTGTGAGAGGAAGCCGCCCTCGGGTCTGGTGCAGAGGCGTCAGACACGCAGTGCGGGTGAACTGGGTGTCACGTGCCCTCGGTGCCCCCGGCACTTCCGGTGAAAGGCATGTTGAAGTACCCTGGGTCAGGGCTCAGTAGGTGACCCCCCTACTCCCCACCCCCGCTGAGCAGCCTGCTGAGGCCTCCACCCCAGCGTGGCCGTGTGCTGTCCACTGTCCCCTGGCAGAGTGGGAGGCCGTCTCTGAAGCTGCTTGCAGAGAGGATCCTGGGGCTCCGGGTGCAGGAGGCAGAGCACTGTTCGGTGAGTGTCCTGGGGCAACAGTCCTCAGGATTGGGGGCCATCCCTGACCTTGCGGCCAAGGCGCTCTCTTGGGACCCCGACAACTTATTTTTAGGAGGCCGCTGGTCCATAAAAGATGAAACGGCGCCCTGGGCTTACAGAGCGGTCGTTAAATTCCGGGTGCTCGTTAACACAGAGAATTGCCATGTCGTGCACAGTCCTCAAGAGAAAAAGGCCCCCACATAGATTGAAGCCTTTCCGAACCATCCGGCCCAGGCCAGTGGTTCCCCGCCTTGGTGACGGGCCCTGGCGTCACCAGGGTACTTACTGGCGCCAAGCTGCTGGCCCGTGGAGGCCTCAGGCAGCGTCCACTCGGAGCCCCGCTCGCGTCTGCACTTGTCGCGTCAGCACTTGTTGCGTCGGCCACTGTCTGTTACGCCTCAGGAGGCAGCACGCCTGTCCCTGCCCTGTCCTGCCCTGGGTCCTTTCTTCCCCGCAGGCTGGCACCCGAGCTGCCAGAGCCCGACTGGGGTCGGGGCCCTACAGGGGTGCTCCGATTGGCCTTCTCCTCGGCCTCCCCGGGGTGTGGCTCAAGGGCTCGGGTGGCATGCGCCCTGCCTGTCGCCTGCTGGGAAAGTCACAGTGGTGTTCTGGGCCCCCTAGATTCAGGATGCCCAGGCGGCCATGAGACTGTACGTCCTGGTGAAGAAGGAGTGGGAGAGTTCGGCCCAGGACAGGCGCCCCCCGGCCCCGGACAGCAGCAGCGCCTCCCATCTGCAGGCGGTGACCGCACACAGGACAGCGCGGGTCTCCGCGTAGCAGCAGAGCTGTTGAAACATGTTCACCGTCCTGGTGGCAAGGTGTGGGGGCAGCCGAGACTGCTTCCTCCCTCTGCGATCCAAGACCTGGCGCCCCCACGAGGGGTGGGCAGCACCGGTGGGGGTCTGTCCTGGGGACTGACAGCGAGTCGGGGCTGCCTGCCGCGTGCTATCCCCACAGTGTGCTGGATTCACCAGGTCCCAGGGGCCAGAGGCACCCAGCGTCCACTGGATTGGTAGCCTCTTCCAGGGAGGAGGCCAGACCCCCGCTGTGCCTTGGGTCACAGGTCACAGAAAGATTTTGGACTCAGGCCCGACGCAGCCAGTACAGTAAGCGCAGCTCTCACCTTATCTCTGGGTTCAGCGCAGCCGCCCTCGGACTCGGGGATTTTCTGAGGGTGCCATTCCTCCCTCACACCTTGCGCCCACCCCATATATACACCCGCCAGGTTTCAACTTGAGGTCAGGGTTCGCAGTGTGGCAAGTGAGGCTCAGCTCGTCGGAGCTGGGTGACTGTGATTCCCCCCAAAGACGGGTGCCCCTCCCCATCGGGACAGATGTGCTGGTCCCCAGCTGTGGGGGGGTCCCAGGTATGCCCGTCGGGACAGATATGCCGGTCCCCAGCTTTGGGGGGGGGTCCTAGGTGTACCCATTGGGACAGATGTGCCGGTCCCCAGCTGTGGGGGGTCCCAGGTGTGCCCGTCGGGACAGATGTGCCGGTCTCCAGCTGTGGGGTGTCCCAGGTGTGAGGGTCTTTGTGAGAAGAGTTGGGAGCAGCCGGTTGCACCCGGTGCATAAAACCCCGGCTTTTACCAAACTGGCTGACATAGCACAAGGAAGACCCGGACCCACCGAGAGGATGTAATACACAGGCTTTTACTGGAGCTGGAGCGCGGAGGGTACACTTCCCTCGTTCACGGTGGTCTGGAAGGGCCGCTTTTTCCACAAGGGCCACGCTGGTGGGTCCAGGGCCAAGGTCTGTGTGGAGCCTGCCGAATCGAGCCCCCAGGGCCCCACCGGTCCTCTGAGCTGCCCCCAGCACGTCTGCGTGAGTGAGGGGGACACCCCCCTCCCATGACCTAAGGGAAGAGCCGCTCACCAGGCAGCTCCAGGGCTGGACAAGGAAAGGAAGGGCAGGAGAGGAGGTATGGGGAGGCGGGAGGCTGTGGGGTGTCTGCCTCCTCAGGGCAGAGCTGACTGTTCTGCAGCACCGGGCGGCGGGCCGGCCTCCAGCCTTAGGAGCACCTTCTCTGCGTAGGAAACCAGCTCCTGGAAAGAGAGCAGCAGGCATGAGTTCATGGACGCTCTTAGAGCCTTCGAGAAGGCATTTTTGTGACCGACTCTGCTCTTCCGTGAAGAGGTCTGTCCCTGCCCTTTAGGTTTTGGGGCCCGGAGACAGCTGTGAAGTTGCAGATGGGAAAAGAGTCAGGAAAACCATACACGCAGAGGGGTGCTTGGGTGGCTGTCAGTTGAGCCTGTGCCTCTTGACTCTGGCTCAGGCCATGGTCCCAGGGTCGTGTGATTGGGCTCCGCACTGAGCGTGGAACCTGCCTGGGATTTGCTCACTCTCCCTCTGCCCCTCACCCACTGGAGCTCTTTCTATAAATTTAAATAAATAAATAAAGTAAAATAAAATAAATAAGTTATACACAGGGTCAAGTCTACTTGGCACACAATGTCTTGTTCTGGGCCCCTGGCTCCGTGCCACCCAGATCCAGCTGTAGAGGCAGTTGGGAGGCCTGATGTGTGTGTCCCCCCCCCCCCCCCCCCCCCCAAGTGCTCACCAGGCTGGAGGTGAAGCGCTCCTTGATCTCCCGGGCCAGGGGCTGGATGCCGCTGGCCTGCAGCTCAGGCAGGATGTCATCTGTGGGCAGAGCAGAGGGTCCTGAGGCCAGTGGGACAAGGCTGGGCCCCATCGCACTTGGGCTTAGGCCTTAGCATGACCGCACACTGCCCCTGGGGCCCAGGAGCCAGCGACCGCCGCAGTCAGTGCGGCGCCTGGTGCCTGGAGCTCTGCTGTTGAACGAGCAGGAAGTTGGAGTACAGTTCCTTCTCTTCTCCCCACCAGTCAGGGCTGGGAGCAGGGCACCTCTGACCACTGGCTTCCTGGGTGAGGGGATGAGAGGGAAAGGGGGACTCTCACCGTAGGACGCGAGGTGAGCCAGCAGCAAGCAGATGTTCTCCACCACCTCCGGGTCGTCCCTGTACAGCTGGTACGTGTCCTGGATGAGGCTGAGGCCGCTGCTGCCCTCCTCTGGCATTGCCACCTGCAGTGCTGCCAGCTCTTGGGGGGGGGGGCAGGATTTACTTCCTGCAACTGCCTGTGCCTTGGGGTCCTCTAGGAAGTGGGGTGACAGCAGTCCAGGGTGCTCAGGATAGCAGGGACCTCAACCGCTGGCAGAGGAGGCTGGTTTCCTGCCGCCTGAGGAACCTGAGGCCGGCGTTGCCCCGCTGGTTGTAAAGCTCGCGAAGGCACCTGCGGGCCCCGGTTCCTCCTGGTGGGAATGCACGCCCCATCTCCCTCCCCCAGCAAGAGGCTCCGTCAGAGGCCTCAGCCCGCGGGCACAAGGGAAGCGCTAGAAAAGCGTCCCAGGACTTGCCTGTAGTGGGTGCTGGCGCAGCGCCAACACGGCACACGTACCCCCCCCACCCCCAGTGAGGGGTCAGGCCCTGGCTCTAGAGGGGCTGCGGCCTGCGAAGTGTTACTCCTCAGACCCTCCTGGAGCCTGGGGAGATCTCACCCTCAAGCGGGCCCACTTGAGTTGTCCAGCCAGCAGGGGGCAGAGCCCCATTCCCGCTCAGACCCTGGCCCTGGGTTCTGAGCACCCCCTCCTCCGTTGCTGAGCAAGGTCGTCGCCTCTGCCCTCAGGACCCCAGCTCCCCTTCCCGTGCCATGAGGTCGGCAGCTGATACAGACCCTGTGTCGGGGGGCCTGCCCTGCCAGTGCTCTTTGGAGCCTCTCCAGGAACGAGGGCGGCCCCTGCCCCGCCCCCCGCCCAGCGCACCCTCAGAGGGGCGGGAGCACCCCTCACACACAGGTCCGTCACGGCGCCTGGCACTGCCCCCCAAGAACGGCCGGCGCTCACGTTGGGGGGACCTGTCTCCGGGGATGTCCTGATAAGCTGTGCCCGTAGGGACACCTGTGCAGACCTAACACCTGGGCGGGGTGTCCATGGACGCGGAGAGAGAATCACAGCACGGCACGAGGCTAAAGCCCCCACAAAACCAGGAGGTACATGGAAAGTCCCCACAGCAACTTCTGGATGATGGGACTATAGGTTGCCCTTTTCCCGTTTTGACTTTTCCGTTCTGTTTTTCGCTCGTGGGCAGCTGGCAGACAGGACGTGTTGCGTTTTGCCTCCCCCCCCCCCCACCTCCTAGGGTAGCCCGGTCCACCCCCGGCTCACCGGACGCCTTTGCGAGGCTGGCCAGTCCCCGGTAGGCGTTGTTCACCAGCCGGACTCTGTCCTGGCACAGCCGGATGCTTCGCAGCAACAGCGTCACCGCATCTGCAAACTGGTGCTCCTTGATGCAGCCTGCGGAGGGCGCGATCAGGCCTCGCGGCATTGCTGCAGGGGGGAGTGGGGGAGGCGCGGCCCAGCCCCGCCGCTCACCTAGCAAGGACAGCAGCCAGAAGACCGCGCAGCCCGCCTCGGCCATCTCCGCGTCCGTGGGGTAGGCGGCCAGCACCTCAGCGACGAGGACTGGGGCTCTCTCCAAGGGGGTCTTGTCCACAATGACGGCTGGGACCGGGACACGAAGGAGGAGGGGACACCTCGCCCTGGAGTGCCTGTTGTATATGTGACCCCACACGCCCTGCCTCCCACCAAGGACACGGGAGCCCCGTGGCCTGGAGCCCTCTGTTCCTGGGACCCGTAGCCCTGTTGCCGCTGGGCCAGAGGGGCCTGGAGGCGAGGAAGCGGCCCCGCCCCTTTTCTGCATCGGCGCCAAGTACCTTCAGAAACCAGGGGCTGCCCAGGAAACCCCGGCATGGGTGGCAGGTGGAGGGGCTCCCAGGGCAGGAGCCCCCAGAGTCGGGGGGACCCACCCATCCAGACAGGGGGCCCCCTCCCCTCCTTGCTCTTCCCCTGCTTCCAGGCGCCTCTGTGCGCTCTTGCCCTGAAGCATTTAAGGGACAGGACGCGGAGGCCCTCGAAGGCTTGCAGAGGTGAGCAGGGAGCAGCGAGGACAGCTGTCCCCGGGCAGGAGGAGGGCCCTCACCGGCCGCCAGGAGGGCCCAGAGCAGGCTCAGGCCGTTGATGCACATGTCCCTGTTTGTGAGGAAGGTTCTCAGGTGCTCCAGGATAAGCTCCAGCAGCCCGGCCTGCTGCAGCGCCTCCGCGGCCGACTCTGCGGGCGAGCCCCGGAGTGAGGGCCCCGGAGAGCCCCCTCCGTCTGTTGTCCTTACCCCCCCGCCCCGGGTTTCTGGGCGCCTACTCGGCGCCAGTCACACGCAGCGTGGGGCCCAGAAACAGGACGACGCAGTCCACCCCCTGGGCGCCAGGCCCTGTATTGCGCATCCCACTGTTGGGCTGGGGCCGGCCTCGCGGGACCGACCGCACAGAGCGGGCCTGCGCCTCCTGAGACGCGAGCGTGGTTGCATCGTTGCCGGCGGGTGATACGCCTGCTGTCGTGTGGTGCCCTCTCCTAGCACCCCGCCCCCTCCCCAAAGGGGGATCCAGCCAGGGTGGTGAGGGGCGGAGGGCGGGGTGCCTGCCCCTGGCTGGCCACGGGGCTCCAGGTGAGTGTCCTGGGGCTCACGGGCCCGGCTTCCCACTGGAGAGAGGGCTGCCCACCCAGTGAGGAAGGTGGGGATGGGCAAGGCGCCAAGGGCCCTGGGTCACGGCGCTCCCTGCGGCATCCCCTGTCCGGCCACCTATGGCCTGCGTGGCTGGTGGCTCCCGGAGCCCAGGTGCTCTGGGAAGTGGAGCCCACGGTGGCACCTGGCAGCCAGTCAGTGTTGTGCGTGTTTGTGGAGGGAACAAGTGTCTGCCGAATGGAAGCTTCCCATCGGGAGAGGAGGCAGGACGAGCACGTGGAAGAGACCCCGCTGCAGGCGGCACGATTGTGCCATCCCGGGGGGGCGGGGCATCAGCGTCGCCCCAGCCTCCGCCCGGGAGAGGGAGGGCCTGGCGCACCCACCCTGGCTGGAGATGATGGTGAGCACGCCATAGACCGTGACCAGGAGCTGCTCCGACTCCGGGTGAACCCGCAGGCAGTTCAGCAGGACGGAGGTGACAGAGCTGTCACTTGGCACCTCGGCCGCTGGGTCCTGTGCCAGCGCTGCTTGGCCCGAGGGAAGAAGCCCAGGGTCACCTCCCGAACCTGGGCTCACGGGACAGGGGGCAGGCAGGTGTGCTCCCTCCCTGGCTGGGGCGGGGGCAGGGGGCAGTGCCCCTACTTCAGGTGGAGAAAGCCTTGCCCTCCTGGCATGGAGCACATCGCCACAAGTGTCCCCCCCCCCCCCCACGAAGCTGGCGAGTGAGCAGCGCCGTGCAGCCAGGGCTGGTCCCCAAGGTTCTGCTGGCACTGGGACAACGCGCCGGAGCCCCCAGTTAACAGGTGCGGCTGGGCGCCCACCTCGGCCCAGCGTGCACAGCAGCAGGGAGCAGGCGTGCAGCTGTAGGCCCAGGACCCTCTCGTGTTGCGTCATGATGGCGGTCAGCACCTCCGCCAGCTCTGTGGGCCACGGCAGAGCTGGCAGGGCAGGGAGGCGAGGTGAGCCTGGGCACAGGGCCGGGGCCGGCCCGCAGCTCTGCCGGGGTCTGCAGGGCACCGTGCGCGGGCCGCCGGCTGGATGTGGAGGCGGGGAAAGACGGTGCTTATTGGGCGCTCGCCGTGTGCCTGCCACGGGCATCCTGTCCCAGCAGCCCCCGAGGGAGGGCCTTCCTGTGACTCTCATCTTGCAGATGAGGAAACCGGGCAGAGAGACGACAGCACTTGCCTTGAACCCGGCCTGACTCTGGAGCCCGGGGTCATAACTACCCTGAGTGTGGGCATCCGCGGGTGTTGCTGACTCTCCTCTGTGCTGTGTGCTGGGTAGGGGGGAGAGGCAGGGGCGGGCAGCTGAGGGGCCAGCACCCACTGTGCCCCTCCTCCACCGCTGCTCTGTGTGCCTTGTTCTGAGAACAAGCAGGAGAGCGCTGGCGCCCAGGAGGCCGAGCACAGCCAGCCGGCTTCTAAATGAGGCTGGCTGGGGCGCGTGTGGCTCCGGCAAAGCCTCCCTCGGCTCCTTCAGGAAGACAAAATCTCCCTTCCTATGGACTCTATTCTGGCCACACCCTAGCTCCGGAAGGAGTCAAGGGGAGGGATAAAAAAGAGGGAAAGGCAGGTGGTCAATACTAGGTCTCTGCTGCTGCGTTAGAGGGGCCGGGACTGGGCGTCTGCAATCTCTGGGGCCCCAGCCCCTGAACAGACCTTTTGTGCAAGGACAGATGGACAGTTGATAGATGGATGGACTGATGGTTAGACGGGTGGGGGGAATGGATGGAGGGACAGTCAGACGGGGGCAGTGGATGGATGGATGGGTGGGTGGATGGATGGGTGGATGGATGGATGGATGCACGGATGAATGGCTGGTTAGATGAGGGGGTGGGTAGGTGGGTGGGTGGATGGATAGACAGATGGGGGTGGTGGGTCGATAGATGGATGGGTAGATGGATAGTTAGATGGGAGAGTGGCTGGAGGACTGATGGGTGGACAGATTAAAAGACAGATGGAAGGACACCTGGGTGGCTCAGTCAGTTAAGCGTCTGACTTCAGCTCAGGTCATGATCTCATGGTTCGTGGGTTCAACCCCCGCGTCGGGCTCTGTGCTGACAGATAGCTCAGAGCCTGGAGCCTGTTTCGGATTCTGTATCTCCCTCTCTGACCCTCTCCTGCTCATGCTGTCTCTATCTCTCTCAAAAAAAAAAAAAAAAATTAAAAGAAAAAAAGACAAATGGATGGAGGGATGGATGGGTGGATGAATGGCTGGTTAGATGCGGGGAGTGGGTGGATGAATGGATGGACAGTTAGATGGTGGTGGTGGGCAGATGGATGGATGGGTCGATGAGGGGAGGTGGCTAGCGGGCTGATGGATGGGTAGACAGATGGATAGATAAATGAATAGAGGAGTGGATGGATAGATGGATAGTTAGATGGGAGGGGTGGCTGGACGAGTGAGTGAATATAACATTTACACTAGTGAGACAAGTTGAATAGAGAGATTTTATGAAACCGTGTTTTGAGAAAACTTAGAGGATCTGAACGCTCTGATGCAGAGTGTTGGGAAGACATGCTGTCTGACTCAGTAGGTGGGGAAGCTGGGGTGTCTGTGGGGGGCAGTTTGCAGCATCTGTGAAACTGAACTCTTCCCACCTGAACATCTAGGAATTCATCCTACAGAAACGCTCACACGAGCGGGCACGGAATGTGCTCCAGGGCGCTCAGTACAGGTTAGCTTATGATACTGGACAAACAGCAACAAGTCAGAGCCCCTCAACAGCGATGGTGGGAGGGATGGGACGTCCCGTTAAGGATCTATGAAGATCGTGGGAAGGCAGAGGCCACTACAAACTGCACACCGAACCAGCCCATTCCCGCTTTCTGCTGGGGTAAAAGGCGCAACCCGGCAAGAATTCCAGGCTGCCTGTTCCAAGCAGGTGGGGACACGGGCCTCAAAGGTGCAGGAGAGCCCCTCTAGGGGAGCCTGCGGGAGGGATCACGCGCCCCCAGAGGCCCGTGCCACAGGGCGAGGCCCGGAGGAGCTGGGCAAGGTGGGCGGGGCCCTACCTAGCTGGTCTTCGGGCATTCTCAGGAGCCTCTCCATGGCTTTGAGCTGGACTTCGGGTCTGCTGGAGAAGTTCTGCATGACCTCTGCAGGAGACAGGACGGCACGGGGAGGAGCCCGGCTGGCTCAGGGACCCTTCTGAGGGCCGGGGCGCCTGGGGTCCATCTGTGGGCATCACGCCTCCCACGGATGCATAAGATAGGGCATGAAGGGACCCCCTAATCCCCACTTCGCAGGCAGAGGCAGCCCCGAGCCTTAGAGTCTCACTCGAGGCTCACCATGGCCAGAGTTCTGCCCAAGCCCAGGGCTCTTCACACTGCGCCTCTGAGCCTCCCTGCAGGGCTCTGCCTTTGATTCATGACGGAAGCCCCCAGCCCCCAAAATGAGCAGCAGTCTCCAGCTGTGCACACTGTAGAGCCCTTCCTCATCGCCCCGTGGCTGGGCACTGTGCACCCCGCTGCGGCTCCCCTTACTCGATGGGGACACAGGCTCAGAGGGGTGACTCGCTCAAGCCCACTCAGCTGGTGGGTGGAAAGGACCCAGGGGCCTGCCTCCAAAGCTCACAACCGTGAGATTCAGGGAAAACAGAAGCCAGGGCCTCGTAAGCAGTCCTTCCCCAGAAGTGGGGGCAGGAGCGGCAGATGGGGGAGGGAGTCCCTTGTCACAACAGCCAGCGCAGGGAGCCACAGACCGAGGGAGGGCTGGGAAAGTGGAGCTTGAGTGGAACCTGCAGGTGACGTCTAGACCCGTCATTCACCCGAGACCTCTGGTGTACGGTGGTGCGATCACTGCATCGGGGGCCGCAGGGCACCCCCGGCCAGGGGCACTCGCTGGAGATACGGTGCTGTGTGTGCACGGGCACCGTGCCGGGTGACTGGCACTCCTCCATGGAGACCTGTGTGTGTCCCACTGCAGACGGAGCCCCACAGGGACGTGCCTGCCAGCCTGGGCCGCTGCCGTGCTCACCCCCACCCCCCACCCCCAGCGTCTGGCACCATGATGGGCACTGAGGCCACCAGGTGTGAAAGCAAAAAGCAGGCAGTTCCGGGGGCTGTAAGAGTGAGGGGCCTGTTCAGCCATGTTGAGGGCCGTGGAGCAGGAAGGGAGGGGAGACAGGCACTAGAATGGGCTCTGTTAGAGGTGGCGGGGGTGGGGAAGGGGACGGGCGTGGGGCAGCTTGCTGAGCAAGGTGGTGCCTGGGGCTGGATGGAGGGGAGCGCCCTGAAACCTTCCCAGCCACTAGCCATGTGTCAGCAGCAGACCAGGGGACTGGGCTTCGGGGAGGTAAGACAGCAGGGTGCCAAGGCTCCCCTACTCTGGTCCCCGCCATCACCTACGATGTTGGCGACGTTGCCCTCCAGCAGCATGTCGGTGACGAAGTCAGGCACCGCTTGCTGGTGTAGAGACAGAGGGATGCTGGAGGACCTGACGCTGCTGCCCGCGAAGGTGATGCGTATCACATCCCTGGAGGGGGGCGGAGACAGCTGGTTGGGCTCCCCTGGGGCTCTCTGATGGGCCCTGGGGGGCCAGATGCCAGTTGGGGGCCCCATTTGGCAGCGCCTCTCCCAACCGCTCCACCTCCTGGAGGGGCCCCGACTTGCTCCTGGGGTGAGGGAGGTCGCTGCTGGGCCCTGGCAGTTTCACCCGCACGGGCTCCTTCCTCCAGAAAACATACTGAAAAATCAGATTTTACTATTGTGTTGGTAGAAAGGTGAATAGAACCCAGGCTGGGTTCATTGTTGTACACTCCTCGTTTCCTTCTTATTTTGACGTAAATGACAACGTAGATGTTTTCCCAGTCCTGGTCCTCTCGAGTCGGCTCCTTCGGCTGCAAGGTCGCAGGTCACTGTGGTCTGGCATGGCCACACTGGCGACGCCCAGTGGTCCACGGAAGGCTCGGCGTGTTTGCGGTGTTAAAATACCAAGTGGCGGGAGAGACGGAGAGAGATCCCCGGAAAGGTTAAAATACAGCCCCTGCCCCGAGCTCACCTGACTGTTATTCGCTCCGAGGGGTTGATCTGCAGCATCAGAGGCAAAAGGGAACCCAAGGTTTGCGCGTGGGGGACGTTCTTCTCCCCCATAGTCTTCAGGATGCCCCTGAGGCCATTTGGGAGGGTCCGGAGGGACTTTCTCAGCAGCATGGCTTCTGTTCTCTGAGGGTACACAGGCAAACACTGCTGTTTCCACCGCTTCCTCGGCGGAGCCCCAGCTGGGCCCGGTCCCTGCGGAGAACTGGCGGGCCCCAGGGCCAGCCTGCGTGAGGGCCAGACGTGGGAAGACTAGGGAAGTGAGTGTGCAGGGCTGCCTGGGGGCCCCAGGTGACAGGCAGCCCATGTGCGTTCGGGCCACCTCCGTCAGTTTCCTGTGCACCTGAACTTGGCCTTCTCATCCGCAGGAGGCAGTGGGTGCACGGGGAATCCACTGTGAGGGTCAGGGGGCCGTCTGCCTAACACGGTCGTTGTCATCACCACCGTGCCAGGGCCCGCAGGCCCAATATTGAGTGCGGGGCCCCCCCAGCAGCTGGGATAGGGGCTCCCCCCAGTCCCTGGGAGGCACAGAGCAAGGCAGGATGATGCAGGTGGGAAGAGCCTGCCCCTTTTGAGGCAAGGTGGGCAGAGGCGGCCTTCCGGGGACGTGGGGTGTGGCCGGGAGGGGCGGGCACAAGGCGGCTCACATCTGTGAAGGAGCAGCTGGCCATGTCTAGGATGATGCAGCCCAGGGACCAGACGTCTGACTTCTGGCTGAAGGAGAAGCGGAGGGCTTCGGGGGCCATCCAGGACTTCTGACAAGGGTCTGTCGGCAGGAGAAGGTGTCAGATGCGTGAGGCCTGTCCTCCCTGGGAACGCGAGGGGAGGCAGGCAGGTGCTCTCTAGGGAAAGGAAGAGGGCCCTGCTCAGCAAGATCTTGCCCTCAGGAGGTGCCCCACGAGGCTGCCGACCCCCACCCCGGGCAGGTGCCCCACGAGGCTGGCCTGTGTGTGCACACACGCAAGTCGTTGTGCCCAGCATGGCTGCAGGAGTGGTCAGAAGAGCCGTGAGCCAACAAGGCTGAGACTTCCACCCCCTTGAAACATCTTGCCCCTCTAAAGGTCAGAACTTGGAGGCAAAATTCCAGTTTCCCCACCCTTGTTTCTTTTTTTTTTTTAATTTATTTTATGTCTTTATTTTATTTTGACAGAGACAGAGAGCGAGCGGGGAAGGGGCAGAGAGAGGGAGACACAGAATCTGAAGCAGCTCCAGGCTCCGAGCTGCCAGCACAGAGCCCGACGTGGGGCTCGAACTCATAGACTGTGAGATCACGGCCTGAGCCGAAGTCAGACACTTAACCGACTGAGGCACCCAGGTGCCCCGACCCCACCCTCATTTCTTTTTTTTTTTAAAACATTTTTTAAAAATATTTTTATTTATTTCTAGGAGAGAGAGAGAGAGAGAGAGCGTGAACAGGGAAGGGTCAGAGAGAAAGGGAGATACAGACTCCGAAATAGGCTCCAGGCTCTGAGCTGGCAGTCAGCACAGAGCCCGACACGGGGTTCGAACCCACGAACCGTGAGATCATGACTTAAGCGAAAGTTGGACGTCCAACCGACTAAGCCACCCAGGCGCCCTTCCCACCCTCATTTCTAAACCTGAACCCCAGACCAGGAGCCAAAAGAGCAGGGTCACCAGTCTGCCAGTCCCTGATAGACCTCAGGCAGCCCCTCCCTCTCTGGGCCTTCATTCCCCAGCCAAACGGTAAAGGGATGGACTCCAGGGGCCCCTCCACACCTCCAGTAGACCCACCCATTCACCCGTCCACCCACACATCCATCCATCTGCCCATCTATCCACCTGTCTCTCCATCCATCCATGCATCCATCCATCTGTCCTCTGTGCACCCAGGACCCTGAAATTCTCAGCTATGGTTGACCTCCCTGACAGCCGGCATAGGCTTGAAGCCCAGCTCCCTCTGCCCCACTGCCCTTCCAAAGGAAGGAGAACCCATCTCCCCTTACTCCCCATGTCTACCATCTCCTCAGGTATTTTTAGGACTCAGTAAAGCCATCCCGCCCTCACCGGTGCCTGGTATCCACTAGCTCTCCATCTCCTTCTGAGGCCATTCGTCTCCTTCCATGAAGGTTACTATTTTCTGGGTGTCTTTTGGACCCTGCGTGCACCCCCTCCCCTGCCATGGTGGTACCCCTGCTTTGTTACAACGCAGGCAAGGGGGGTCTCTTTGGAGCCCACAAAAGCCCATGGGGGTCTGTGGGGACCTTCTGAGCAAGGAGAGGTTTGATCTGTTCCACCGTGGGCCTCTGGGCTCTAGGAATGACCCCACTCGGCAGAGCGGGCCCCCCCCCCCCCGGTGCTCCCCAGCCATGGCTGTCCCGCTGCCTGGGAAGACCCTGGCCACCTTCCTCTGCGCGGATGTTCCACTTGGCTTTGTCTGTCATCAGCGCATTGGAGCTCAGGTCCTGCAATTTGCAGTGGCTGCTGCTGACAAGGGCTATGTTGGAGGGCTTGAGATTCCTGAAACGAGGAGGCAGGACTCTCCACCCACCACCCCTGCCGCCGAGAGACCCTCCCGGGGCTGGGGCCAGCGCGCCTTGAGCCTCCCTCCCTGCTCCCTGCCCCACCCAGTCCTGCTCCGCTCTCCAAAATGCCCCCTTTGCAGCCTGCTTTTCCCCACAGAAATAAAATCTCCTACTCCGTTCTTTTAAACCGGGAAACAACCAGCCAGCCACGAGGAGGAAAACACCTAACCGTCTGCCGGATCTGCCTCCCATCTTGCTCACCTCCCTCCAGAGCCTCGCTACCCATGCATTTGCTTAGGGGTTGGCGTCCGGCCACCTTGTGAGGTCCACAAGACGCCCACACTAAATCATGAGCGCTTTCTTCGTCCACGCGGTCCACATGGTTCTTCCTCTCTTCCTTCAAACCCAGTACCGATCCGGTCTGAAGCCGTTCCCACCCCCTTCAGACTGTGGACGCCACAGGGCGAGTGAGGCCGTGCTGCTGGTGATCTCGAGCTTGGCCCAGGGAGGGCAGCAGCCCCACCCCCACCCCCCGCCGGGCGGCCAAAGGCCACAGCACACAGCCTAGTCTCTTTCCTCCGAGTGCTGTTATCTGGCTGCTCTCCCTGCACTTTAGAACCAACCTGCCCTGGTCAGCTTACGCTTCGTGAAGCTGGGTGAGTCACCGCAGGTGACGTGGAGAGGGTGGCATTCCCTTTACGCCTGGGAGCTGCTCTGGAAAGGTGCCCGCTCTTATCCTGGATGTGCTGACCCTGGCCACACCTCTCTGCCCCGACACTGCCCCTGGGCACTGACACCTAAGGGGACTCAGCGCCTTTGCTCCTGAAGCAGCCTGGCCACCCCGGTCCCCTGTGGGTGATGTCTAAGTGGCCCAGCCACCGCGGTCACCTGTGGATGATGTCTAAGTGGTGCAGGTAGTCCAGAGCATCCAACACCTGGCCCAGCATATTCTGCATCCACTGGGTGGAAAACAAGAGACGCCAGGATTGGAGGGGTCCCCAGCAGCAGGCCGGTCAGTGAACATGCACAGCAGCCGGTGGGGTCATGGTGTGTTCTCTCCTTGCTGCTTCTTTTTTTTTTTTTTTAATGTTTCAATGTTTTTTATTTATTTTTGAGAGAGAGAAAGAACTGGTGGGGGAGGGGCAGAGAGAGGAGACACATAATCTGAAGCAGGCTCGGGCTCTGAGCTGTCAGCACAGAGCCTGACGTGGGGCTCGAATCCACGAACCGTGAGATCGTGCCCTGAGCCGAAGTCGGACGCTCCACCGATGGAGCCCCCCAGGCGGCCCCTTTCCCTGCTCCTTAAGACAGGCCCAAAGCCCCACAGCAGCTCAGAGCCAGTGCGAGAGGGTTCTACTGCACGTGCCTTTGAGGCTGAAGTGTGTGTGACCATCTAGACAGTGACACCACGTCAGCCAGGGCAACGCCCCGCTTTCCAGACCACACGCCCCGACTTCATTGCAGAGTCCCTGGGTGCCCTGGGACCCCCGCCCTGTGCCCCACCCCTTGTGGCCCATTAGCCTTGTGGGGATCAGAGATATTGAAGTCTTTATTGCCTACTTGGGGCTTGCCTCTCTCCGTGCCACTGGAATGAAAAGTGCTCTGACAAAGACCGTCCTGGAAACACTTTATGTCAGAAACAAGATCCATCTAGTTTCCAGGGCAATGATTTTCAAACCGTGTTCCTAGGAACCCTAGATTCAACCCCAGGGTGTCAGAGAGGAGCTGAGTGTATAAGACCCCACCCAGGCATCCACTCCACCTGCCACCAACCCGGCCGTGCCCCCTGATTAGAGTAACTCTGCCTTCCTTACTGGGTTTCTGAAGCCATTTTGTGCTTGAAAAGGTTCCACCACTAACAGAGAGTTTGAAAGCCACTCCAGAGCCTTCCCTGAGGCCCACGCTGGGAGAGGAGCCACGTGCACTTCAGAACCCCTCAGTGGTGAAGATGGTGCCCACAGGCCCCCTCACCAGAGGGGTGCTCACGGCAGAAGCAGGCAGAATTCACTTGGGGTCAATCACTGGTAATGTGAAAGTAAAAATGACCTAGCTCAAAAGGCAACAGGAAAATGTCCCCACGACCCTGGGGCAGGACAGGCTCTCAGACAGGCTCAGAGGCAGTAACCATAAAAGAAGCGTCGATAACCTGACTGCATTACAAGTAAGGACTTCTGTTCATCAAAAAACAATGTTCAGAAAGTGCATCGGCAAGGCACAGTCTGGGAGAAGACTCTGGATGCCCGCACCCACGGTATGTAAAGAACACCTACGGATCAACAAGAAAAGACAAACAACCCGACATTTACATGGACAAAAGACTCCAACAGGCACCAAATCCAAATGGCTGAAAACACTCACCGTGATCACTCATCATAACTCAAATTAAAATGTAGTTTTTAATTAGAATGGCACAGAATGACGTGTTGGCCAGGAAGTAGGAACCGGGATGCTCACGGCTTGTGCAGGGTGTCACCGTGGGTGGACCACACCGTGCTGGACACTGTCTGGAACGCCTACGAAACCTACAAGTAACGCCCGCTCTGTGATCCAACGGCTGCGCACCCAGGGACTCCTCCAGGGACATGAATGAGCCTTTAGGTCGACCAGAAGGCACACAGAGCACTGTTCACATTCATTTCTTGAAGCTCAAAACCAGGAACAAGCCGTGTGCTCACGGAGTGAGGCCACGGGCAGACAGATGTGGCCCTACAACGGGGCGTCACCTACCCACGACAGGGACAATTTCCTGATACACTCACGTAAGAAACCAGACACAGATGGTGACACGTTGTCTGAGCCCATTAATGTGACCCTCAGGGCAGGCAGAAGATTGAGGGTAGAAGTCCAAACGGGGACACGGACAGGGACTTCTGGAGCTCCAGTAGACGGGAGAGGCCGCATGAGTGTATGCCTGGTACGGTGCACCAGGCTGTGCACTGAAGGCCTGCACACGTCACAGTGTGCAAATACCTCCAGGTACAAATGTGAGAAAAGATAAGGCACATCTGCCCTCCCCTCTGCCCCTCTGCTCCCTGACCCCCTGATTGACGTCCATCCAGGTGGTCCCCAGGCTTGGTGTCTTAGAGCCTGTGTCTTACCTCAGAGTCAATGGTTGTCTTTGTCTCCCTCTTCTTCTCAATGACCTCCTGGAAGCTTCCATCATTGTACTCCATCACCAGGCAGAGGAACAGAGAGGAGATCTGCTGGGGACATGAGGCCTCAGCCAGATGCCACGGTCCCGGCCCCCACAAACCCAGGCCTGGGGGTCTCTGCGAGGTTATGTGCTCCAGGGCCTCCCTCTGCCTGCGGTGGGGTACGAGCCCACCACCAACAGCCCCTGCTCAGGCCTCCGGTCTCATCTCGTCCCCCTCCATCCCGGCTCCATCTGCATGAAGCCCCTCAGCCTTTCCTGAAAGCGGCCCAGGCCTCAGGCCACTGCGAACACAGACCCCTGTGCCCGCGACCCCACTTTTCACAGGTAACTGTTCCATCTTTAGGGCTCAGCTTACGTCCATTTCCTCTCTCAGGGGAGCCTGGCCTGGGAGGCACTCAGGGCCTCCACTCGGGGCTCTCAGAGGACGCTGCTTTTCCTTCCACAGTGAACTCTCCTTTTGGCTTTTCTGTGTTTCCTTGAGAGCATTATGGGGCGCTCAGAAAATATTCAGGGTGCGCGCAGTGATGGCCTCTCCCTAAGGCTTTCCTCAGGGCCCAGAAGAGGCGGGATATGTATGAGGGGACTCTCCACTCCTGCTCAAGCCCTTAAGCCTGTGGCTTCCCTTCACCTCCAGGGTCCCTGCCCCACCCAGCTCAACCCATCTGGGATGATCTGTAAGAGTCTGGATCCCTGGAAAGATAAGAAGTCACACAGCCTGTGGGGGACACATAGGGCTCAGGGACTTACAAGACCCTGATTTAAATCTCACTCAGCTGTTACGAGCTGTGTGGTCATGGAGAGCTCCTTAACCTCTCTGAGCCCCAGGGAAATGAGGAGAGTACTTCCAACCCTGCGTATCTCCCAGGGCCCGGGGATGACCGTTAGTAAACTGCAAGAGCCACAAGAGTCAGGGGTCCAGAGGCCCAGGACAATGTGATGGCGAATAAGGGGGGGGGGGGGAGTCAGGGACCAGCTCCTAAAGCCCTCTCCTTCCACGAAAGCCGAAAGTTCCACCTTCAGAGGCCGACTTCACTGAGCCTTCGGCTGCAGGGTGAGCTCAGCAGCTGGACGGACGGGGCGCTAGAGTCACGGCCACCAGGCCTTGCCTGCCTCCTGGCCGGGCCGCGGACTAGGCAGGTGCCCAGGAGAAACTGGTTCCTCTTAGCCTTTCTTTCTTCTCTAAAGTCGTACGTTAACCCCTCCTCCACTGAGACTACTGCGGCCTCACAGGAGACGGTGCCCAGAGAGGCCCCAGTAAGTGCTGAGTCAGGAGCTGCCACATCAGAGTTACTGCTCAAGGGGTTCTAAGGGCGCGGGGGTTCTCTGTGCTCAGCTTGCTCGTTCCTGAGCCCGAAGGGGCCGGCTCTGACCCACCTGACTATTCCATATGATGAACAGCTCCTGGTACGCGGAGATGTGGGCGTGCTGGAGCTCCAACAGCGGCATCAGCTGCAGGGACACAGCAGAGGGGGTGGAGCCGTTGGGGAAATGCTGCTTCTCAGCCAGTGCTCCTGTGTCCCGCATCCCGACAAAAACGCAAGATCTGGCTCTGCACGGGGCTGGGGAGCAGGCCCGAGGAGGGCGTGCGGCCTTTTGCTTCAGGGTCAGACAGCCCGGTGCGGGTCCCGGCTCTCCAGCATGTGCCAGCCATGCTGTGTGACCGAGGAGAGGCTCCTCAACCTCTCTGAGCCTCTAGCCTCGTCTGAAAATGGCAGTGACAGTGGTGTCCGCCTCACAGGGGTTTCGAGGGCTAAAGTGAGCTCGTCAGGGAAGTGCCTGACATAGACGCAAAAAAAGCACGGTCAGGGATGGCTGGAGAAGGTGGCGTGGCCACAAGGAGGTGGGACACTGATGCACTTGCGCCCACCTCGCCTCCTGGGTGGCGCACACCTGAGGCTCCAGCGACCCACTCTGGGCTGACGGTGCTTGGAAAAGCCACGCAGCCGGGCCCTGGCAGTGGCTGCCAGGTAGCTCGCCCCGTGGGGGTGGGGAAGGGGAGGGGGATGTGCCCAGCTGTGGTGGCGTGGGGGCTGTGGGAGGTCTCCCGTGGTCTCTCTTCCACTTTGTGGGGATGTGGCCTGGGTCCTTCGCTGTGCCTCAGTCACACTGTGGACTGGCCAGCTGCGTGCTGGCAAAGCTCGCGAAACGGCGATTCCAGGAAGAAGACAAACAAGTGACCACGGAATAGGAGGGGAGGCAATGGCTTCATGTGAAGTTCAAGAAGAGCAAAGGAGAACTGCTCAGAGCCTTTGTCGGGCAAATCCCAGCACACGCAGCTGGTAGCGCTATTGTTATGGATTAGGATGCTATCGTGGGTGCCAACTGGGGGATTGAAGGAATGTAAAAGAATGTTTATTTGCTCTTTTAAACAATTCTGAACTTCCCAAATTTTCTACTGTAGCTGATATTTTTATAATTGAAGGGACAATATTTTAAAAGCTGGGTACTTGATAGGTTCATCTAGGGACCTGGCCAACATGTAAACTTTATCTTCTCGGGGAACCTGGGGGGCTCAGTCAGTCAAGTGTCTGACTTTGGCTCAGGTCATGACCGCACACTTACTGAGTGCGAGCCTTGCATTGGGCTCTGTGCTGTCGGCTCAGTGCCTGCTCTGGATGTTCTGTCTCTCTCTCTGCCTCTTCCCAGCTTGCTCTCACCCTCTCTCAAAAATAAATAAACATTAAAAAAAACACTTTCTCTTCTCTGAGAACATGTGTTCTAAGTTGTCTGCACTGGGATTTAGATGAATGTCTGGGGCACAGACTCTCTTCATGACTCGGGGGCTTCTGGCTTTGCGGCACTGGGCAAGACCTGGGCAAGGTTCTGACTCTCGCAGCCTCCAGTGGAGTACAGAACAGTCTCTGTTCTGCCTCGTGTCCTCTAGGGAGGGAGCCACCCAGAGAGTTACCTCCTCCAAGGCCTCGTTGGCATGATGCTCATCAATACACTGCACCTGCAAGGGCGCAAGAACACGGACTTCGTAAACGTGTAGGAACCTTCTCCATCACCACTGTCATCGTGGTCACCATCACCGTCATCATCGCCATCATCATCACAGTCACTGTGATCATATTATCACCATCATCACCATCATCACCATCACCACCATCATCACAGTCACCACCACCACAACCATCACCACCATTGTCACCATCATCACCATCATCACCACCATCATCACTATCATCTTCATCATCATAATCATCACTATCACCACCATTGCCATCATCATCATCACTATTACCATCACCACCATCACCATCACCACCATCACCATCACCACCATCATCATCACCATCACCATCACCACCATCACCATCATCATCACCATCACCACCATCACCATCACCATCACTATCATCATCACCATCACCACCATCACCACCATCATCACCATCACCATCANCACCATCACCATCATCACCATCATCATCACCATCACCACCATCACCACCATCATCACCATCACCATCATCACTATCACCACCATCACCATCACCACCATCACCACCATCACCACCATCACTATCATCACCATCACCATCACCACCATCACCATCACCATCATCACCATCACCACCATCGTCACAGTCACCACCACCACAACCATCACCACCATCATCACCATCATCACCACCATAATCATCACCATCATCACTATCATCATCATCATAATCATCACTATCACCACCATTGCCATCATCATCATCACTATCACCATCACCACCACCACAACCATCACCACCATCATCACCATCACCACGATCATCACCATCATCACCATCATCACCACCATCATCACTATCATCATCATCATGATAATAATGTCTATCACCACCATTGCCATTATCATCACCACCATTATCACCATCACCATCACCACTATCACCATCAGCATCATCACCATCATCACCATCACCATCACCACCATCACCATCACCACCATCACCACCATCACCACCATCACCATCATCACCATTATCACCATCACCACCATTATTCACTGGGAGAGGGGCCAGGCTTCTACCATTCATGCCCCACCACATGGCACCAGTGGAGGCCTGGTGATGTTCCTAAGGCAGGGATCTCCAAAAATGCTTTGAGCAATGAGAACATCTTTACTCCTGTTGCAAGGATACATCTAGGATAGAATAATATACACTCCAAGCAATCATTAGAGGATCGATTTTCAGACCCGCTGAAAGCAGGGAAGAAAATAACGTGTGGCCCCTGGAGCCAAACGGCTCTCTTCTGGTCGGCTAAGTATCAACCTCACCACTTCATTCCTTACCCAAACTGGGAAGACTGTCCCTGTCGCTGACCATGGGGCAGTGGGGGAACGTGTGAGAGAAAGGGTGGCTGATGGGAAGGGCAGCACAAAGCTTCAAGGCTACGACATACTTGGTGGCAAAGTTTGCACGTACTTTGCAGGTGCATATCAGCGCCGCCTCCAATCCCAGATCCTCACTCAGAGCTTCTGCTCATAAGGGTTACAAACGACGAAGTCTTATAACTGGGGTGATCGTAGGTGAAAACGCAGAGGTGGTGGCTTATTCCCAGACCCTGTACAGACCCTGGATGGAGCAGCACCGTGAGCCTGCCTTCCTTTCCTCCTGTTTCAGGGGCTCATGCTTCTAGGTGAATGTACCCAAAACACACTGAAAGCCTTCAAAATGTCACCTTCTTTGCTCTAGAAGCCCCACCCCTAGGAACTGATCCCCAAGGATATCCTGGATCCTCAAAAAAGTGAACTAGAGGTTGCTCATCAGAGTTGTTGACACAGAGTGAAAAATCAGGAACAGGCTAAGCACTTATCATTCAGGAGGGGCTCTCGGATCCCCGGGGGCAGTTACAGCCCATCAAGCAGGTGGGGCCACACAGCCACCAGAGCCTGTCAGTGGCAGGAAGTGATGTTTGCAGCACACTAAGAGGAGAAAAGTACGTTACCAAATCCAACGGGCATTCTTGTCAAAATGAAGTGTATAAACACTTAGGGAAAAGACTAGAAGGAAACACAAAGCCCTACCTGCACCCCACCCCCGTTTCTTTTCTTTTTTCTTTTTTTTTAAAAGAAAGATTGACTGGCTTTTTAAACTGCTCCTTGATCACCCACAGGGCAGTTGGCTGTCCGGCCCCACTGGCTGAAGAGACCAGGGGGGCGGCCCTCCAGCCAGCCTGCAGTGGAGCCAGAGGCAGGTGAGGACTCCAGGCCCAGCCGTAGAGGCTGCTGAACGGCTCCCACAGACAGGAGGCCTGGCTGAGCAGCAGTGGCCCCAGAGCTGATGCCAACGAGGCTCTTCCAATGCACAGTCAACCCCAATTCCAAGGTACCCCAGCCGGCACTGTGCACCAGGAGGGCGGAGCCGCGACCCTTTCGGCGCCGATCTCTGTTCATCTGAACCACCCTGACTTGGATACACAAAGGGCTTTTCCCCTGCAGGTCTGTACCCCTCCCTGCCATGCGGGCCGGGGGAAGAGGTGGTGGAAGGGCTCAGGGCCGGATGATGTCCTGTCCTTAGCCCCGTGTGACCTTGGGCAAATCCCTGCCCCTCCCCCTCCACCCCAGGCCTGGCTCCCCTTTGGTAAAAAGGTGGCTCTGCTGAGGTAGCCTGAATTCACATCCTCTTGGGAGCTGTGCGACGCTGGCTAGTCTGCAGCGTCCCCAAGCGTCCCTGTCCTTGGCTGTAGAGTGGGGCCATGGCTCCAGCTTGGCAGGGTTGAAGGGCGACAAGCTGGCGGGAAGTACATGCCGAGTAAGTGGTTGGGAAGGCTGCGTTGCTGAAGTTAAAATGAGCATTCCTACTCCATGCCAGTGAGAGAGTCAAGTGTGGGGGGGAAGCCTGGGGAGCCTCGAGCGGCCCCCAAGTGTACTCTCCACTGCATCCGCCTCCGCCTCCGTGGCGGTGACTGCTGGCATGGAGGAAGCGGCTCGCAGCAGGAGGAAGCCTTTCTCTAACCTGGGGGCGCTAAGTGCCTGTCTGAGGCACCACTCACCCTGGGATGTCACCGCAGCCACTGCTTACCTGCTTTATCACGTACTTTACTTTGTTTTCTGTTTTCTCCACCACCAGGTTCATCCCCAAGGCCCCAGGACTCAGCTGGTCCAAAATCTAGCAGCAAGAGACAAAGAGAAGCTTTCAGCTTTTCACTTTCCGAAGTGTGCTCTACTCCGACACCTTTTCTGGCCCCAACTCCTCTTGCGGGCCGGCAGAGCCAGCGTCTCCACCGTATTTTGCAGAGGAGATGCCGGAAGGCTGAGGAGCCCTGAGAAGGCAGAACTTGAGCCCCTCTCTCTGCGGCGCTCTTTTCACCACCCTATACCGCTTCTCTGGGCTGCAGAGGGGGCCAGTGGGCATCTAGGGGCCAGTACCTCCCTGGGGCAGATCTCTGTTCACTCTCTCTAGCCTCCTACCATTTCAGCTTCCAGTACCCACCTCTGAACTGAACATCCAAACGAGAAAATAAGTGGTCCATAAATGGTGCCGAGTTACAGCCGCGTGGGGCCTGGCACTGCGCCAAGCACTTTACAGCCCCCGCCCCCTGGGGAGCGGCACTATCGCTATGTCCAGATCTACGCTGGAGAAAACTGAGGCACAGGGAGCGAGGTCCTTGCCTGAGCCTACGGTGCTAATAAGTCAGATGGCCTGGAGTGGACGGGAGCTCTGGGGTCCGCCCCCAGGGTCTGTGCTATGAAGCAAGCCTGCAGAGAGGTGGCCGTCGCGTCAGAACTCCGTGAGGGGAGGCCAGGGCCTACGGGGTAGGGCCGACGATGGAATTACACCTGTCGGGATGGAGGAAGCCCCGAAGGATGGAAAGGAGTGGTTGTAGGAGATGGAACCCAGAGTCTAGGGACTCTCAGAGTCCAGGAAAGTCTTGGATTCTGTAATCCAGCCCCTGTGGGTGGACTGAATCGTGCTTAGGGAATATGGGGGACAATTTACTACTGAGCGGCTTCATTAAGCCAGCCTAAGGATGCACATGCTTCGGCCCTCTTAAGCGGCAGGTTAAATAGCAAAAGACACTCGTAGCTCAGATGGGGTCTATGGTTTTCTCCAGAAAAAGTAACTTTGCCTTTAAAATTCTCTGGCCCCCAGAAACTCTTCTCCTTTACAGGGCTGGCTCCCCTGGAGCCCTCCCACACAAAGGGAGTTCTCAGGAAGTGAGCAGACTCGATTCTGTAAGTTGTTTTCAAATTAATGAAATCTTTACAAAGACCGAATCTGATGTTTAATAAAGTTGACATATTATGTATCGAAGCAGTTAATTAAACACTCATTCACTTTTAGTTTTGCAGCTTTCCTTTCGTTTTGGGGATTTTTCAAATCTTACACACTGTCACAGGCCCTTGGAAATGGTCCAGGCCCTCCTAGCCGGGACTGCCGATGGCTGGATTAGGAGACTGGAGGCTCCTGATTCTGAACTTTGGACGTTTTAGGGTGTCCTGTGTCCATGGGCAGAAAGGTGGACTTCTCTCCCATCGAGTATTCAGACAACGGTGCTGGAGAGTCCTTCACTTCATCCATCATTTTAGAGGGGGAAACTGAGGCCCAGAGAGGCAAAGGGCGCCCAGGGGGCCACGCCACGCGCTGGAGGCAGACCCTGGCTCGGGGTGGGACCTGCCACCGGCCGCCTCTCCAGAGGCTGCGACCGGTAAACCGGTAAGGGGGCTAGGTGGGGGTTGCAGGAGGTCGCGGGTCCCTGGCTCGCCCCAAACCGGCGGGTTCTCGTCGCCCTGGCCTCCCCCCCAGGGAACAACTTGGCACCTGGTACTTCTCCATAGCGTCCCCAGGGCAGACTCCCCGCGTCCTCTCGGTCGGCAGGGCGCCGTGGGTGTACCCCTAGCCCGCACCCAAGCGCGGACCCTCGACTGAGCATGCTCAGTACAGACCGCGCCCCGGAGAGCGCCCCATCCCCCGCCCCGGGGGCGCCCCTCAGCCCCAGGTGCGCCTGCCCGAACGGCGCACGCGGGGGCTCCGGCACGCCCCTCCAGCGGAGTGGCCTCAGAGCGCTCGATGGGCGGGGCCTGAGAGCGTGGCGGGCGGGGCCTGAGAGCGCAACGGGCGGGGCCGGGCGGGGCCGCGGGGGCCAGGGCGCGGCGGGCGAGGCCCCAGCGCGGTGGGCGGGGCGCCGGCGCCAGAACGCGGCGGGCGGAGCCTCGAGCGCGGTGGACGGGGCGGCGGAAGGCGGCGCGCGGCCCCTTTAAGGCGCGGCCGGGGCGGGCCCGCCGGCGCGGCCCCTTTAAGGCTTGGCCTACGTGGCAGCCGCTGGATCCGCCGACGGGGAGCGAGGCCGGCGGCCGGGTACTTCCTGTGGAGGCCGCAGCGGGCGCGGGCGCGGGCGCCGACGGGCCGAGCGCCGAGTGAGCGAGCGAGCGAGCGAGCCGAGCCTCCCGCCGCCGCCATGGGCCAGAACGACCTGATGGGCACGGCCGAGGACTTCGCCGACCAGGTGCGGCCTGCGACCCGACTGGGCCTCCTGCCCCCGGCCCCTCGGCCCCCGGCCCCTCCCGCGAGTCTCCCCCCCGCCCCGACTTCCCCTCCGGGCCCTGGCCCCGAGCCCTCTGCGCCCCCAGAGTCGGCCTCCGGCACCCGAGGGCCTCCCGAGGGACTGCGCCGCGTCCTTCCCCCTCCCGAGCCCGCCGGAGGATCGCGCCCCCTCCCCCAACCCGGGCATTCCTCTCCGGGGCTCGTCGCCTTCCCGGCCCGGGGCTCCCCGAAACTCGGCCTCCGGGCCCGGCCTGCCCCTGTCGCCGCCTCCCCGCCAGGGCTCCGGGCGGGTTCTCGGGCCCGTGCTTCGGGACCCAGGTCGGTGAGCCCCCCCCCACCCCTCCCATCCGGCCTGGCCGGTGGTGAGGGGCGTGAGGGGCTGCCTCGTCCCGTCCTGAGAAAGCAGCCCGAGCCCTGGGGGCTGGGGGGGGGCTGCGGGTTTGGACCGAGTCGGACTGCTGGGGAGCGTCCCCTCGGTATTGAACTGTTGGGGTGGTCCCTGCACGCTTCTTTCACTGGCGCTCTTAGGGGGCGGGGTGGGGAGCCGTGATCCTGAACGGGGGTTGGTCAGATAGGCCTAGGGGTCCTCCCAGAGGAAAGGGGGCGCCCTGGTATGTACCCCAACTACAGAAAGCAACAGCGCTTTCTTCTGTTACTCTCTGCCAGATGTGTTGGACTCATGGGGTCCCTTTGACCCTCCCAGCATTTTCCCTCCCTGTTTGGACTCTGCCCTGGGACTGAATTGAATGGGTATCTATCTGTACACAAACCTGGGAGGAGGGGAAGCCTGTCTTCCTGGGTTTTTTTTTCCCCCCTTCTGGAGTGTACAGGCGGCGTTCTGAGCACCGGGGAAGCTCTTGAAACAGGCAGTTGACAGACTAGATGGACAGAATCAGATCCTAGAGAGGGGACAGGACAGAGCTTCCTGGCTCTTCTGATCAAGCTCCGATCATGTAGGGTAACTTTTACCTGTGAAAGTGACCCGTTAACGTCTACAGATGAACAGCCTTATCCCTGCAGGCAGAGCCATGTCTGGCCCAATGGCTATTTCTCTCCTTAGTGTACTTAACAGGTTTGTGGTTTTTGCCAGACTTAAAAAGTAGGAGGTTAAATTTTTCATTTTTATGCGGGTGGTATTGACCAACAAAACTCTAAAGTTTGGGTTTATTGGAAGGCTCCTATGCATGCGTGTGAGTTAAAAACATGAATGCGTGTTTTCTGATCCGGTATGGGCGAGCTCCGTCTCCCACTGTTCCCCTTGAGGGCTGCCGTCTGCCTGGTGTGGTTCGGTCGTGGGGTTTGCATGGCACCACTCTCCTGTGAGCTGGTATTTTAAAACCAGCTTGGGGCAGAAAAAGTATGTCAACTTGAAGAAACGGTTTCTGCTAAGGTCATGATTTTGTGTACAGAGACTGTTTAAAAAGGGCATCCTTCATAGACGCAGTTCATACCCAAAGCCCTCGAGAACCACGTAGGCCTTCTCTGTCCCTGGTTTTAGTGACCCGATTTCATTTCCCCAAGTAGCAACTCCCTAAGAAGATGGCTCCTGTCACCCGAGGGGACCATGAGAGCTCTGTATGCGCACTCTTCAGTCCGGAGAACCCTGATTTTGCAAGTGCATTTCATAACCAAACTAGATAAAATGTCTCTCACCAGGCCGCTGCCAGCTATCAAATGATCAGCTTTCCTGCAGAGGAAAAAAAAAAGTTCAAAATCTCTAGATGTAATCTTTTCTGTTTTTTCTTCATGCATTTTGGTTAAATGAAAGACGCAGGATCTTGGAACCGGAAAGGCCCTTCAGGAGGACACAGGGTTGACCTGCACCAACTTACTGGTGGGAAGGACAGCCTGCTGGGGCTTCGGGACTGGCCTGGGGCAGTGTCCTGGGAGGAAACCCAGCCTCCAACCTCAAGGCTGTGCCACCTACTACGAGCTTGCGCAGCCTGGTGTTCTGCCTGCCTGCCTGCATCAAAATCTAACACCCAGAGTGGCCTGGGGCTGTGTCTCGTCAGGCAGTGCAGGCTCCTGCTGTTAGTTTATCAGGGCCAGGGCCACAGTAGTGGTGGCAGTGGCTGTCAGAAGACCCCTCCGTGCCCTTTTGTGGGTGGCTTGGGAGGGCTTTGGCTCTCGAGTAGCCCTCGTCCCCTTCAAAACCAAAGTCAGGAGCATCTGCCACAGGCAGGCTTGGCGTGGGAGGACGTGGGCAGATAAGAGAGCGCAGAGCCCCAGTGATGGCTTCCTGTGGATAACATCTGGCCAAGTTGGGGTGCCTTTTTAACATTTATCCACTTAATATTAAAACAAAGCTGCTGATAGTAAAGATGCCAGAGTCTGGGCTTTTAGAATGAAAATGATCTTCGAAGGGCACTGGAGAGTATCGTCAAAGTCACTGATCGGTAACGAGACCCATTTTTTTTCAAACCCCGTCCACAGAAAACGAAAGCAAAACTCAAGTGACAGGTGTTGACCAGAAAGTCTAGGTTGCTGAGAGCTGGACCTATAAAGCCCATGTGTCCCCAGGAGTTATGGCAAGAGACACTAGCTCTGGGCCAGGTCCTCCGTACTCAGTACTGTGCCCCTCTGGACCGCGCAGGGCTGGCCACACTGCCGTCGTCAGGCGCGGAGAGGGCAGGCTTGCGTGGCACGCCTTAGGCTGAAGTTCTGAGTCCACATCTTGGTCCCGGAGGCTGGGCTCCTCGCCTCCTGGCTGTCTCGCAGCCTCCCCTTGAGGCCTGCAGAGGTGAGAGCACAGGGCCAGCTGTCCCGTTCGTTCGTGCTGACGGGCAGGCTTCTCCAGAGCTACATCTCTGGCCTCGGGCTCCTTGCCCCGGGCGACCAGGAAGCCAGGCGCTTGAGAAAATGCTGAGTGTGCCCTCTGCAGGAGCTAGGCATTCGGAAGCCATCTGAGACCAGGTCAGGGGGGGCCAGAGGCTAACGAACTCAGCAATCCAAAGTTACGTCTGCATTCTGGAGCCAGCGCTCGCTGCCCTTCGGCGGAGCGTAACTGCCAGGCACATCCGCACCAGTGAACCGGAGTATTAGCACCTAATGGGTTGAGCTGACTTCTCATCTGTCACCAGGGTGACAGTTAAGCTGCATGGGGACTTGCTCGCCCGTGTGGCCTTTGGTGTTTTTACCTGTCCTTTGGCACAGTGGAGCCAGTCCTGGGAACTCCCCTGGGCCTCTGGTCCAGCGTTCGGTAGCTTGGATGGCCTGATAGAATGTGAGCGGGCACACCTGGTCCCCGGGTGTTAGGGCCCTGGACTGACCATTTGTGTGGATGGCCGTTGGGTGTGAGTGGGGCTCTCGTCACAGTGAGGGGTTCTCAGCATCCTTGCCTGTTGCTCTGCTCTGTGACCCCCTCCCTGCTGGGCCTGCCTGCCCATCTTAGGAGGTTAAGGAGAGCCATCCCGCCTCTTTTCGGGGAGCAGGCTGGAGACATGGTGGGAGCACTGGTCAGCGAGGCTTCTGGAAAGTGAGGCACAGCTGTGTTCTCCTGCATGTGACTTGTCGCTGCTCTCCTATGGTTAGGCTCTTAGTCACGTGGATTTCTGGTACAGGAAGCCGGGTCATCTCCAGGGCCAGTTGACACTTGTTCCCGTACTTGGAGGTGCAGCGTGAACCCACACGGCAGTGCCCTGGAGGCCTGCCGGCGGCGCTCTGGGGTCATGGCAGATGCACACTTGTGAGTCACCGAACTCTTGCTCCGGCCCTGACTCAGCCTGATGTGAGGGAAGCCGTCTGGCCACAAGTTCTCATTTTCTGGGATGTGTGTAGGCTTGAGGTGGCCCTTGAGAAGGGCGGCCCCTGTCCCTGGCGACCAGAAGGTCTGATGCCTTTTTCTGCCTCCTCCAAGTTCCAACCAAGAATTGCAGACGGCTCTTCCTCAAGTCCTTTCTGTCCTCGGCATTCAGAGAAAGTGGGTGTTCCTGTGGCACGTGAGAGCTGCAGGTGGCTGTGTGACGTGACCACTGTATTCTCAGAGTTACAATAATTACGTTTCTTATATCCCCTCTAGAGTCATCACCTTTTGTAAATAAATCTCCACGTTCTGTATTTCGTCAGTCACTCAGGTGCTGCCATCCCTTATGAACCATACCCTGCTTGATGGTGAGCTTCCTGGAGGTGCCAGTGAAAAGCCTGCCCCGCGCAGGCTAACCGGCCTCTCCTGCGATCTGTCCCTGCTCGCTGCCCGCCTCCAGCTCCCCCGCCACGGTTCTCTCCTGGCCGTGGCAGTCGTGGGTCTCCGTGTCCACAGCGGGCAGCACCCGGCCCCAGGCCTGCAGGGCCCCTTGCACAAGCATGGGACAGGGGACCGCTCTGGACCCCCGCGTGCGGCCCGGATGCCTGCTTCAGGGGCTCTTCCCCGCTGTGCCAGGAGGACGCGGTCCACAGACGCCTGACAAGGATTCAGTGGCCAAGTCTGAACCGCTGTGACCCGCACGCATTTAGCAAATCCGAGTAAAATCGGGTCTGGCCTCGTGTTGAAACAGTTTTTTTTTTCTTTCGTGTTGAGTCCAAACAAGTGCTTATTAGAGGCTGGCTGGTTTCTAAAGAGGCTCTGGAACAGCCTGACTTGCAAAATACAGTCAACCCTTAGCCTAGACCACATCTAACTTTGAAATAACCTGAATTTTGGCTTTTTTTCCCCCCCAAAGCACAGAGCTGTCTGCCTCCTCAGCCTGTCTCCCAGGAAAGGGAGGAGCCTCCCTCTTGCTCTTTAATCCTCTTGACCCAGACACTCAAATTAGGAGTACAGACTCATCACGGAGGCTTTTAAACACTGCCTGTGTCTCTTGGGCCGCGCTGCGGTGCAGAGCACGTGTTAAACGGGGTGCTTGATGGTACGGAGGCTCAGAGCGAAGCCCAGGGGCCTAGGCTTATTTGCTCCCCACGGGTGAGCACAGCGAGCGGCTTTCTCATCCAGTTGGAGGCAGGTCAGAACCTCTCCGATGTCTGTCCACCCCTGCCTTTTGGGGACCACCTCCCCCGGCATCCTGCCACAGCCTAGTTGTTGTGTCCCCATGGACTGGGCTAGAAGCGACTCCCCGCTGACCGGTGCTGGGGCTCACAAAAGCATTTGGGCCAGGAGGCAGAAGCGGCAGGGCCAGTGGTCAGCTGACCCGGGGGGAGTGTACCCCGAGTGCATGTACGTCCTGTGTGGGCTTTACAGACCCCAAACTGTGTAGGGGCCTTAGGCTTCTTTCTCCCTCCTTTATCTCCTTCGCTCACTCAAGCTGGAAAGGATCTTAGCAACCGTTAATCCAGCTGTCGTCACTTTGTAGAAGGGGAGCAGGACCATCCCCGTCTCCACAAAGGATGCGGCGTCTCCTCGGCCACACAGAATACGGCTGGCCGCACTCCAGAGCTTCCGCTCCCAGACCCACCTGCTTGGCTGTCCAGCGTCCGTCTCTCCCTGTGACCTCTGCCCCCGCTTTGGTGAGGGTCAAGGGCTGGGCAGGCATGTGCAGAATGGCCACCTTGGGGCTCCGTCAAGTTCAGAAGATGTGGAGAGAAAGGACACCTGGCTTGTGAGGGCCTTCTCCCCGCCTCCCTCCCTCCCACGAGAGCCTGGCTGCTGTGGCCCAGTGGAGGGGAGCGGGGGAGGGGAGGCTTCTCTGTTGACTGAGCTCAAGTCCACAGACTAGAGGTTGACCTCAACGGCCAGAGGCTCATTACCTGCAGCTGAGAGCAGCAGCTGTTTCTAGGACTGGAAAGCAACTCTTCAAAAATGCCAGTAATTAACAGACTCTCAGACACACCTTTGCTGGTTCCAGTAGGGTTTCACCAGGCCTCTGAGGGGCCGTGATGTTCATCCGACTGTCCCTTTGCCGGGGCCAGACCCACAGATGCCCTTTAGACTCCGCTCCCTGACACGTCACTCCTGTGGGTGGGTCCTGGTTCCCGGAGGGCCCACTGTTCCCGTGTGTCATAGGGTTTCTGTCCCTTTGCATTTAGCTTGGACGGTTGGAAAGAGAAAGTGGCCGCAGGGCACCTGAGTGACATTTGTGCTTCCACCCGATAACGGTTTCGTAACCCCGCCGTCGTCGTTAACGGCACCCTTCGCACAGAGCGGGAGGAAGTTCTGAATGTGTTTTCTCTCCCTTTGGCATTCAACCAGTGATCTTCCAAACTTGACTTCCACCGCTGTTGAGACCGTTGTGCGTCCATTTGTTAGCATGTCTGTAAAAGACTCCAGAGCCTTCTAGCCACTGGCCACACCGGTTCCATGTGTGTGCTCCCCGCTGCCCAGCCCAGCCCACCCTCTCCAGTCCAGGGCTCTGGGAGGGACTAGGGGTGTGCACACGGCTGCCAGAGCCTGGCCTCTCACTGCTCAGAGGCTTTGGATAAGTGTAGACACGTGAGCTTACCGTTGGTCGACCATGAGACCCTCCAGGCCTGGGACCCTGGCTGTCCCCTAAGTGGACTGTCCTCTCAAGAGCGTGCTCAGCCTTCTTCCATGTAGAGGGGGTCTGAGCACCGTTGGGGGTGTTGGGATGCCAAGGCTTAGCCGTGTGTGACCGGCTGGTCGAGACTCCGTGCGGCCATCTCGAGTTAGTGCAGCTATAAGCGAGCCCCCTTCCCCTGTGGGGTGCAACCTGCCCATTTGTGAAATGAGAGGGTCTCAGGGCAGTGGGCACAGTATTGTGGCAATGTCTGGGGGCATTTTTGGTTGTCACGGCTGGGGGGGGCTGCTGATGCCGTTCATGGGGGCTGTGTCCCCCTCTTTGGTGCAGGTCGGCCTAGGATAGAGATGACTTGGTACAACTGCCAGGGTGCACGTCGGGGGGTGAGGAGGCCACAGGGTGAGCCGGCCGGGCCTCATCAGGCGGTGATGCTAATCTGCTGGGGCCCTAGCCTGAGAGTACGCGGTGTGTCTTGTGGCGGCGCCTCGGCCGATGACGGTAGCTGCCGCCTACACGCCTGTGCCGACAAGGCGGAGGCCGTCACCCTGGGGGTCTGAGCCCAATGGGGCTGGGCCTCCGCAGACAACGCAGGTCAGCGTGGGGAGAGGCGCCGAGGCTCCGGCAGCCCTCAGCTGGGTTTCTGTGGCCCACAGTTCCTCCGGGTCACGAAGCAGTACCTGCCTCACGTGGCACGCCTCTGCCTGATCAGCACGTTCCTGGAGGACGGCGTCCGCATGTGGTTCCAGTGGGGCGAGCAGCGCGACTACATCGACACGACGTGGGGCTGCGGCTACGCTCTGGCCTCCGCCTTCGTGCTCCTCAACCTGCTGGGACAGCTGAGTGAGTGGCCCTGATGCGCGCTGGTCTGCCCTTGTGGGCGGGGGATGGTGAAGAGCTCCCGGCTCGCCCTTTCCTCCTCCCGGGGGGCGGGCCGGGCCAGGACGTTGGTTCTGCCGGCCTTTGGGTGGGTGCTGTGCTCGTGCTCTAAGCACCAGGACCGGGAGATGGGGACACTGGGTGACCTGGGTGGGCTGGAGAGGAGCCAGAGCAGGGGAAACCAAGGGAGTCGGGAAAGGATGAATCAGTGTCCAGAATGCGGCTCACGTGGCCCTCAGGCCTTCCACTCCCCGGCCACTGTCTGCTGGCGGCAGCCCCCCCACCTTGTGCATTTTGGGGCCAGTGCTCCTCAGCCTGTCCTGAAGCTCCCACGGCAGTTTCCGCTGCACCACCCGCTCTGGAATATGGCCCGTTCTCTGGAGCAAGAGATCCATTTTCTAGAACAGCACCTGCATTAAGTAAGGTCCCCTCAACTCAGGTGTGGTCCATGTCCAAGATGGATTCTCCCAGGAGTTGCTTTTCTCTTGGGGTGCGTAGCTGGGCCGCCACCGTGCGGGGCTCAGGTGAGGTGGCGTGGCCCCTTGCCCGGTCCTCGCCCACGGGCTCCTGAGCCTGGCCCTTCTCCTTTCCAGCCGGCTGCATCCTGGTGTTGAGCAGGAACTTCGTGCAGTACGCCTGCTTTGGGCTCTTTGGAATCATAGCGCTGCAGGTACGCGGGGCCGGGTCTCTTCCTTGCCGTGCTTGGAGTGTAGCTTCTGCAAAGGCGTTTCTGAAGATTCGGCTTCACTCCCCCTGTGTCTCTGCCTGGGTCTCCTTTTCTTTCCTGAGAAGTCACTGGATTTTCCTGAGTGCGAGCTCAGCAGAGCTGGAGAGGACGGGGCCCCTGAGAAGGTGCCAAGCTCTGGCCGCCCACCTCCCTGCCACCTTCCCGAGTTTCCTCTGACGGGGAGAGGTGACAAGATTGCCTGCAGCCAGGACGCTGTCTTATGCTTTCCCTCCCGAACACCCAGCTGGCCAGATGAGCCGCGTGCACTTGGACCGGAGCTCTCGGGCGCCGTGTCAGCTCCTCGCGGGCCCGGCTCCCTGGGACCAGGTGCTCGTTCCGCAGGCCTGGGCTGGTCAGTGCGCCCCGAGGAGCGCTGAGCCCGGGCGCTGAGCTCGGAGCTGCCCCGGCCTCCTGACCTGTTCCGTGTGTGTTCCACTCCCACGCCCGGTAGAAGGATTGCCTACCACCGTTCTGTGTACAATCCAAACGCATTTGGAAACACGAGACTCAAGTTTCTGTCTTCTCTCTTCTCTGTCCCCTTCAGACCATCGCCTACAGCATCCTGTGGGACTTGAAGTTTTTGATGAGGTACGTGTGCTTCACGTGCTGAGCTTACTTGTTGTGTCTGTCTCTACACTCAGTGGCTAGCAGTCGGGAGTGCACTCTGCGCCCAGGCGCACTTGGGAGTCGGTAGAAGGTGTTGGCGGAGGCTCCCCGCTGCCACCAGGGCACGGGTGAGAATGAAGCCATCTCTCCCAACCCCGGGCTCACCGGGGAGGGAGGAAGGGCCAGAGCAACAGCATTTGCTCACAGCGACCCAGCTGGTCGACAGCAGAGCCAAGGCCAAGATGGGCTACAAGTGTGTTCAGGTTCATGTCACTGCTCGGCCGAACAGGCCCGTCTGCGTCTTGGGCCGTGGAAGGCCTTTGCAGGTGTGACTCCGGCTGCGGTCCTGTGGATTCACACCCAGCAGGTCTGGCACGGTTTGGAGAGAGTGACCTAAGGGCCCTCCCTTCCTGTGCTCCCGCTGAGGCCTCCCGACCCAGTCTGACAGGCGTGCGTCGTGCCTGCTGAGCCCTGGCAACTCAACTGGCATTTCTGTCCTCAGGAACCTGGCCCTGGGAGGAGGCCTGTTGCTGCTCTTGGCGGAATCCCGTTCCGAAGGGAAGAGCATGTTCGCAGGAGTCCCCACCATGCGCGAGAGCTCCCCCAAACAGTACATGCAGCTCGGAGGCAGGGTTCTGCTGGTCTTGATGTTCATGACGCTCCTTCACTTTGATGCCAGCTTCTTCTCGGTAAGCGTCTCCATTTGCGTAAACGGGTCTGGTCTCCTGCCCTTCAGAAAGGGGCCCTGATCTCTCTTCCCCGTTGTGCATGGGGTCTAGTCCAGGGGCTGTTGGGATGAATTGGCTCAAAGGAAGCGAATGTCTGATCCTATTAAAAGGAGTAAAAACCCAGCAAGCTCTTGTGGGCCTGGAGCTGACAAAGGAAGTCCAGAGTCTGCCTTACTCACTGAGGTCCTGGCACCCGGTGTGCTCGCCTCCAGGTGGTCCACCCAGGCTCTCTACAGCCTCGCGGTTCTTTCGCTGTCCGCCACTCACACATTATCGTGCACGGTGCATGTGGCGGGGTCCCTCCCCAGGAGCTTACAAGGCCTATCTTCAGAGCTGGCTGGGCGCCCTGGCCAGGAAGGGCTCCCAGGAGGGGCACCTGGCGCCGCAGGAGTGGGGAGCCCGCTCGTAACAAGTCCTGGGGACGACCTGGGTGGCCTCGAGGCCCGCGGGCTGGGCCTGAGTGTGTCCTGGTAAATTGCAGCCTGCCCACTGAAGGCTGCTGTATCTGCCACCCCTCGCGCCCTGTCTTTATTCCTCACTTGAACGCACACCCGTCACCCTGACACGCACTGCGGTGACAAGGGCAGTTGGGATTGCTCCTCTTCCTTACCTGTTTTTTGTTCCTTATCCTTTAATCTATGCAGATTCTCCAGAACATCGTGGGCACAGCTCTGATGATTTTAGTGGCCATCGGTTTTAAAACCAAGCTGGCCGCTTTGACTCTTGTTGTGTGGCTGTTTGCCATCAACGTGTATTTCAACGCCTTCTGGACCATTCCCGTCTATAAGCCCATGCATGACTTCCTGAAATACGACTTCTTCCAGACCATGTCGGTGATCGGAGGCCTGCTCCTCGTGGTAGCCCTGGGCCCCGGGGGCGTCTCCATGGACGAGAAGAAGAAAGAGTGGTAACAGACCCCTTCCCTGCCTGGCTAGGACCCGTGGCCATTGAGGACTGGTTCGGGGTGGATTCGACAAAACTGCCAGCATTTATGTGTCCTCTTCCCTTCCCTCCCTTGGTAAAGGCACAGATGTTTTGAGAATTTATTTGCAGACACCTGAAATTTGGCGGCTAAATCTGCTCTGGACCCACAGCCTAGCACCTGACCGTCGGGGTGGGTGGCGCCCCCCTTCCCCAGGCGCGGCCTCGGCTTCCTGAGAGCAGCTTGCTGGGCTGTGGCCTCGGTTCCCATTCTTGTTTCTGTTTTGTGGGTGGGGGGCCTTCAAGCTGTACTGTGAGCAGATACATTGGTGTATCATTCAAAGCGGTCTCCCTCTTACTGTTTTTTAAGTTTACGTTTTTAGCTAAAATTGATTCGGGATGGCCCAGCCCAGCATCACACACGCTGCTCCGAGTGATCCCCACCCCGCGTTGTACTACCTGCAGGGATAACGACGGCATTTGGAGAGACCCAAACCCAAAGAACGAAGCAGTGCTGGGGGGGGGGGGGCGGCGGTGCCAAGGCTGCTGTTCACAGTGGGAGTCACTCACTCGTTGGAAGACTGGCTCGGGTCGGTGCAGCGGTTTCTGTGGGGTAATCCCCCCGGGAGATTCGGTGGCTCTAGGTGGGGACGGCGGAGCTGAAGTTCCCAGGTGCACCCAGAGCCCACAGGGACCCTCGCTCCGACCCTGGCCTGGCCACATGTGTGCAAGCTGGCTCCCCTGAGGGGCGTGGGACGAGTAGCAGCCTCGCAGGGCAGGGTGGCAACAAAGCGGGCTCTCAGACCAGTGACCTCACCCGTCTTCACAAGGAGCCTGGGCTGCCGCTGCGGCTCCGACCTGGCCAAGCGCCCCGCTTGGTTCTCCTTTAGCTCGAGGGACTCTTCCTAAGCTGCGCAGCCGTGACACGAGGCTGTGGCTTGCTCAGATGGTCTTTGCTATGCTGAACGCAGCCCAAATTACTTTCTATGATTCGTGATGCCTTACCGATTGGATCTTGATCCTGTATTTAAAGTTTTCTCACATTGCCTTATACTGCGTTCCTCCTGGGGGTGTGAGTGCCTGCTGCCCTGCTCCGCTCGTCCGCGCCGTAGCGGCGGCCGTGAGGGGGGAGTAGGACCATCTGTGCCTCCCCCCGCCCCGTCCTCCCCCACACCCTCTGGAGTGGGGAGCAGGGTGACCAAGCTAGAACGAGGACTGCCTGGAGCTCATCCTTTCTCCTGCTTCACTGCTAGATGTGCAAGCTGAGGGCCCTCCCGAGCCAGGAGCCACATTTACCAGCCAGGCGGGGGCCAGGGAACCCATGAACCCAGGGACCCACCCCGCTTTTGCCTCCCGGCTCCTAGAACCTTACTCTGCTCTGCAGCCCAGACCTACCAAACCCGAGGGGAGTGCCCACACCCCAGCCCCATTGGAGGCTTGGCCCCAGATGCTCCCAAACCTCCCCCGGCCCCAAACCACCTCTGGCCTTTGGGAAACAATGGCCTCTGTGCAGGGATGGACGGGGAGGACTTTTCTACTCCCCACCGCTAGGACGCTCACCACAGGGGGGGCTTTTGACTGTGTGTCTGCCCTGGGGCCACCGCTCAGCCCAGCCCCTTGCCCGTCAGCACAGCACCACAGTCCTATCAATTGACACTCAGCCAAGGCTGTTCCTCCGGGACACCTCTTGACAGGGTACGGGTCCTCGGCTCTGTGCTGATGAGACCTCTGTTGGTCTGTAGAAACAGTATGACCCCAGAGGCCGAGGGGTGCGGTCAGGGGTCAGCCTCGATGCTGGAGGAGGTTGCTTGGGCCTCCCCAGCCCTCGGCGGGCTAGCACCTGGGGACGGGTAGATGCCTTCACAGGGAGGAGAGGAAAACACCATCTACTAATTGGCTTTGGCAAAACAGTTTCTGAGAAATTTTTGGCTTTATGTGGGAAATAGGTATAAATCTCATTTTATGCTGTATTTTATATCTTAGTTGTGTTTGAAAACGTTTTGATTTTTGGAAACATCAAAATAAATAATGGCATTTGTTGTATGCAGCGTGGACCTCTGGTGTTGGGCAGCTGGGGTGGGGCCTGGCCAGGCCTCCCCTCGGATGCCGAGCCAGGCGGCCGGACCCTCTAGGCTTCGCCAAGGACCACTGAGAAGCTGCATCTGGGCCGAATTCTTCCCTCGGGGCCCCTGCTGCTTCCTGTGGATGGGCGAGGTGGCCCCGATGCCCGTGCACAGCCTCCCAGCCCCAACCCTGTGGGCAGCGAACTTGGAGCCAAGGGAGAAGGCCCTGGGACACCCCGTCAGTTAAGAGGGTGCACGGCAGGCAGCATGAGGCGGACACGGGCTCGAGTCCCTGAAGGGCTTTGGAAGAGCTTCCAACACGCGCTTCTCTCCAGCAGCCATTTATTAACCTGACTGTTTAAAAGAGTTGAAGCTTCTGGGTCTACGGTGACGACTTGTAAACTTCTTCGACGAGCCCAACTGCTTCTGGAACATGAACAAGGAGTTCCAATTAGTGAGCCAGCCCGGTCCGAGAGGACGGGGGCCTGCGAGGGGCGCCCCTGATTCAGGCCAGCTGTCTACCTGCCGTGTCCCCACAACGCCATGCCCCCCAACCTCCCGAGAGCCCTGGATCTGTGGCCCTGAGCCTGCTCAGCTGCCAAGGGCGACGGAGGCAGTAACGAGCCCCTCCCACGGGTCCCCTGCCGGGCACGCCCCTCTCAGACCTTCCCAGCCCCCAGCCCCATCAGGTCAGGGCAGCCTCAGCTTCTAGTTTACTTGCGAAACGTTAGCTTTAGCTTCGCGTCTTATTTGCCCGAGACCCATCAGCAGAGGAAGCTGCCAACTCACCTTCCTGCGCTTGAGGACCAGCTCCCGGGCCCCTTGCGCCTCTTCTCCGCCCCCGGGGCCTGGCTCCGTGGGGCACCTTGGCTCCTCGTCCTCCCCCTCTGTCAGAAAGTCCTCAGGGCTGTCCCTGTGCTCAGTGCCTCCCAGGTCCTTTTTGGTGAACAACTCGGCTGGGAGGGACGGAGGGATGGGCAGTTTTAGGTTCGGGTCCCCGTCTGTGCAGGGCTGAGGGGGAGCACACAGGGTGGGGGGGAAGGAGGCCAGTCCCACTCACGCGGGTACAGGTCTGCCATACTGTCGTCACTGTCACTTGCAGCTGCGCCCTCCTCGCTGGACGAAGGTTCCCAGAAGGCCTGTCCCTGGCGAGGCAGCCCGGCGCCGTCCAGCTGGTCGCCCCTCCTCCTCTTCCTCCTCCCGTGCAGGAGGCAGGCAGGCACATACTCCACACCCTGCTTCTGACACTTCTCATCTGGGGGAAGGGCCAGCACGCTGTGTCTGTGCCTCAGGCCTCCAGAGCAGAGACCAGCTCCACTGGGGACCCCGCACCCCACTCTGCTGGGTAAAACGTGGCGTTGGCAGGAAGTGCCAGGGGGAGCGTGGGCCGAGGCATGAGAAGACGTGGGGCCGTGTCGGGCCCCCACCCCGGGGCGGGAGCTGGAGCTTGGCCCTTGCTCACCCTGCCCAGAGCAGGGATGAGGCCTCCTAGGGAGGCCACATGGCCAGCGTGGCGGATCCTGACCAAAACCTGATGAGGGGCAGGGTGGCACTGGGGGCAGGGGGGGGGGGGGCTGGTTGTTGAAGGGGGCCCCCTGCGGGCAGGGGTCTCCTGTCTAGTGCACTCCCGGAAGGGGGAAGGGGACCAGCCCCGGGCCTCTGAGTCACGGCCTCATCTCTGCTGCTCACTCCGGGGCCCCGCACAGCCTGCGCCTGGTACCTCCCCTCAGCACCCCCGGCCACATCCCTCGCTGCCAGGCTCTGCTCCTCTCGGCCATGGGTCCTCTGAGCCACACACTCCAGCATCAGGAGGAGTCTCGTACTGGGGAAAAGCCCCCAGCCCCTACCTTCCTGCCCACCCGAAAAAGCCCCCAGGCTCTGTGCCTACTTGGGATCCTCTGAGGTGTCCTTCACTTTTGCCCTTGGGCGAAGACTGGGCCTCATTTCTTCTTGGGGAAACAGCCTTCGGAGTTCTCTCCCTCATCTCGCCTATCAGTCCATACCCAAAGGCACCTGGCCCTGCCCCACCTGGCCCTCCCTTCGGGCTCCATCCCCACCTTCCCTCCAGGAGCATTTGAAAAGACTCTACCACTTTCTCCTTGAAACCTCTGCCCTGACAACCCCCCCCCCCCCGTCTGCTTCTCACCCCTCTGGGGCTCTTCCCTCCTCAGGCCCGGCCAGGCCCCTCTTCTGTGGCTCTGTGGACGCAAATGCCGCTTGGTGTCAGCGGTGCGCGTCATCCGAGCGCTGGCCCATGCAACAGCCACCTGCCCTGACCCACATTGAAGAGAACGCTTCATTTCCCCACAAAGCCTGTGAATCAGCTACCGCTCTCCTAGAGCACCCCAGTTCTCGAGCCAGGAATCTGGGAGTCACAGCGGATTTCTTCCTCTCCCTCACTGCCTCACCTACCGATCCAACCCCCACAACAGTGACAACCTGTCCAAGTCTTCCTGCCAGCACCTGGCAGCCCCAGCCACCGTCACCTTCAGCTGGCTGCGCAGCCACCAAGGATCCCCTTCTCCACTCCTTCCCACCCCGTCCTCAAGAGCCACAGCGACCCTGACACGCACGGTGACTGTGCCAGTCCCTGCTTCAGTCCTTTGCATGCATCCCCACTTCATGTGGTCCTGTCCACACCTCCCTTGCCGACCCCACCTTCATGGTGGCACAGTGGCCGTCCTTCAGGACCACCCACAGCCAAGTGTGTTTCTGCCTCTACCTTGCCTGAGTCTTTCTCCTAAAGGGAGCACTCTTGCCTCTACTCCCTATGTCCCCTAAAGTCTCAGCCCAGAAACCCAACCTCCCCAGGGCCTCCTGGTGGCCCTCGGCACGTCCTTCACAGCACTCGCTAGCCTGTAGTTAGGTCGGAGTCCGCTGCCTGCTTTACATGGGTCTCCGCCACCACCCCTCCACCCGGGCTGGGCCCGGTGCACCACCAGCTACTGCCAAAGGGTGAACGACACACCACTTCTGCCTTCGTCCTGGGGAAGGGCAGGCATGCACCCATAACACCCGTAAACTGAGGCAGGCTGCGCCCGCCCACGGCTACTTACATTCCCGCAAAGCTCTCTGGTACCGCTGGCCCTGGGTGTGCCTCAGTACATGCTCTGGGGCCTTGTTGATGTGCCGCATGGTGAGTCTGCAGAACAGCTGGTACCTAGGGGACAGGCAAGCAAACCCCGGCTGCCAGGGACGTTCGCAAGGACCTGGACCAGTGGCTCTCCAACCACGGCTGCATCTTGCAATCATCCCCAGAACTGGACAAAAGAAGTCCCGGAAGCCGACTGGGCATCAAAGTTCTTAAAAGCGCGAAAGCAATTCCATCCTGCAAGCGGGGTGGAGAACCACCGCCCCAGGAGGACCGGGACCTCTCAAAGTTTACCTGGAACACAGGCCTGGTCATCACACCTGCTCCTCCTGCACATGGGGGTGCAAGCGAAGACCTGGCCTGGCAAAGGGCCAGAACGGGGGCATCCCCCCGCCCCTCTTTTACAACTACCCCCGTCAACGTACACGTTCAGCTACACCAAAGTGCTTCTTAAATCTCGGAACTGACCGCATTCAGAAGCTCAGGGAACACGCCTCAGCTTTGCAACAAGCAAACACGCACCACGGAGGGGGCTCACCTGGGAATCTAGCCTCCAACCCGGATGTCGAATCTCCTAACACTTAGTTACGAAGGTCCGCGCAGCCAGTGGGGAGGGGTCGGGGTTCCGAATCTACCCCGCGACAGCGGCCAGACTCGGCGCTTGGACCTGTCCCCACTCGGGGCCCCTCCCGCAGTAGCCGGCGCGCGCCCCCCTCCCCACGTACGGGTTCTTGGTGCTGGGCACGATGTGCGGCTCGAACTCCGCGTAGTCGAAGGCCGGAGAGGCGCGGACCAGCCGCCTGTACCTCTTGCCGCGAGTGTAGACCTGGAGCTCGGGCAGACGGCAGGGCAGCTCGTGGCCAGTGAGAGCGCATTTCACCTGCGGGCGGGACGGCGGGAGAAGGGGTGAGGAGGTGCGGGGGCCGACCGAGCAGCCCCGCGCCTCGCCCTCCGGCCCCGCGGACCTTGCCGGCGCCGGGCTCCAGCCGCAGACTCGGGTGCTCGCGCAGGAAGGCGAGCACCTCCGCCGGCGGCTCGCCCATGGCCCGACCGCCCTCGCAGCTGGAAGCGGGCGCCGCTCGCCCCACGTGGGCCGGGGGCGGGGCTCGGCGGCGTCCCGGAAGCAGATGCCTCCCGGCCCGGAAGCGCCGGCGGGGCGATGGCGGCGGCGGCGCGGTGGCTGGCGTTGCGGGTTGCGCGGCCGGCGCCGGTGAGCGGGGCGCAGGGCGGGCGCGTGGCGGGCGGGCTGAGGGGACCCGCGCCCCGGCTTGGGTCCGCTCAGCCAGCCCTTCCGTCTCCGCAGGCCCCGGCGCGCGCGGTCTGGAGGAGCGTCCTTGCGGGCCCCCTGCGCCCAGGTGAGGACTCGCCCGGGTGTGACCTGGGAACGGGGCGGGGGGGGGACGCAGGCACTGAGAGGGGCTCCGAATTGGCGCCCGAGCGCAGGCGTGCCTCTCTGCCGAGGTGGCCCGCGGGCCGTCCGCTCTCGCACTCCCGAGTCACCCCTGGCCGGGGACGGGCAGTCACTTCCCAGCGCCTCAGCGGGCTGATGAGGGGCCGTCCCAAGATTGAAACCCGGGTGGCCGGTGGCCGGGGCCCTAGAGAGCGCAGCCACGACGTGCGTGTTGCGCTCTGTGTAGGAAGGAAGGGTACCGTGGAACGCTGCTCCAGGCGTGCTTTCTTACCCCCGCGCCGCGCGCGGTGCCCTCCTTTGATGCGGCTCACACTCTGCCAGCTCAAATACACTTTCCCTTTAGAACTGACGAGCAGTGAACCCGAAGAGCTGCTGGGAGAGCTCCGTGAGCCCCTTTCCCGAGTTGGTCGCGCCTCTGCCTCTGCTTAGCGGGTGCTCTTAGTGCAACGGAGTACTCGGCAGAGTGTCGTGTAAAAGGCACTCGGTGGTTACCCAGGGTCGTGGTTGGTGGCAGAGGCAGGACTAAGGCCTAGGCCGTGCTTATGCAGTCAGTAAACCTCCAGGGAGCATGCTCGTGCTGAGGGCTGGTTTAGGAGCCGGGCAGGTGCTGCTGGCCGCTGGCCGGTCTGTTCACTCTCGGGCAGTAGTGCTCGAGTCTCCTTGAGAAATAGGCTGCTCCAGCTCTATTTGTGGGGGGGCTTCTGACCCCACACCAGGGTTGTAAACCGTCCTAGGGGTGCCCTGGAGCCCAAGCAGGGGTGGCAGTTCTGCAGCCGAAGCACCTGCCACGAAAGCGGAGGACGGCTCCTCTCTCCAGTGGTTCCTGCTTCTCGTTCCCGTGACTGCCTTTGGCCTGGGGACCTGGCAGGTAAACACTGGCCTCTAGCTCTGGTGGCTCTGAGCTTTTTTCCCCCTCTTTTTATTTTTGTGAGAGAGACCGTGCAAGTGGGGGAGGGACTGAGAAGGATGGAGACACCGAATCCAAAGCAGGCTTCAGGCTCTGTGCTGTCAGCACAGACATGGTGAGATCATGACCGAGCCTTAGTCGGATGCTTAACCGACTGAGCCACCCAGGCACCGCTGGTGGCTCTGAGCTTTTGACTTTCTGCCATCCGCTCAGGTGTGCTGTTTCCACAGGTCCAGCGTCGGAAGTGGAAGCTGCAGCTGATAGCGGAGCTCGAGTCCAGAGTTATGGCCGAGCCCATCCCTCTGCCAGCAGAGTGAGTGTGGGGCGGCCCACCTGGGACTGGCCTCACTCGGGGTCAGCAGCGGGGCCTGGCTGCATCTGCTTGCCGCCCTGACCCTCAGACGGGAGCCCTCAAGATGAGTTGTCCTAATGGGCTTCCTGACCACCCTTGGGAGGCGGCATGACACATTCAGAAAGAGATCTGTGATCCGGGGTCTCACCGTTTTTCAGGCCCATCGCACCAATGGGGGTGCGGTGCTGATGGGCCCCCCGGAGCAGTGATTCTTCCCTGGTGGCGAGGGCATCGTGCCCCCGTGTCGAGTGTCGGCAGGAGAGCAGGTTCAGGTCTCCTAAATGATTCTGCTGCCTCTCCCCCTCGTGTTGACGTGCTGTCCTGGAGGAACGGGTCTGGTTCGGGCGAGCAGGCTTGCTGTATTCGTGACGTGCGGCCCTGACAGGCTTTGGCTCCCTGCCTGGTCTTACTGGGCCTCACTTCTTCCCACTGCCCTGTAGCCCGATGGAACTGAAGAACCTGGAGTACAGGCCAGTGCGGGTCAGGGGGCACTTTGACCACTCCAAGGAGCTGTACATGATGCCTCGGACGATGGTGGACCCGGCCCGGGAGGCCCGGGAGGCCGGCCGCCTCTCTTCCTCGCCAGAGAGCGGGGCCTACGTTGTCACCCCCTTCCGCTGCACTGAGCTGGGGTGAGTAGGACAGGCAGGGATGCACCGACTTTCATCTCTCAACTCCCAGCCTCCGGGAATCCAGGATACCCAGGAAGCCGCATTCAGTTCCTTGAAAGAGATGGGAATTCGTACTTCTGGCGTTAAGCGATTCATTTAACGTCTTCCTGAATAATTTCCGTAGGCTAAGCTCTCAGAAGAGGCGAATGAAATCCACCACTCTGGAGAACTAGGCCCACGCGTTAAATGGTGGCGGTGCAGCAGGGAGGGGTCCGCTCAGGGAAGGCTTCCCAGGGAACTGTTTGGGCCACGTGCAGGCAGAGGAAATGGCCTGCACAGCAAGGGGTCGCTGCACTCTTGGTGACTAGAGCAACTTCCGGTTTTCAGGTCTGAGAGGGTCTCCAGCAGGCTGCTCTGTGTCACCCACCCCCCCAAGGGGATATTGGAGGCAGGTACACAGGCCACAGCTGCCTTGTGAGAGGGAGAGGTGGATGTCAGAACTCTGTGGGAGAGGGTCATTTACGGCTTGGATGTTGCAGGGGTGAGGCCCAAGAAAGGAAGCAGAGATGGATGCAGGGTGTGTACCAGGGACCCTGGAGATCTGCCTTCAGAGTTGGTGTCCTGCCAGTCAGGACACAGCTGGACAGCGGCCTTCCCGGGGGCACATCTGCCCCGAGCCTCGCTGCTTAGAACGCGCCCCAGGCACAGGCTTGTTGTCCCAGAGACTTAAGTCTTTATTCAGAAATCCTTCCCCACCTGAGCGCATCCTCCTGTTACTCCAGAATCACCATCCTGGTAAATAGAGGGTTTGTCCCCAGGAAGAAAGTGAATCCAGATACGCGGCAGAAAGGCCAGGTAAGAAGCAAGAACGCTTTTTTGTGAGCAGGCCTCTATAGAAACCACAGGCCTTAAGGAGCAATCTCACATTTTCCTTTATAGATTGAGGGAGAAGTGGACCTAGTTGGGATGGTGAGGCTGACAGAAACCAGGAAGCCCTTTGTCCCTGAGAACAATCCCGAAAGAAACCACTGGCATTACCGGGACCTGGAGGCCATGGCCAGGCTCACGGGCGCAGACCCCATCTTCATTGATGCTGACTTCCGTACGTTGTGATCAGCTCATCCTAGATCAAGTAGCTTTTTTGTAAATACTCTGTTCTAACTTCCTCCTAACCCTGGAAATCTTCTAGTTATTTCCTGTTGCTTACTCTCTAGTAGGTGTTGGGGGAAGGGGGACATATGTTTGGAAAGAGGCAGCCCAGGGCTGGTTTCAACTGCAAGGCCCGTACTGAATTTTGGGCCACACAAAAACCATAGCTCTCAAGAACTCCAGGAGGTGCCAAGGGAATAGCTGGCCAGGCTGCCGCAGGGAGACGTGAGCTAAGCAGCTGGTGGTGGTGGTGGTGGGATTGTGGACTGAGCCCAGGGTCTCTGCAGAGAGCACAGTCCCCGGAGGACCTGTCGGAGGGCAAACCCGAGTCACTCTGAGGAATGAGCACATGCAGTACATCATCACCTGGTGAGTCCTCACCTGCTCCCTTGCTGTCCCCCCTCCTCTACCCCCCCCAGGACCCTGACTGTTCATCTTTTTGACCTAAGGTATGGACTCTGTGCAGCTACATCATACCTGTGGTTTAAGAAATTCCTACATCGGACCCCTGGTGTGTGAGAGATGTAGCCCTTTCCCTAAGTTATGAGGAAGCGGCTGTTTTCCAGAGATTTGTTTTCACGTGGGATCAGGCACTATTGGCATAAGTAAATAAATCTCTACATCGCACTTTGTACCGTACCTGTCTTCTCTACCTGTGTCAGTTAACTGGCTGATCATCAACTCCAGGCTTGGGTTGTATGTGAGCCAACAGTTTCAATGCTGCTTTTTCCAAACCATCAACACAACCCTTACACAGCGGTTTACCGCCACTCCAGCCAGCCCTACGCCGGTCAAGGACCTTGCCGCCACCAGGAACACGTGTAGGAAGACAAAAGATTACACTCCACTCCAAACACCGATCAGCACAGGCTGAAAGAGCCTTTTATTACTTTTATGTACAGAAAACTCAGCAGTGCCCACTCAGCCCAGTTTGGTGGCCAGTTCTTTAGCCTTCGCCTTCTCCAACTTGGCGATGCGAGCCACTGACTTCGGACCCAGGACGTTGCCACCCCAGTGGCGGCGGATCTGCAAGGACAAAGAGAGGCAGTTGGTGCGGGCTGCTGTTCTGAGGCTCTCAGAGCACGCTAGGTCTTCTGCTTGGCTCTTCCAAGTCCCTGATCCAGGAGGACTGCGCTGGAGGCAGCCCGTCCCCCTGAAGACGGGCCTGGCTTCCCCCAGCGTTGTGTCCTGCTGCTGCTCACCTCATCGTATCTGTCGTTGTAATTGGTTCTGATAGCTTCCACCAGCTTAGCCAGAGCTCCTTTGTCTTCCCTAAGAAAGCAGGGGGTAAATGTGGGTCATCACCATCTTGGTTACCTTTCCAGAAAACAGGAATGACTTCGTTTGTATCCCAAACACAAGGCCTCTGCCTCAGATACAACATGACCACATGGCTTATTCAGGTGAAGAAATTCGTAACCATCATCGGCAAAGATCCAGGTGAATGTGTTGCTTTAATAAGGTAGAGCGTTAAACGAATCCTGAGAAATGGGACGTCCTGGGAGAGAGGAGCGCCTGACCTCTGCTGCCAGCTGGAGTTTGGGGGCACTGTGCATACTCACGAGTTAACCTGGGTGAAGGCGACAGTGGTGCAGGTCTTCCTGTGGACCAGTCGCCCCAGCCTGGCCTTCCCCTTGATGATGCAGTAGGGAACCCCCATCTTACGACACAGGGCAGGTAGGAAGACGACCAGCTGGAAAACAGCATCAGCTCTAGAGTGTACACTGACCAAAAGCAGCAATTTAAAAGCTAACTTAGCCAACTGCCCAGGGTTAAAAAGCTCATGTCTTGCACTTCAAGGTTGAATTCAGTGAGAAATCCACATCATTGCAATGGCTATGGTCCACTGGACCCCCGGTCAGCACTGTCCTCAATGGAAAGCACTTTGGCCTGACAAGCCAAATTCCAGCTTACTCCTTACAGTCTTCCCAGTACTGCCGCAGGGCCCAATCTAACTGACAACGCTTAGAAACCATTAACACGTACCTCAATAGGGTCCACGTCATGTGCGATCACTACCAGCTGAGCCTTCTTGTTTTCCACCAAGGTGGTGACGGTGTTAACCCCTGGAACACACCAACCGTTTGCGTGAGCAGTCCACAGGGGCTGCTCGGGTCACAAAAGCAGTTCTATGGGCCCAGCTGTGGCTCAGGGTTAAAAAGCTCGCATTTTGCTCTCCACAGTGTTTCCAGGTGAAGAAATTCATGCATCATTGCCAACAGCCTGCCCCACCGCTCACCCTCTCTTAAGGAAGGACCCACTCACCAGCTCGAAGGACAGGCGGCCTCTTGGTGGGGACATCTCCTTTGCCAGCAGCCTTCTTCTCTGCCCGGGCCAGCAGTCTCTGCTTCTTCTCTTGCTTGGTCTCCGGCCTGTACTTGTGGGCCAGCTTAAGCAGCTGAGTAGCTGCAACAACAATTGTCGGTTTAGGGGTGCGTTTCAAACTCTGATCTTCGCTCCTCAACAGAACGCTCTAGGTCTCTGTCCTGAATGCTATCATAGCAGACCACAGGGCACCTGGCGGCACAGTCAGTTGTCAGCCTCTTGATCCTGGCTCAGATCGTGATCTCCAAGTTTGTAAGTTCAAGCTCTCAACAGGGCTCTGTGCTGATGGCATGTAGCCTGCTTGGGATTCAGTCTCTCCCTCTCTGCCCCTTCCCTGCCTGTGCATGAGAAGCGTGCTCTCAAAAAATAAATGAACGTAAAGAAACAAAATCTCAGACCACGTACGCCATCACTTCAGCTACACCACTTTCACGGTCTAGAAACCAGAAAAGAACCTAAGTTTCTAGTAACCCAATTTGCTGGAAATACCCAGAGCTCCTTAGAGACCTCAGTTGGGCACTAAGTGCCCAGGAAACGCAGACTCCATGCTGGTTTACAGAGCCTCACCTGTTTGGCGGTCCAGGGCCTGGGTGAACTGGTTAATCGCAGGTGGCACTTTAAGACGTTTATAGAGAATAGCCCTTTGCCGTTGCAGCCTTATGTAGCGGGGCCACTTGACAAAGCGTGTGAGGTCCCTCTTGGGCTGGATGTCCTGTCCTGAGAAATTACGGGCAGCGCTGTTAGTGAGGCTCAAACTCCAGGTCAAGCTGGTGTTTGGCGCCACTCAGAGGAGGGTGTAGGTGCATCAGCGATCTTGGTGGTTTAAAGCGTCATCACCATCTCTCAGATAGCAAATATTCGTTCACATCATCTGCACGCAAACACCTGGCGACCCTCCCTGCTCGTCCCACAAGCGGCCCAGCGGCTGCCAGGGCAGCGGTCAACGCGCCTGCGCTGAGCGCTGCTTTCCCGCCGGCCAAGCCCAATCCCGGCGGAGAGCTGACACCGGAGACCACGCACCCTGAACCACCGTTACCCACATCCCTGCCCGGGAGAACCCCGCACGCGCCGAAACCTACTAACGGAGCCAGCACACGACCCTCTGCTAAGCACACTGCCGCTTTTCTTTGCGAACAGACCACCACCGCCGCCGCCTGTCCTCTCCTCCTCACTCACCGATGCCGAAGTTCTTGGGCCTTTTTTCAAACAGGGGATTGACCACCTTCTTGGCCTCCTGCTTCTTCACGACAGCCGGGGCCGGGGCCACCTTCTTCCCCTTGGCCTTCTTCCCTTTCGGCTAAGCGAGAAGGGACACCCGGGTCAACCCCGCGCCCCCGCACGCGCTGCTCCGAAGGCGCCCCGGCCGCCCAGCGGCGAGTCCGGCGACCGCCCGTGTGCATCAGCGATCTCGGTGGTTAGCAGCGTCCTCACCATCGTTCAGACGACAAATACTCTTCACATCACCTGCACCACCGGGGTGGCCGCGCCCGCCGCGTCCGAAAACTACGCGACCGGTCTCTAGGAGCACGGCGTACGGCAGGCTCCACAATCAGCACTGGTGGACTCGGCACCTTTCTCGCCCAAGGCCGCCGGGGCAGCCCCCAGGGCGTTGCAGCGCCTCAGCCCCGTCGCTCCGAGCCCGCATTGCGGCGCTGCGCTCCGCGCCGCAGCCCTCCTCTCCCCACCCCCCGACCCAGCCGCCGGGATCCTACCCGGCCCAGTGCCATCCCGCCAGGCCCCGCGGGGCTCCCCTAGCGCCGCGCGGTGGAGGGACCACCCGCACGGTGACGCCCCGGAGAGGATGGCGGTGGATAAAACCCTGACCCAGCTCGACCAAGAACCGTAGTAACACTCACCATCTTGGATGGCTGGAGAAGAGAGAAAGGAAAAGAGAATTGTGGGTAATATGTAGGGAACCTCAGAGATCGCGAGAACTGGCGCCTGCGCGGGACTTCGGATTTAAAGCAACAGGACCGCTCTCGCCCGCCTCCGACCGAGGGCGGTGCCTACCGCGCCTACAGCGGCTTGTCGGCCCGGGCGTGAGCGCCGTGTAGACGGCGGCGGGTAGTCAGGTCTTACAGGGAGGGGCGCGCGCTTGTCTCCACCCCGCCCGGGCCAAGTGCCCGTCGCCCCGGGCTCTGCGGACCAGGTGGGGGCGGCGGAGCGGGTCGCCGTCTTTTCTCGGGTGGGACCCTCCCCATAACGGGCTCCAAGGCCGCGAGGTCCGTCGGTCGGCGGCGCGCAGGCCAGGCCAGCCTGTCGGGAGCGCGCAGCCGCAAGGCTCCCGGCGCGGGGAGGGAGGGTGGCCCCGCCTAGCCTCCAACCCCCTACCCCGAGCGAGCGGGCCGTGGGCGCAGCGGTGGCGGTAGAGTCGGAGGGGCGCTCCGGCGGAGGCGCCGGGGAGGGCGCGGACCTCGTCCTTGAGCGGTCGGGACGCGAGCCCCCGCAGTGTGCTTGTGTGTGGATGGTGGGACAGGGGTGTTTGACGGAGAGGGCCTCGCCCGAGATCCCACTTCTGCTGGGGGGCTGGGCGGCTGAGGCTGGCTCCGCTCACCCGGACTCTGGCTCCCAGGTGGCGACTGGTGGCCCCAGATCTCTGTCCCTGCGCCGCCTGAGGTCCCCGCCATGGCCCAGCAGAGAGCCCTGCCGCAGAGCAAGGAGACACTGCTACAGTCTTACAACAAGCGGCTCAAGGACGACATCAAGTCCATCATGGACAACTTCACTGAGATCATCAAGACTGCCAAGGTGGGCGTGGGCGGGTGGACGACCAAGGGAAGGAGCAGGGACTAGAGATGGTGGACGGGGGTGTGTGCTGAGTGGCCGGCCTGCTCTGGTCAAGGGTCACGGGGGTGGGGACGGGTGGTTTCGGCTTTGAGTGGCACCCACTGAACATGGAGCAGGTGCTCTGTGCCAGGTGGTGAGGATACGGCAGTGACAAACACTCCTGGCCTTTGTCCATGTGGGGAAAACATTTGGGAGCACAGGGAGGGTCGGCAATAAGAAACAGGTCAACAGATGAGTAAACACACCAGCTAATTACAGTTCCTGGTGAGGCAGCTATGGGGAAGTCTAGAGGGATGACTGGGATTCAATGTCTAATGTCACTTACCAGCAGCATGCGTCTGAACGAGGATTAGACATTTCAGTACCTCAGTTTCCCTTGCAGCCTAAAGCCCTCTGGCGACTAGATGACTTTATAAAATGGTTACTGTGGGGCCTGACGCAGGCCCAGATGCGGTAGCTGTTGCGAATGAGTGGGGGCGGGGAGAAGGGCTGGCGAGGCCCCCCAGGAGGGTAGCGTGGCCAGTGTCTGGGTGGGGGCAGGGAGAAGGGCTGGCGAGGCCCCCCAGGAGGGTAGCGTGGCCAGAGTCTGGGTGGGGACAGGCGAGCCTGCTGGGCCGCACTGCACCACGTGGGGCTGGATCTTCGAGACTGCTACCGCTCTCCCAAGGCTTTCTGAGCGATGGTGAAACTGGCTGGCCTGTGTTTGGCATCCATTCACCGTGTGTCGCATGTGTCTCCCCCTGTTTAACCTTCACAGAAACTCTCCATGGGGCCGTCCTGTTCTCTCCTTCTTAGAGGCGGAAACCGAGACTTGAGAGATTTAGTGATTTGCCAAGGTCATTCTGCTAACAGCTAGGAGAGCCAGGATTTGCACCCAGGGAGTCCAGCTCCTCACTTAACTAAGAGTGCCCTGATGCCAGCCCGTGCCTGGCGCGGTCCCCTGAGAAAGCCCTGGACAGATGGACAGGTTGGAGCAGTGACGGGCAGCAGCTCCTGGCTCCTCTGTTCACCGTCGGAGACACCTTGAGTGAGCTCACGGGTGTGCCCCACCTCAGCTTTGCCCATCCCTGTAAACCCGGGATGGCGGTTGGTGGTCACGCGCTTAACGTGGTGCCAGGCACTCTGGAAACACTCCGTAAACAGCAGCTTAAAAGATACACGTTGTGCTTCGTATAGGAGGATTAGGAGGAACTCGACGGAGGAACAAGGGGGAGAAGAAGGGTGGAAATGGTGGGGGAAAGGGAGAGAAGCAAACCATGAGAGACTCTTGAATGCTGACAAAAACTGAGGACTGATGGATGTGGGGGGGAGGGGGGATGGGCATAGAGGAGGACACTTATGGGGATGAGCACTGGGTGTTATGTGGAAACTAATTTGACAATAAACTATTTGTAAAAAAAAAAAAAAAAAAAAAAGATACACGTTGTGCTTTTACCGGTTCGGTGGTTCAGTTTACTCAGTGTCTGAGCTAGCGACCCTGTTTCATACAGAACGAGGCTCCACACCCCAAAAAAGACTTGGCCGAGACCTCCGTGCAGGTGGCGAGGCGGTCAGCGTACACAGGCATCCACATGTCCCAACGAAGGTGGCGTTATTTCCTTAGAAGAGAACAAGAGGGGGTGCGGCTGAACCTTGCCCAAGGTCTGGTCAGCAGTGTTTGGCGGAGAAGGTGAAGCAGACGACAGACAGACAGACAGACAGGAGGCGGCCGGCGTGGGTGTGCCACAGCCAGCCGGTCACCTGTGGGCTGGGGCACTTGCCAATCCTGGGCTTTCTTGTTTGTTCTCCAGATTGAGGACGAGACACAAGTGTCGAGGGCCACTCAGGGCGAGCAGGACAATTACGAGATGCACGTGCGAGCTGCCAACATCGTGAGTCACTAGGTGGAGGGCACAGCCCGGGCTCCGGGAGCCTTGCGTTCCCCACAGGGGCTTCCTGGGTGGGGGGCAAAATGCTTCTCAGGAGACTCCTGTCAAGAGGAGGGCTGTCTGGGGCAGCCATGTGAGGGCGGCCGATGGGGGGCCACGTCTATTGTGTCGACTACTGTGCCGTGCTTAGAGAGGGGTCGGCCCTCCTTTGTTCTTTGAGATTATTTGGGGGAGCACGAGTAGGTTGTTGAACAAAACAAGGTGTGTGTTTTAACCCCTTCTGATGTCCCAGAACAAGCACATCAGTCAAATGTTCCCGGCCGTGTGCCCCCAGAGGAAAGTGTGCAGGAAACGCCCCAGCCGGCCTGCGTGCTGCCCCCAAGGAAGCACTGGGTGGCCACTAAGCAGGGCGGTCGCCTAATCTGGGGTTTCAGGCTCGGCCAAGTGGGGCGTGTGCTCAAGGAACCCAGGAGATAGGAGAGCAGCGCCCCCTGGAGGGGAAGCGGGAGGCCACCTGAGGACGGGCGCTGCGAAGCTGGTGGCACCTGCCTACGAAGCATCTTCAGCAGTCAGGGTGGGAGCCAGGGACCCTGCTGTCCCGTGACCCACTGTCTAGTTCTCTCCCTTCCCACAACGACCCCGGGAAGGTCTGGGCCCTGGTCCCGCCTTATAGAGGAGGCAACGGAGGCAGGGCCGCCTGGCTGCCTCACCAGCCTGCCCGCTCCTGATGGCCGCAGGTCCGAGCCGGGGAGTCCCTGATGAAACTGGTGTCTGACCTCAAGCAGTTCCTCATCCTCAATGACTTCCCGTCGGTGAACGAGGCCATTGACCAGCGCAACCAGCAGCTGCGAGCCCTGCAGGAGGAGTGTGACCGGAAGCTCATCGCCCTGCGGGACGAGATCTCCATCGACCTGTACGAGCTAGAGGAGGAGTATTACTCGTCCAGGTACCGATAGGGCTGGACCCTGCGCACGGCACGCCTGTGGGCCCGGGCCCGGCCAGCAGCCCCAGAAGGTCCCGTCTTCCCAAGGCCTTCCTGATTTTGGCAGCACAGCCCTGTGCTCAGGTTTCAGAGCCATTGATGGACAGACAATTCATATCGACTGCCGGGCCCTGGGCAGCAGGATGAAAATCACAGAACTTCAGGGGGTGGGTTGGGCCAGGCCCGAGAAGGGCAAGCAGGAACCGGCATTCCCGGGGGGGCTGCTGGCTGCCTCGCTCTGGGCCCTGTGGTTCCCTTAGCTTGTTAATCGGTATTTAAACATCCCAGTGGGGCAGCGGGGCTGGGCGAGCGTCTCCTGGTAGCCCAGGCTCCCGCCCAGGGTGTGTAGGACACTAGCACCTGCCTAGGGATGCAGTTCCGCGTGGGCGTCGCCAAAACCTGTGTGTGACCGGCCACAGGGGGGCGGGGGGGGGTGTGGAGAAGAGACTCAAGCAGTGGGCGGCCTTGAAGGCCGGGCCAGGGGTACCTGGGCCCCACTGGGCTCCTGCTCATCTCAGCCTGGTTCACAGACCAGAGCCCGCCTACGTGCTGGGCCCGTGCTGGGCCCCAGGGAGTAGGCAGCACCTGTCACCCCAGCCCATGTGCACGACTTAGAATCCCGAAACTGGAATCTTGTGAGCTCCAGGGGCCTGAGAAATCAGTCCAGGTGTGATTCACACAGAGGCTGAAGACTGGGCGGCCTTGCACCTCTGTCCCCCTTGGCTGGGAAAGTCCAGTCTGCTTTCAGTCCAGTGCCCCCCCCCGTGCCCTTGCCCACACCAACCGGTGGGGTTTGCTCTTCCTGTGTGGCTTTCACATGCTCCTTCCTGCC